CGAAATTAAAAAAGGTTTTTAAACACCTTTAGGAGGTAAAGTTGAACAGAGCTTGATCTCAAAGAGCATCACACCTACTGGAATGGAGCTTTGATACAAGTCTGGCTTGTTGGTCGCTGAGGCGAAAGTTAAATGCTTCGAATAGCCTTTGTTAACGACCTTTATCATGGGGCATCTTTCAATTATGCTCAACGTCGTTCCTTTGAGAGAATTCGGCTTGTGTAGAAGCGCTTACAGTTCATGAGGTGATTTAATCATGATCACTTTATCGACTGGAAGTCAGTTCACTGTATATAAAGTCCGTTCAATTTAGGTATGAAGTTTTGGACTTTGATAGCATTGATCGTGGTCTTGTCCTTAATTTGGACCCGATACATGATCTCATCCTAAGAATGGCTTGGTTTCAACACCACGAGACATAGATAGATTGAATGTAAAAGTCCTTAGGCGCTACGCGCATTGTTCCTAGCGAATGTTGGAGAGTCATGAACCCACCTCTTCTAGGAACCAAAAGTACTTTTGGCGCGAGCATTCGACAAAAAATGTCGATGTGCTGTACATATGAATGAATGAGTTAACTAATTCCAATGTTGAAAGATTAAAATTCGCGCTAGCTCCTTTAGCAATACTTATGCGGCACGTACTTTGTCGAGCGTTACTTATTGTGGTAACGATTCACTGCATGCTGGAAGCACGTTTGGCCTAGGGCCGAGTTTCCAAGGATTTATTTCCTTTGATGTGTGTGTGGTGGCACGTGAAGATGCAGTGAGGGCCATCGGCCGTGAAGGCACTGCACTTGATGTAAGAAATGAAATGTTGACAAACGCCATTAAGTGTAAAGCTAGTCCGTATAATGTAAATGGATTGGCACGTTTGATCTCACTGGTTATAGTGTGCAAGATATGTAACGCTTCACCGGATGTCGATCAAGACATCCGATCTCGTATAGAGCGTACTGCTAGTAGTAGTAACCACGAGGACACTATCGTCCCAACCCCAGAGCGGTGTTAGGTCTCATCAAAGAGACGACCTGGACGCCAGATGGCAACTGCTAAGCGCCGGGCGTCTGAGCAGTCACATATTGACAATAGTGATACACTACATGTATACTTGTCAAAGGAGTGACTGGACAGGTTAAGGGCATTGTTGTCCTGGAAACCATTCCATCTTTAGATGCTATTTATGCGAGTTAGTCAGGCCTTAAAGGCAGGAGTTTTATCTGAATTAGTGGTAGTTAGACCCGATGTTGAGTTTAACTCGTCCTCATTATTGAATAAGTCGGTCCTAGATGACACCAAGGCGGCACATAGTGCCCGGGGTGGATCTTTGGTCCTGTAAGATTCTTCGATCCATTCTATCCTTTTGTAAAGGAATTTAAAATGTGAATTTTCCCGACCGACCATTTGTCTTACCTCCAGATAGAGGTGTACGTCATGGAATTGACCTAGTTCCAGGAGCTTAATACTACGTAACACGGTAGTGTCCTTTACCCAGGTAAAGTTGAGACGCCATTAAAGATTTCTTTTATGCAATGCAAGCGGATGAAATGGTTCATGAGAGTAAAGTATCCCATTTAACACCGACATTTTGTGTCGAAAAGCCAAATGGTAAGCGGTGCATTGTCCATGCTTAAAATAAGCTTAATACTGCCACTATCCTGGCTCAGATACCCATCCACAGACATGGTTCTCTTCAAAACGATACAGTGGAATGTATATTGTACAGTGCGCTCGACATAGTCGATAATTTTTACCAGCTGCTCATGTGAGCAAGCGATATACCACTAATAGTAGTTGGTATTCCGAGCAATTTACCCTGGAAGTGGCTCGCTTTGCCACAAGGGCTGTCAAACATCCTGCTTACTCATAATTGTCTGGTCACAAAAATATTCAGACCTCATCGAGGCTATGCACAAAAGGTACTCTGATGACGTCTGTGTTCATAGTCGCGCAACGAACGGTCGATATAATGGGGATGATCACATTGATCACTTAAGAGCGGTGCTCTAGAGCATGCACACGAATAAGTTATATGATAATGCTTTAAAGTGCATCTTTGGTGCAGAAGAGATTTTAATTTTGGAGTGCTTAATTGGAAAGCTGAGCATTCGAGCGATCCCCGCTAAGGTAAGGGCCAAAGTCGATTGGCCGGTTCCAAAAGACTAATATGATCTACGTAAGTTGTAACCGGGACTTCTTTGTGTGGGGTGCCGCGAAAGTTCACGTACACTAGTTAGTGCAAAGGAAGCTAATCTACTCAACAGCTCAGTTGAGTAAAGGGTGAAAAGAGAACTGTATTTTAGTATAGTTACGCTATCAATACAACTTTAATCTTCATCTAGCTATGTTAAACTAAGTCGTCGTATGACGACAACCTGCTCACCACTCATTGCGCACGTCTATCAGCGCTTGGTGGTAACCTTAGTTGATACGTCTTATATCAACCAATCTTGGAGCAGCACATAAATATTATCCAGAAGGAGATAATATTCCTTCAATATTATCCATATTGGATTATATTGGTAGAATATTGTCATGCTGGACAATATCTCTATTGACACCGTTTGGTGTCAGTATCATGTAACGGCCTACCCCGTTACATAGTGACAGTCCTTTCCAATTACTTGCATAAGTATAGCGAAAATTACGCAGATTTGGATTGTCAATTATTCATTTCCTACGAAAGGGATAAGGATTGGCGTTAGGGTAACACCGAACAAAATGCTTTTCAAGCAGTTAAAATATCCTTCATGCACAAATGCTGGCTTTTCCCGATCCTGGCTAGCCCTAAGTGTCGTCTGTGACGCATCTGGATCTGCCCTAGGCAGTGAATTGTTGCAGACAAATGTAGACGGACGCAAAGGCGTCATTGCATTCAAGTTTCAACATTCCAAAGATGCTGAAAAGAACTGTTTAGTTCATAATAAAGAGCTGCTTGCTATGGAGTACGCTTCAGTCAATTTCAAAGTACACATTTTCGGCAAAGCCATTTGTGAAATATACAGATCATGTTCATTGTACACTGCGACACAGTAGCCTCATCTCTTTTAAAAAATGACCTGTTGGATTTCATTCTATGCAGAATTTGACTTTGGAGCTAAGTACAAGCCAAGAAAGAAATGATTTGGCTGATGCGCTATCGCTCCGACCTGAATGTTGGCTTGCTCATGCCGCTTCGCTTTCATCTTCAGTAACTGACTTAATCCATGCGGTTTATGCCAAGGATAAATAATGTGTAGCTTCACTACAGGCTCTAGGGAGCGAGGAGTTTACAGACTCGATCATAGAATTTTTTGCACGTTTATGTGCGAGGCTACATGGACTATATATCGAAAATAGCCTGTTGCTCTATCTCTCTACTGATACGACCTCTTAAAGCGGTATCATGTGACTCATAGAGGATTCGATACTTCAACACACTATCCGTGTGGTGAGCGATACAAGGGTTGTCCACACGGATAGTGTGGACAACCCTTGTATCGCTGTCCCTCTTGATGATGTGTTGAAGTATCGAATCCTCTATGAGGCACACGATACCGCTTTAAGAGGTCGTATGGGTAGAGAGAATATTTATAGCTCAGTGAGCTAGGATAATCGGTAGAATATTTTATACAAGTGGGTGGTAAATATGGGCGTACGTGTGAAGCGTGTCCACGGGTCAAACCCTCAGCACATGCGGTTGCACCGCCTGCTAGTTTGCATGTATCCACTGGGTGTTGAGGGAGTACATGAGTATGGACTTTGTGTTTGCCCTATGAAGGATTCAGACGGCACCACTGGCATTGCGGTCTTTGTTGACCAATTGAGCAATGTGAATCATCCAACGGCAGTGCCGGACTCTATTGATTACGAAGGTAAAGCGAGGCTGTTTATCGATCGTGTGTTTTCAACAACATGGGTTTTCAGTGGCACTTGTCTCTGATAGAAATCCTTACTTCATTGAAATTTTTTAGAAGTCCATCTTTAAGGTGCTCTGCACCTGGCTGGACATGTCTACAGCGGATCCTCCGCAGACCGATGGTCAAGCTGAGCGTGTTAGTCGCGTCATTGATGAAATTTTGCGCAGTGTTTGCGCTGATACGCTTAAGCATTAGAGCTCTATGCTCCTTGTTGTTTAGTTTACGTTAAACAAAGCTGTTCATACCTCTACAGTATAGACTACGTCTACGTAAACGGTCTCACCCACCCTCGAGTTTCGGCAACGCTACCACAATGTGGCTTAGGGCTTGGCGTAGAAGAGATTGCCAATCAGATTGCTGATATCAGCCCTGCAACTGTTCAACAACAATTTGGCGAATTTTGCGCAACACAATTACGTGTCTCAAACCTTGTGCGTAACGCAGTGGCTGAAAGCCAAGACAAAAAAAAATGCCAAATAGATGCTAAAAAATGGATCGTATAGAACAATTGAGTTCGGAAATTAAGTATAACTAAGTGCTAAAACCCCACCTAAATAGTGGCCGCTGTCTGTAAGAAAAAGATGCGCCCTCTCTATGTTGTTTTTTTCGCTGTCGTTGCTAAGAAGGGACTTGTGTATAAGCTCAACCTTCCACGCAACTTGCGCACACATCCTTTGTTCAAATTCGGATTGCTTAAGCCGTATAATTATACGTCTCACTTGAGCTTAAAAAAGCTTGCACCACGGAGGCTGGACTTGCTATCGGTTGCTGTAAAAAATTAGGAGATCAAGCTGAGCGTCCATCCGGGTGTGACCCGACTCCAACGCCTGAACACGAGCTTGCGCCGCGTCGAGCACACTCCGGGTCTAACTGAATGTCTTACGCAAATTACTAAGCTCGAGAAGTACCTATTCGTACTCCTCATTCGGTACATCCACCTTCATCGAAGCTGCTAGATGAGCAAGGGAACTGCCATTCCATGTGTAGAGACTCCTGGCATGATGTCTTCGTCATGGCCAATAGCAGTATCTGGTGAAGTGGCGTGGGTACCCGGAGTCGAAGAAATCATAGGAGTATGAGATTACACATGGCAAGATTGCCTCTACGCCGAGGATGTTTTCAGCAATCGTGGCCAGTCATCTCGAGACCGAGGCCGTTTTTCACCACTCGTGGTGTAGTTTGGCTTGTTGTCGGACACAGAACGACCAGCAACAGCGACGTCTGTAGTAGCCGAAGCATAGCGGGTGCGATTGCACAATTGGTCTCTGTCTCTAAGCTTGGTGTTATCATACCGAAGCTTGGGCTTGAGAAAAACACCAAACACACTTACACTAGCCTTCCAAGCGTACATACTGACGAAGCAACGAGTGCTAGACACCCAGAGACAGAAGCAGTTGTCTTCTTTGTCTGTTGTCTCGCCTGCGAGCAAGTGAATAAGTGAACCCTGAATCGGTGGAGCTGGTGTACCACGTGCTTGCGTATCAGTTCGTGCCTTAGATTGACTTTGCGCTGCCAGATATAGCTCAAGGTACATCTCACGAAGTGTCTGGTCACTTGCCTCTTCCTCGGGAGAAGTAGCTCCAGGACCACTGATCCGCGTAGCCAAACTTTGGACAGTCGTTTGACGTTGACGTTCCTCCAAACTGAGTGGAGTGAACACTAAGTCACGCTGGTTTGCAAATGTCGTGACCATTTTTGCATGGCGTAGAGCGCTTTCTTATCGCTAAACTGCCAATTATTGCTGCTTATCGAGCGGGTTGGTGAAGATTGCATCATCCGAAGCGGGTGTTGAATGCGGCGCAAATGGTGCATCTGTATCATCACGTTAAGCGAACGGACTTAATCTAGTAGGAGATGTACCTCAGGAATAAGTGCATCGGGCGTTTTACTTTCATCACCCGGGACGCTGGTATCGCTACCATAGTCCAGTAACTCCCCTATCTCGAGATATTCACGAAGGGTCTATGACTCACTAGGAGATGAGGATATGGTGCTTAAGCTTTGCGTTGCCGTGGATTTACCCGCAAGCGCAGCGACCTCGTTGAGGAACAAAGTGCGAATGAAGTATGAATAAGCATTAGTCAGGTGGTAAAGGGTGTAAAGGGGTTACACATCGTAGGGTACTCGTTAGACTGTGTCTTACTTAGACACATGGGATGGTATCTCACTGAAAGAGATATAGAAGAACTTATCGGTTTATAGGGCCCATCTTGTAACTAACGGGTGTCAGCCACAAGATGGGAAAGATCTTGAAGATACTAGTTTAGGACACGAGTTCTGGATCAGGTGATGTTGTGATTAAGATATTCTATAGAGTTAAATGTAAATAAGATTCAGTTCCCTTTTTGATCTTGTCTGAGACACGTGCCTTGCGAGGCGTCTCTGGTCGTAGATTGTTTACAATCAGCAAAGCCTCTCTGAGCTAGCTACTCTTGAGCACTAAGCGCAGTAGATTCACTGCATCCTTCGAATCTCTGGAGCAGATACCTTAAGCTTTACGCTGGTTGACTCGTAGAGTCTTGTTCTCTAAATTAATATCGGTAGTTGAGTACTTATTCTCCCTCTGACTGTAAGAGCCGTGTAACTCCGATGCACAGACGCTTTGTTTTTCCGCACGCGAAACGTCGTCGAATATCTTGATGTTGTATCACAGCTTGATCCCTGCATGTACCCATGCGTGCCAAAATGGGCTGCCTTAAAGTCGTGCTCAGCGTTCTATGCGATTTCCACAGCTGCCTTAGAGGAAGTGGAATGTACCCGAAATGCTTCCGCTCAAGCCACGCACGTACGAAGATCCCCCATACAGGTGATGACCAAAACCATTTCTGGAAAGGGATTAAGCTGCATGTCAGCATATAGAGTTCTCAGCTCTTGAACATAGTCCGATGGTTCCATCTTGCCCTGACGGGTAGAAAGGAAACGAGAACGAACCCGGTATGCCTTCTTAGGCGGAGCAAACTCCCGGAATAGTTGCTACTTTAGCACATTTCATGCGGGGAATGCTTCGTCTACCGACGCGCTACACGTGAGAGCCCATTCTCTGGCCATATCACACAGTTTTGCAATACCCATTCCAAATAGCTCTTACTCCGACCGGAGCATTGCAGATTTCATGACTATTTCTACCTCTTTAATTTACAGGAGGAAATACCTCCCTTTTGTCCCTCAAATGTAACTACAGTCAAGACAAGGGCGATCTCTTGGCTCTTCAACAGGTACGGGAACATGCCGAGTAGGCATAGCCGATGCCAAATGGTCTTGTACTTGCCCAATAAAAGTGGACTTGAACTGCACAAAAGCGTCAAGACGAGCAATGAATCACGTCAGGACCTTGTTTTAGGATTAAATCCACTTGTTTGTTCCAGTCTAGCGCTCAGAGTGCATCTAGCGCTAATTATAGGGCCTCAGAGAGGGTTATCTTGGTTTTTATCCTTACAAAGAAGAAGTCGCTGACAGCCTCACGTGTAGATTGACTACAAGTGCCACCAAGTGTAGAGGAGCTACCTTTACTCCTTTGTCAGAGGAAGACTTCTAGATTCGTAATGTAATGGGATTACACGGCGGTCATTGAACCGGTTATGTTGTGTACCCGCACCAAGTTAAGATCCGTGGATCTGAGTGGTACAGTATTGGTACCATGTACTCACGGCAATACCGCACCATATCGGATAGGGATAAGGGATGCTACTTCTTTCTATCGTAGGACCGTAGTTAAGGTCAGTCCTGCAGGTGTTTTGCACCATTAGGCTTAATAGGTAAGGTCCCTGTTATGTAAAAGTCAGACAAGGTTTTATGGTTTTAATACTGTAGTTAAGGAATAAACAAAGTTCAGTTCCCCTTTTCAATCGTTGGACACAAATGGCTTGTGTAGGTGTAGTGTTTGATTAAGATCATTAGCCTTGTAAAGACGCTTACTATCGTAAATAATAGTGACTAGTTAGTGTGTGATTATGCGAATCGTAATCCCTTTGGAACCGGTATTGTTAAGCTTGTACGCTCGAACGACTGTCGATGTTAGTTTGTTATAACTAAGAGGAACTCTTTGAGACTAAGACTTCCTCTGTTAAGGAGCGCTAAACAGCTCCGCTACACGTAGGGTCTCTTAGTATTTTTTAAATGAAACGGGATTAGCGTAAAGGGTATCAAGTCTTTACGGACTTGAGACTTAAGTCTAAGTGTATGCACAAGCTCTTAATCTTCTAGTTCTGGTCCAGGGGACTACGACTTCAAGGAATTACGTGGCACTAATGCCCAAAAGTACCTAGCCTTAACTCAGGCTCTTAACTCTTACAACCAGACGTCTTAGAAAGACACGTGTCTGAAACTGATCGAAAGGGAAACTAAATACATCTGCTGATTTATAGCGATAGCAAGCCTTACTTACGTTGTTAACCTTAATACGATGCTACCTCATCGAATATTCCTCATCGTAGTTCCTCTTGTGTACCACACCAGAACTCGGTTGCCTCTATGAAGACTCCTTTACGATAGATATCCTCTAACCATAACCGATAGGGTACGGTAGTATCGCTTAGCGTATGTGATACAAGAGTATGACTTACCAGTGATACTGATCTCTTTCGGTGTGTACCACACCAACGTATCTGGTTCTCACATCCATTCGTGCAACCCTGTTTCACTTCATCGATTCTGGCTGTTGCTGAGACCTTTTAAAGAAGTATACACGAGCGATTCAAGGGCTTCGAGCGCTCGCTCAGTGTAGATCCGGCTCTTGTATAAGGTGGTTTTGGATATTTATACAAGTTTCGATCGTCGATCCGTCACTTTAAAACTTGCTCGCGCGTTCCGGACCACCAACTTCCGCCCCTTTCTTACTAAAGATGCGCCTGATTTCAGTCTCCCTCGCAACGTCTACTGCGATCTTAACACGTGACACGAACTCTTCGAGGACACGTGACTCCACCGTGACGAGCGCCAGCCTCCCGGCCATCTTGCGTTCCTCTGTCGCCATTCACAACGACGTCGTTGTCAAACGGCTACTAAGAGCACGCGAAAATATCACGGCCGATGAAGAGAGAATGCCATATAAAGCATCCTCGGTTGATGGAGTGATGCATAGTTTGACCCTTAGCCTGATGAAAAAATTTCCTGAGGTGGTGTACCCAAGCAATCTTTCAAAAGCAGCCGAGAAAGCGTTGCGGAAATTCGATCGACATGCCATCCAGTACGAATACATGAAACGATACGAAGACGTTAAAAGAGCGGCGCTCGAAATGAAAATGGATACTCTGTACGCGCATGAACGACCACCTGTGTTATTTGACATGGAGCGTTATCGAGATTCCTATCATGACCATCTGAGGGAAGTATTCTGGACATCGGACGAGGTACAAAAGCAGCTAAAAGATTCAGAGCTACATCCAAGTCTTGTCTTCGAGATGATGATCAATGATGACGTGCGACCAGTTGTGGGCGTTCATTCACGAAGATCTTTCGTAACCGCGGACCTGGAATATCTGAATGCGTATATCGGGCAATATAACGCGGCGAAGCGAGGTAAACGCCTTACGTTGCACGAGACTCTGAAAAGTTGTCTTGGTGAAGGGGTCGAACTCGCATCGTTCTTGTCAATTGCGAAGCAGAACAGTCATAATGCGGCCCATGTGCGGGTGGAACAACTACGGTTGTTTGCAAAATGGGTAAAGCAAAATAAGACCTTCGACCAAGTTGCGAATATGATGGAGATTCCAGGACAGTGGGAGGACACTAAAGCGAGCCCATTCCTGGATACTCTGATCGGATACGTTGCGGTATTCGCCCACACGCGCCCTGAGAAATTAAAAGACATTATCTCGTGTCTGGTGAAAAAGTTTGGCTACCTGTACGTCGCAATGTTTATTGAAGAAGGGAAGAAGTCGAACGTAGGTGTTTTCTCCGAACTGGAGATAACGCTCTTTCACCACTGGACAACCGATGGCATCAATCCCATGAATTTCGAGCAAGCGGTTTTCTTCACGGAAAGTACTGTTGGTGAGGAAGACAAGGGATCGATTCTTGACCGTTTCTCTCAGCGTTGTTTTAGTGGTAGGCCGAGTCATCGTATGTTGCCTTTAAACTAGTCACCTGCGTGCGATAGATAAGAAGACAACGCTGCATCTTTCATCGTGATTTCGCTTGCAATTGCAAATGGCTGCTATTATTCGGGACAGCTCCTGGGTAAAAACTTGAGCTGAATGCGTTCAAGCACCCAACGCGTGTATCCTCAGAATGCAAATTATGTCACATGACTCATTCAGGCACATGATGGCGATACGTCGTACGCTGTTTGTGACATGCACCACCACTTGAGCTCAAATCCCATTCACAGCTAACAACAACCAGCTTCTGACGGTTGCGAGTCCTGATATGAGTCACCTGCCTGCGCAAAAGCGTCTATAGAAGGGAGAACGTTACTTCAATTTTCGAGCAGCCACTTCGAGCGCCATCGGGCGTTCTTCGGCCTCGTCTATCTCCACAAGTCGGGACGATATGTGTAACGTTAAGTGGCGACTTGTGCGTATAGCTCTGGTATACTACAACATTGTCATCGTTTGAGTTCCTGCGATCACGATTGTTCACCGTTATGCTCTGCACCGAAATATACTATTGTGCGTCAAGTCTCGTTGACATTTCACAGCTCGCACCAGACAAATGGATCGTAAGCAACACCGCGTACGTGTATAATTCGACTCAACGCATCAGTTCATCGGATAACTTCGTCACACGTACATACGACACTTCGCCCTGGATGGGTCTTGTTACATTGTGTGTGCATGTGCATACGCCGTTGGATAACTCGGCCTTTCTCACGACTACATCATTCCTTCATACTTAGCATTAGCCATGCTGCATCACACGCCTATAAGCACGAGCACACCTCCATTGCTACGTGAGCGAGATCTGGAGCCGACCAACTCTTTTGCTTCTGGTTTGGGTCAGCTTGCTAAATAGTTCACACTTCCACCATAAGTTGTTCGCTTCAGTTACATGCCTCCTTGTGCTACTCAAACACGGCATTGGAGTTCACGTGTTGATCAGAGAGGCAGGTAAAATTAGAGCGAAGCGATGTGCAGAGCTGTCGCCAACGATCCCGTTCTTGGTTCAAATCACGTGAACACAGACAGATAGATACACAACCGCTACAGAGTTCCTGACTTGGTCATGAAGTGGAGGAACTGATTAGATGCAACATGAACTTCGCTTTTATGAACGATGTGTAAACGAAGTGGTCACGTATGCCGAATAGGTTGTAGCAGTGCTTGCCCCAACATGGAGTGCACTTGTATTGTGCCACAGCTTTCGCATGAAAAAGAACTTAACTTGGGAAATGCCGAAAGAGCTTTCGGTGGCAGCGATGCAGCCCATCGACTACTCTATCGTTTGACGCGTTGCTGATCGATCCATGCGGAATGTGAATTTATCCACGCTCATCAGAACAAGCCTCGCGAAAGTGGGATATCCGACTTGCTCATTGCTCTGTTTTCAAGCCGTTGATTCGTACCATCAAGATGTTGTTGGACATGGATGCTGCCGCTTTCTTGGTCGAGGTCCTTTTCGCATTCACGATTTGGTTGCCCTGGGTGGGTGAGGTCTTGTTGCTGGAAACCAGGATTGTGCTCTCCATATCGCACAATAGGCCCGATAAGGGCCATGCTTCCAACTCTCTGCTCACGGCACGCTATGAAAGCAAGAAAATCTTTGATCGAATCAATGTGAACCAGTTTTCTTCGCCCTGGAAGCTGACAGACGTCGTGGAACAAGACTTTTTCAGGGTGAGTACCACAGTCATTGCGTGCATTGAAAGCTGACGAAAGTGACGATTCTGTGGCAAGCCACGGATTTTACAGGTGCAATACTGAAAGCTACTTGCAGCAAGCACCTCATTGTGAGAGCTGTCGCTAAACATGTGAATGGCGAGCATATGCCGGAGTGGAGCCACAGCATGCTGTGGCGGCCGAGTCGTAGACGATCGACTACAGCTGGATGTACCAGAAGCAGCACAGATGTAGGACCTGATGTCTAAGGGGGTTGGTCAGATTCCCAATTGTACGAACAAGGGAAGGACAACAGTCTATTCAGGTGAAATGCTTGAGCAAGCTGATGCAACTTTGGCAGACAACAGGACTGGCACATTTCGTGTTTACATTTAAATCGCTCGCGGCGTCACAGCAATAAGCAGGACTAACGTGTCCAAGAGATGTACGAGATATCGTTGGCTCGAGGCGTACGAGGGTAACACCGTCATAGCGTTGTAGGTGTTCCTACTGTAACGAATGTGTGTTGACAATGATGACCGCGGTGACAGTTGATGTTGTTCGTATCGACATTGTCGTCCGTACACACAAGATAGTAGGCAGCCTTGAGCGTGGCGATGTCTCACAAAGACAGTCTACTCAAAAGAACGTGGTGAGCTCTTCGTGATAGTGTACGTCAACGTTTTCTCCGATGCACATCTGGTTGAAGACCAGCAGCCCCGTGCGACTGTGACAGGAGCTAATACACTGGCAGTAATTCGATCTGTCACATGATACGCAGTATCGACCCCGCTCTAAACAATGTATATCAAACGACGTTTTCTGCGGTTCAGCAAGCTCTTTGACTCGTGTCGCACCCCGAGCAAGCACTGCAACGGCATAACTAAACTGCTCGATAGTCATTAGGCAAAGCCTGCGCGTTGCGTTGTCGCCTCCACCACGAATGGACAGTCGATGCTTACTCAAACGATCAGTCGCGTATTCTCAGAACGGACAATGGGTGGTAAACTGTCTGCCGTCGTCGATAGGCGCAGCACGAGTACCAGCACTTCGTCGTAGAAACCATCTATCTTTTGCGCCGACTAAGTACAGTGCGCAAGTACTTTTGCATGCTGGGAGCTGTACGAGCAGCGGGAGTTGCTCTGATATCGTCAAACAAGCACAAGTGACCTCGGGTGCATTGGGTACCGTGGGCTCGGGTTGCACACGTTGCGCACCTGGACACGGTCCCCTCTTGTTTGTGAAAACGACAGGAGTACGGGTTACACCACAGGATAGTCCTTCTCGCGCTCTTCTTCTCCCGTCAGATGACGCGGTCAAGTGACAACTTTTGCGTTAGTGGCAGCGAGAGAATGTGCAGTCAAGTCGGATGTGCCGCTTTGGTTACGAGCAAAAGGAGCGGTTTTGCTAGTAACCAAAGCGGCACATCCGACTTGACTGCACATTCCTAGACGCTCGAGTTGCTATAGAGCTCCTATTCACCTCATTTAGATGATGACAAGGAGCACGTTCGTCTGGAGCTCTATCGGGGACTGCTGTGGCCAAGTGCATCATCTCCTACTGACACGCAGTCGAAACTCTATTGCTGTCATTCATAGTATCATTCATACAAAGCATTACACACCTCACTGACCGATGGAGCCTCCCCCTCCCCCTCTCCCCAACTCAGACGTTCCGTGTGTGCTATACTATACTCAAAATAATTCGTTTTGTCCGACCGAAAAAAACAGAAGTGATCGATCGATCGATCGACCACATTGTATTGAAGCCATGACTTTCACGCATGTGAGCGCGTAAAGGGCCCAATAGTCCCATCTTTCTTCCTGCTGGCGTTCTTCTGGACGCCGCACTGACCTTTTAGCGTCACTAGGACGCCGTCGGGTTGCCCTTCCCTCCCCCGTTCTTCTCTTGCTGAAAGAGCGTCTCTCGTTCCGTTTCAAATCTCGGTCACACGTTCCCCCAAAGATGCGGAGAGCTGTCACTTGAGCACACACAGCAAGCTCTTTTCCGCTTTTCCCGCTGGCTTCTTTCCACCCGATGATGTACACTCACTCACTCGCTTGCACCTTGAAGGGCGTCTTGCCCGATTGCATTGCACCACTTTCGCACTCGTCGCACGAACGTACAGCTCTCGCCATTCGACCGACCAACGAACGGCGAAAAACGAGGCATCCGCCGCAAGTCCTGCTTCTCGGTCGTCCACTTTTTACAACCGTTTTTTTTGTTCCACCGACCGTACCGGCACGAGCGGCTCACCCGCCTAAAACCTGTACGCACCAGTCGTCCATAAAACCCACCAGTGTTCAGTCAGTGAGTCAGTCAGTCAGTCGTCGAGTGCGTGCGATTAACGTCCGCTCGCCACCTTCCTTTGCAAAAAGTGATCGATGAACACTGATGTCCCCAGCAGTACCGGCGGCGGTGGCTTGCGCTCCCCCGAGTACGTCCACCGTCGTCCGACCGTGGCCTCTCAATGGCCCGTCGACGTCGACCTTGACGCGCTCTACGTGTCCGAACGCCTCGAAGTCGACGAGATCGTCCGGAGTGCCTCGGACTTGAGCGTCTGGACCGTCGAAACCCGTCGGGACTGTACGACCGTGTACCTCCACTCGAAAAACAGTGAACGACTGTCGTACTCGGTGCGCGCCGAGACCCGCGTCTCGGGCTCCGTCGCGGACGTGCTCGAGTGTCTCCGCGCCGTGGACAACTCGAGTCTGCGCGAGTTCCAGAAATTATTGCACCCACGGAATTTTCTGGACGGTGAAGTGTTGTACGCACACCAGGCCGACGCCGCGTGCGTCCAAGACGGTGCCTCCATCGAGTCCATGACGCTCAAGTGGCTCGTGTACTCGTCGCCCAAGACACTTGGGCGGTCCAAAGAGTTCTGTATTCGCGAGTACAGCGTGCTCTTGCCCAACCATCCCGTGCACGGCAACGTCGGCGTCGTGAAGTTCGAATCGTACGACGGCGCAGCTGCCCGTTACGGCATTCGGGGCAAGCCCGATGCGTACAGTTTAACGGTGTTCGAACCCAGTTCGTACGTGGTGCAGCAGACGCGGGAAGACCCGAGCATGGTGACCGTGACCTTGACTTTCGCCATGCGCAAAGCTCGAGGCGGCGAGAGCATTTCTGCAGGCGTGCGGCTCACGTCGTTGAGACTGGCAGGTGGCCTCAATGGCATGCAGACAGCGGTGCAGCAAGCGCTGTTTGCCCCCGCAGCGCTCGCGCATCGACAAGAGTGGGTCAATGATGCCAAGCGCACCAACTGCTCGCTCTGTGTCCAGTCTTTTGGCATGTTGAAACGCCGTCACCATTGTCGCATTTGCGGCGAAGTCGTGTGCTCGGCCTGCACGGTGTTCAAAATGGTGAAAGGGGACCAAGAAGTGGCGGCAAAAGTGCGCGTGTGCAAAGCTTGTTTGGCGAAAGGGGGCAGCTCGAGCGGCAGCAACACGCTGTTTGGCAGCACGATGATTGGCGGCAGTTTGAGCGCTGGGAGCACGATGGTTGGTGGCTACTTGACGGCATCGTCGGGTCGGCGAGCGAGTAGCATGAGCACGGACTCGGACATGAATGGCAGTGCTGGCACGACGCCCGTGCCGAATGGATTGGGTGTGGTTGGCACGAGCATTGGGAGCACGAGTTCCTTGACGTCGAACGAGTCACACAGTCCGTCGAATGACGACCCGGCGTCGACGACGCCACCACCGGCGTTGGTGTTCAATAAGGGCTCAGCGCTGTCGCTGAATGACTTTGACGCGAATGTGCAAATGGCTGACGAGGCTGGTACAAGCAGTCCACCGCCTCTCCATAAACGAACGTCAACAGCATCCAGTCAAGGGTGGGGAACGGGCTATGAAGACAGATCGGTCAGTACAATAAGTCGAACGGCATCTGATGCTAGTATTACCAGTAGCAGGAAGAAGGCCTCGGATCGTCGCATCCATTATTTCAACGAGGATATGGAGGAGATCTGTATGCTAGCGATGGAGACATTGACTTGCCCCATGGCCGGCATTCGCACGGAAGATTTCGAGCTCGTGAGGTACTATGACGGTAAGCCGGCACCGGGTTTGCCTCGAAGTTTGCCGACGTTCCGGCGACTAGCAACTCGTGGCAAGCCGTGCATTGTGCTCGACGTGAGCTCGGACAAGCGGATTTCCGGTGAAAAACGTTTCACAGCCAAGCTACAGTTCTTCGTCGGCATTCCGTTGCTGGTTAATGGCATCGTCGTGGGCGACCTGTGCGTAGCAGATCGTCATGCACGGGACAATATCGATCATAAGCAGGTGGAGGTGCTCAATGTGCTGGGCGAGACAGTTACGCAATATATGCAGTCGGACGAGTATCAGGAGGATTTGATGGAGTTTAAAGCGGCAACAAGTGTGGTGCGCAGACAGCCGTCGACTGGTTCATCCTCTCAACCAGTAGAAGACGATGGTGGTGGTTGTAGCGCTCCGCTTGGAGATACCAAGGAAGTTGCGTTTTGAGAGCATGGCGGCGCGGTACAGTTGCAGATCGGCGACTTGTCAGGCCGGTATATATGTGTGAGCCTGTTTCACAGGAGGTTGTGGGTACGCACCCTTCTGCCACTTGTCCATCGCATGGCGAAAGAATTGGTGAGGCGCTGCTGCATAGTTCGGTCCGTAATTGCCCGTTTACCGGCTATCAGAATTCAGCGCTAAAGTGATAAAATAGTTTCTGGATTTGCCTGCTTTGACCTCCTATCCTGAGCTGCTATGCTGCTCAATGTCAACAAGCGCGTTGTGAGCCTTCCGCTTGGCTGATCACAAGTGAGGACTAACGATGGGGGTAATCATTAAGTCGCGAGCACGCCAAGTTTTTTCTGCCGTCGTGTCATGCGCAGCATCGACATTGTGTCTGAATTTTGTGTGTTGTGATACCTTTTGACTTGGGGATACATGGACAAACACGAGAAAGTCTTCTTGGACAGAAGCTAGTCTTCGATAGTTATCGAAGTGCATTGGAATCTGGCCTCTTGCCGAAATAGTTTAAACGTCGTAGGACTGAGCTAGTCTGTACGACGAGTTCACGTTAAAGGTATCTGATACTTGCAAAGCAAACGAAAGGGATACACGGAAACCATGAGACTCGTTAAACAGCGCTTGTCATTCACAAGCAATCTACGTCATGCACTTACATATCCCGAGTCTTCTTCTACTTTTTAGCAGCTTTCACCAGCTTGTAAGACTCGAGTCGAGAAGACGGGAGACCTGTAGATGCAAATACATTCTGGTCGCTGCTCTTCTTCTTTTTATTCCGATGCTTCTTCTTCTTTTCAGATTCGTCTGCAGTCTTCGCCACCACTGGCTCAAGCTTTTCCGTCTCAGCTTTCTTGCTCTGAGTTACAGACCCCTCATCCAATGTCGCTTCACCTTCTCCTGGCATCGCTCCTTCCTCGATAGTTTTCTTCTGTTTGCTGCGTTTTCGTTTCTTCTTTGGCTGCTCAACCTCGCCACTCTGTATCTCGCTACTATCTCTGGTCTCCTCTTTCGGCTTGCGTCGACGATTCTCTTCACGAGTCTCCTGCACGCTCTTCTTGAGGTTTTTGAGCAACCTACGGTCGACCGAGTACTCGGTATCTGCATAGGGTGCCATGCGCTTGAGAGACACAAGTTGTTGAAGTTCCTTGTCGTTAGCCACCATTATCTCGTCTGCAGTGAGACCAAAGTCGTTGCTCTGGACCCGGCGATACTTGAAGCGGCACTTGATATCTCCAATCAAGTCTTCGTAGTCCAAACTGTACAGCTCGTCGAGGTACTCCTGCTTTCTACGCCGCATCTCTTCCAACGTCATCTTCTTCGGCAGCACTTCCTCCTCTTCATCCTGCCTGGCTTCGCCCTCTGGCATCAACTCCTCTTCGTCTTCCTTCTCGGCTTCCCCACCATCCTGCTCTTCTTCCTCCTCGGGATCAGTCGGCAAACCAGCAAGCAATTCTTTGTCCTCGTCTTCGTCCCACGTAGGCTTCTCCATATCAGTACTGTCCTCATCGTAGTATTGTTCGTCAAAGATAGCCTGCATGCACTTGTCGTGCTCTTCCGGGTCGAACTCACCCTCCAAATCCTCTGCCTTCAAACCTATGGTGCCTTCTTCCTTACCCACGAGCCGGGCGACCTTCTTCAGCTTCTGTTCGATCTCAGCCTGTTTGAGATTCTTCAGACGACGAAGTTCCAGCTCCTTCTTTTGCCGCTCATATGCTTTGCGTGACTTTCGCTCGGCACGTTTTCGCTTCCGCGAATCGTCTTCCCGACGCACCGTGTCATCGATATGACGCGCATGCGTCTGGATCACACTACTTCCTTGCTCCTCGAAGCGAAAGTTGTACGTGTGTTCAAATTCTTCTGCCTTCTCCAGCGCTTCAGCGTCCTCTTCATCCTCTTTAACAATATCGTCGTAATGGGGAATCACTGCTGTTTTGTCCTTCCAGCCTTCGCTACTGAGGTAATGCTCTAGAAACTTCTCCGGGTTCAGCTCGTCCTTCTGCAGCTTCGATCGAAACATGCTCTCATCATAGACCTCATTCTCAGGACCCAGTTCCCCTCCATCGCCCTTCTTTCTCATCGTAAACAGTCCCCCATCCAGACCATCTCCTTCTTCTTCACTCCCCTCTTTATGTTCCTCCTTCCTCAACGACGACAAGAAATCCTTCTTAATCTCTGCCTGTTCCTCTGCATACGTTTGCACACCCTCCATCTCGTCCCCTTCGTCACTGCTACTGACGTCACCTGCAATCGCCTGCTGCCGCACTAGATCTTTATAGTGCAAAGGCGCAGAACTCGCCTTCTTACTGTGTTTAGTACTATCCACAACATCCTTCTCGGTGTCCTCTTGCGGCTTAAAGAACGTAATGGATGAGTCGTAGATAACCGGATCCTTCTTCCGAATGAGCTTGAGCGTCTTGCGGATATCCGCGCCCAACTCCTGGGTGAGCTCCTCCCCGTCCTCGTCTTCCGTCTCGGAGTCCGACTCTTCCTCGTCATTGTCCTGGGCGTAAAGTCCTCGTTTCTCGAGCGCCGAGAGCTCCTCCTTGCGCTTCCGCTGCTCATACGCCTGCGCATACGTCTCGTTCACATAAAGCGCCACCTCTGGACTAGTGGGTCGCGGTATTTCCGACGCCTTGGACGATGTCCTGGAGCTCTTCCGGGAACGACTTGAACCCATGACAATGGAGCTCTTGGGATGACTGGTGCTGGACTGGGAACTCGACTAAGTGCGAAACAGAGATGGTCATTGCATGATGTGCTGCGGTAGGGGTGTTTCTGTGAATCAGACGAGTCTGTGATATTCTAATTTAAGAAGGAAGCGCTTTTGGACACGACTAAAGCAGGAGGCGGGCAATGCGAAAAAAGTCGCTACATTAGCAGCTGTGGATGAGAAGCGGCCGTTGTTGATGAGCAGTTGGAATGGGATTTCCGCCCTACCGTTTTAGAAATTGGTGGGGAAGGGGTATACCAATTGCTGCTGCTGCATGAGTTGTCGGCGGCGTGGAAAAGACTTTGCTTGAGATATTATCGGACACGACGACGACGCAATAGAAAACGCGCTGATTTACTAGATAAATGACACGCAGGGCGAACTAGAAGCAGAAAGAGAGCCAATAAGGAAAGCATGAGCCTGCGTGAAGTCAAAGTGCTTTTCGATGCTATTGCCGTGATCGTCCTGATGAGCGTTCACGGTTTCGAGGGGATGCAAAAGCGACACTTCTTTGTCAGCTGCGCGGTCTTCGTGTCCCATGTTCTTCTAGATTTGCTCCACCGGGCGAAAACCTAATGGGTACAGAAGGCCAGATCGGACACTCACTCGGCTGCGTCCCCGCAACCAACCAAGTCGATCAGTCGGTTCTTCTATGTCAGGCCATAAAAAGCGCCGTTCGAAAGAACCTCTTCGACCGTTTGAATTCTCTTTTGCCTTGTCGGTGCTTCCTTTTTCTCAGAGAAGACAAACCAGCGAAAGCAAACCGTCGTCGTCGAGAGAAGAAGAAGAAAGAGTACTTAGTCGTCACTGCGTTGAGGGACTCACTCGGACGTGTCTGCGTTAAACCTCGAGTGCCTATTTAGATACCTCCTTCATACCCATACCCCTCTCTCTCCCCTCAGCCAGCCATCATTAGACCAACCTACTACACACCCAGCCTCCCGACGATAAAAAACCCCACAAACTTAACCGAAAGAAGCCCATAGCGTAGAACGGGAGTACTACAACAACAACATTAACATTAACAACGTTAACGTCATTACCGACAATCTCCTCTCGGACTTGGACTTCCCGAGATGGCCATGATGCTGGACGACACGACCGAGTCCAATGACGAACGGGGCCGAGCCATTGTCCAGACGCTGGCCGTCGTCGTCGAGTCCATGGTCCACGCGAGCGACCGCATGCCCTTAGGGTACTACCACAAGACGAAGTTTGAAGCTTTTCGCGCCCCTGGCATCTCGGTGCGGGACTACCTCCTGCGGATTCACAAGTACGCGAGCTGCAGTCCTGAGTGTTTCGTGCTTGCGCTCGTGTACGTCGATCGCTTGCACCAGCTGCAGGGGTTTGTGCTCACGGAGCTCAACGTGCATCGCGTCGTGATCACGAGCATCGTCTTGGCTGCCAAGTTCTTTGATGACCATTATTTCAATAATGCCTACTACGCTAAAGTCGGAGGCGTGCCGTGTCCCGAGATGAACGAGCTCGAGGTCGAGTATTTGCTCCTGATTAACTTCAGTCTCCACGTGAACAGCGAGACGTACGCGCGGTACTATAATGAACTTGCCAATCATTACGTGTACACGCGCGTGCGTAGCTCTTCGGCCGTGCCTCACTCGCCGTACTATCAATTGCGCCACTTTGTTGCGCCGGACCCGCAGCGCGAGGGGCAGCTCGTGTACGTGACGGAGAGTTACCCGAAGGTGCAGCCGCCTCAGGACGTTCGACGCAGCCACCCGGTACCGCTACATCAACTGAATCAGCCACGACAGTCGACAGCTGCACAGCAGAATCATCAGCATCAGCAGCAGCAGCAGCAACATTCCCATCACCGCCGAACAGTTGAAGACAATGGGAACAGTGCGGTGGCGACGGCAGCAACAGGGACCAATGGCATTGTGCGCACAAAAGCAAGTCGGGCCTCTGGGCAGAAAAGGAGGAGCGCCGTTGCGCTGGGGGTCAACGCGTAACTTGCTTATTGTTGGAGCACTGCTCGGCGTGAAGAAAAAAACATGTAGACGCGTATCAGGGGGATATCATAACAACTGCACAGAAGCACCATAAATTTTGACGCGACGGGGGTGAAGAAGACTTGACATCCAGCGTGGTTTGAACGAGAGAAGCCAAGGGAAGCAGAATTGGATGTTGTCAGTCGATCGGTGCGGCTGATTGTCTCGGAGCCGAGATATGGCACTCCTAGTCCAGAGGTAGTGGGAGTGTCGCGCGAATTGACCGTTAGCTTTTGTGCACTGTGTCCCCGCTCTTCCCGCTCGTCTTCGTCCCCCGTCATTCACCTCTGGGTTAATATAGAGTCACTGACTAGCTGTATGTCAGTCCGTATGTCTTTTGATGATGTTTGCTGCTAGATGTTGGGCTTCGATTGCTTCAATGCGCACCAGTGTGTGATGGCGAGAGCTTTTGTGATCGAGACTCTTGTCCTGGGAACAGCGCTCAATGTTGGATGACGATTTGTTAATACTCATACCCACGTTACCCTATCGAACACATCAGCACTGCAGACTCACGTTACCCTATCGGACACATCAGCACTGCAGCACAGCGAGAAAGCTTGCCGCAACCGCTACAACATTCTCTGCAACAAAATGCACTTTGACATGAGCACATCGCGAGCTGGCATACAGCATTCACTTGCGCTTCCAGTAAGTACCGTCGGACACTCCCCACTGATACTTGCGCTCGTGCTCGCGAATCATGAACGGGTAGTCCTGACGCTCTAGCAGCTCAAAGTCTTTCGACAGCAACTGCTCAATCACGCTGAAGCTGTCGACAATGTTGCCCTCAGTGTCACGCACGCCGCCAATCCACTTGTCTTTAGCCGTGTACTCCTCCAGCCACGAGTACGGACTAACGAGAGCAAGGACACCACCAGAGTTGATAAACCTGCCGATCTCCGTCAAGAACTTCTGAGGTTCTGGCAGCCGACACAACAAATTGGAGGCAAACACCGCGTCAAACTTGCCTGACCATAAACGAGCAAGAGAGACAAGGTGAGCCAGCGCTCGTTTCCCACAGCTCCTTTTCTATGTAAACGAAAGCAACACGCGCCATACCTAACGACAACGGCAAGTTGCACGCATCACCTTGCTGAAACAGAACGCTCGATGGTTTGACTCCCTCAGGCAATTTCGCACAGCGTTCTTCACGGATATCTCCCTGAATATGAGCTTCGTACACCGTCTCGCCACGCTCCTTCATCTGGTTCGCAGCGTCAACAAAAGGCTGCGAAAAGTCAATGCCCAGCACCTGAATGAAAGACACCAGAAAAAAAGGTAAAAAACACACCGTAAACAGCCGCTACAAAGTGGCTACATGAACTTCAACTGCATCAACTCCAGCCATCGTCGACTTGCTGTACCTCGTCATAGAACTTGCTAAGTTCGAACGTGGCTCGACCCACAGCACAGCCAATATCCAGAGCACGTGTACGCCGAGTTGTAGGCGTCAGCGAAGCACAGCGCTCTACAGTGCGCGGTAGAAAGTCCAGCGCGTCCAGTGGGGCGAAGCTATAGGGGACCAGAGCAGTACCTGTGAGACAGGAGGATGCATACAACACTAGCGTTATGTATACACAGAGCAATAGAGAGAGAGAGGGGGGGGCGTATATCACACGGAAATTGAGCTGACATACCGTAGTGGAACTGGAGATACTCGTACACTGCACGCTTAGACTCGTAGACAGCGGAGCCACTGGCTGTCGTACTGCGGACGAGCACAGAAGCTTGGACCATGACGGATCGCGGTGATCTGATGGATTGATATGATATGACGGACAGATCGACGATATGATGAATCGCATCGGTTTGGATGTCGGAAATACTCGAGTGAGTACGGTACTAGTATCCGCTCGTGTAAGTACGAAACCAAAAGCGATAACTTATGTCACGCTGGCCATTTTGCGTGTGCAGGATGCGCAGTCTGAGTCAAGTCGTCGTGCCGGCCGGATGAAACCGCTATTCAGTTTCCTTGGCAACGCGACGACGAAGACGTTTGTCCGCGACTCGATGTTTTGTCACGATAAACTCTTCTCTCTCTCTTTCTCTCTTGCAACTACTGCGTTACTCAAACCAGTCACACATACACACACACACTTTTTTGTATCGTCACATCGCCGGAGATCTACCAACGACTCGTTTCTTGTGTGCGTGTGTATGTGTGTATCTGTATGTTTGTCGCGGTTTCTGACAAAGGAAACGACTGCCTTGGATCCGGTCCAGTCCAGTCCAAAAGAGGCTTTCTCACACACACACTCTCTCTCTCTCTTGCGTCTTCTTACGCGTCGTTGGTTCGCGTAATTACAAGTCGTCGCTCGACCTGTGAAACATAATCCTCAACCAGCACGCAGTACTGGCTATGTTTATAAACCCGGATCGTACGTGGGGGGTGGGTGCTACATTGACCCGTCGCCCACAAACAACACGCTCCGCATTCTTCCCTCTCAAAGTCAATACAGCGGCTGCTCCTCTTGTCTCCCTCCCTCCCTCCCTCGATCAATCGATCGATCGACCAACGACCGATTCATCACAAACCACGGGGTACAGCTTCCTGTGTTCCACACATCACCCACACACAAGAACCGCCCCTATTTCCGACCCCCACTCCCTCACTTTGGCGCTGTCTCTCCTCCCGTTTCGCCCCCTCCTCCTTTCTTTCCAGCCATTAGCCAGTGCGCGCGCCCTCCCCACCGCCCAACGTCCGTCCGTCCGTACGTACGTACGCACCTATCACCGCCTCCGTCCTCACCGAGACTACCGACGCAGGCTCCACGTGGGCGCCTGCGTCTCGTCTCGTCGCGTCGCCTCCCTCACCGTGTGTTCCTCACCTGCTTCTCCTTGTCTTGTTGTTGTCTGCATCCTAGCCCTAATCCTTCTCGTTCAAGATGCTGCCGTACCGTCGTGACAGCGCGTTGGAGCTGCGCGTGGGCAAGAAGTTCCGTCTGGGCCGCAAGATCGGCAGCGGCTCGTTTGGGGACATTTACTTGGGCACGAACATGACGTCGGGCGAAGAGGTCGGGATCAAGCTCGAGTCGGTCAAGAGCAAGCACCCGCAGCTGCTCTACGAGTCGAAGATCTACAAGATTCTCAATGGCGGACGTACGTACATGTTGGGGGTCTTTGCTGCACTGTGATTGGTCGAAAGTAAGAGAGGTTGTTTTGTGTGAGCGGTTTGTTCATTTGGTGTATTTGTGGTGTGGTGTGATGTAATGCGACAGTGGGGGTCCCGACGCTGCGGTGGTTTGGCGTGGAAGGCGAGTACAATGTCATGGTGATTGACTTGCTGGGGCCGTCGCTCGAGGACCTGTTTAACTACTGCGGACGTCGCTTCCAGCTCAAGACTGTGCTCATGATTGCGGACCAGCTGCTCTGCCGCATTGAGTACTGCCACTCGAAAAACTTCATCCATCGAGATGTCAAGCCAGACAATTTCTTGATTGGGCTGGGCAAACGCGCGCAGATTGTCCACATTATTGACTTTGGCTTGGCCAAGAAGTATCGTGACCCCCGGACGCACCAGCACATTCCGTACCGTGAGAACAAGAACCTCACGGGCACGGCTCGTTATGCGTCGATTAACACCCACGTTGGGATTGAGCAGAGTCGTCGTGACGACCTCGAGTCGTTGGGGTACGTGTACATGTACTTCATCCGTGGGAGTCTACCGTGGCAAGGCCTCAAGGCGAATACGAAAAAGCAAAAGTACGAGAAGATCATGGAGAAAAAGATGAACACGCCGATCGAGGTGCTGTGCAAGGGCTACCCGGCCGAGTTCCGTGCTTACTTTGAGTACTGCCGTGCCTTGCGCTTTGATGACAAGCCCGACTACGCTTACCTCAAGCGTCTGTTTAAGGAGCTGTTTTTCCGCAAGGGCTTTCAGTTTGACGCGATGTTTGACTGGACTGTTCTGAACCTGCGTAGCGGCCGTCGGGAGCGTGGCACTGGTGCGGAAGGTGAGCGCAGTGCTCGTGCGGATACGCACCAGGAGGCTCCTCGTGATGGCCGTCAGGTCACTTCGCAGAACCGTGTGTACGTCTGTGACGAGGCGAAGGAGAATGACGGTCAGATGCAAGCACAGCAGGCGTATCGCTCGGCGGGCACTCGTGACGACAGACAAGCGGCGATGGATGCAGGCTACTCTGCCCCTCGTGTGGCTACTGGCGCTAGCCATGATGGTCTTGTCGATGCCAAGCCAGCGAGTCGACAGCGCTACTGAGTTGATGACGTGCACAGGAGCGTATGATGCTGATGTCTGTCAAGTGTTTGACAGTCGTTAGCATCTTTGCTCCACGATTGATGTGTTTCCCGTGATGTGAAATTGCTGCAAAAGCGAGGACGCGATGCACGGGAGACTGTGAGACGAACGAGAGACGACGAACGAAAACGAACGAAAAACTGTTGAAGATTACGAAGGATGGAGAAGGAGATGCGCGAGCGACGGATATTCCTAGACAAACAAGCAAACAAGATGACGAATCGAAGAGGCCTTGCGGTCGCTTAAGGAAATGGCAGTCGAAGGAGTAATCGGGTGCGTCGATGGACCTGAAGACTTTGTAGTTGTAGCGAGAGAAGAAGAGAGAAAGCAAATGGATGAAATCGTGCAGTCGCCAAGCGCTCATTTATTTGCTTGTGGAAAGCGGGATGGTATCTCGAATCTTTGTTTGCTACGATGGACGTGACTAGTCGCGGTCGAGTAGTGAGCTCGCAGGCTTGGCTTTAACATGCAACGCAGTCTTGGCACGTCGGACTTTGTTTTGCTCGTGATTTGGCGCTGCATTTGCGTCTGGTAACAATGGCAGTACAAAGAAGCATGCCTGAGATGTCGAGTATGGGATGCGCATCTATCTGGTAAGTACAGAGATCTAGCAATAGTGACGTGGTCGCTGATTGTTGACGTAAACACCTGTGGAAGCTCCGTCATCAGCGAGAGCGTTGGACAAGGCGAAAGTCGAATAGCTTCCGGACATGTTTCTATCGTGGGATAGATAGAGACTTGCGATGCTTCACGTACGTGTTACAGCATACCGTAATGGCAAACTCGATAGCCAGCTTAGCGTTGATCCGACTTTAACGACTGGTCATGTTCACGCTAGATGTAATCACTAAGGGCAGCACTACCAGTGCGACGTTTATCTCGTGGCGAAACCAAACACACACGTGTTCAGTGGATGTCCAGGGAGAGTTCTGTGAAAGGTGAAAGATTATGCGCGACTGTTTCACTCGATTGAATCGGTATATGGACCACGTACTAACAGGGTGAATGTCATTGATTGATAGAAACCCTGCGTCCTGCGAGCAGAAAAGCTGGCAACGCGGTAATTGTTTCATTTGTTCGTAACTGTTCTTCCCATTGAAGCCAGTGTCAGTGTCTTTCGTATTGCTCCATGAAGATGACGGAACGATCACACGTCAGTCGTTATTCCTGCGTCGACCCCAATCACTGCTTTACTCTATTTACACAATGAATGTCCAGCTGGCAACTATTACAGCTCTCTATTTGAGTATCGCCATATTGCAAACTTGGCCGTCCTATCGCATCAACGCCGTTTATCGCAAGTATGTACTGCTGCCCCATTATGCCATAAGCTCGGTAATCGTACCCATTTATCAAGAAGATACAGCACATCGTAATCACCGCTTTGTCACAAGGTACAATATACATATAATCACAATCGTTTCTCGGTAGCCAAATCGGCCATTGCAGATTGAGCTCAAGCATGTCCCAATCAGAAAGACAGCAAATGTGCACAGGTCAAATACGTCAAGTCCATAAAATCAATGCTTCGTTCAGTTATACAACCAAAGGTGACCAGATCTCGTCGTCACCCACATGGACGTCCACATATCGTCGCCCCTCTACAATCCTCTTCCAGCGTCATTCTATCACGCCACGCAAAGTCCACAAGTCGTCCATCTCGCTGCTCTCCTTTGGATGAGCAGGCTTGTACACCTCAATACCTTTTCCAGCGCCCTGCATGGCTTCGCTCTGTGTATACTGCTTCTGGGCAACGTCTTTCAATCTGCACACCATTAGAAACAAACCAACAAACACCGCTCAGCTCATCTCTCTTCTTTGTCTCCCAACCCCCTCAACAGCATCGGTAGCCCACCTCCGCTTGTGCACCTTGGTCTTCAGATGTACGTCGCGTGTCTTGCCGTCAATAAAGTGGCGGCCACACGGCGTACAGTAGAACTGACCGAGACTGTCAGAAACCGCAAACAATACAGTAAGGAGCCGATTTGACAAGATAAAGAGCCATTCAACATCAGCTCCGTAGCGTACCCTGGCAAGTCCTCGTCCACCTCAAAGCCCATCTGTTTGCCGGTGACTTTCTCCACGCACAGGTCATCCTGGATCTGGTCAATGTCGCGCGCGCGGTTCTTTGTAGCGTGGCCGCGCTTGTACTGCTTCTTCCTGACGTGAGCGCGAGCCCTGCCAGCTCCTGATCGTCCTGTACCCATTGCCTTGTATACTGGGACAAGCGATTGAGTAAAAAGAACAATACGACAAAATGATTGGATGGTGGACCGGGAGGCCGGAGGGGGTTGGGATTCTCACACGTCGCATGTTTTTTTTTTTCTCAGACTCAGACTGACTCAGAAACGAAACGACGCGAGCATCAACTCGGCACGAATGACATCTTTCAGACTCTGGAAAAGGCACGGGAACGCCATCACGTCGCGAGGGTTGGTGTCCACCCAGAGCTTGTTGAAGCGAGTGAAGATCGTGGCTACGAACGTGCAAAAAGAAGAATTAGCAGGTCCAGAAATAGCGACATTTTCGATGAACGAATTGATACTAAATTCCACGCACCGTAGACGTCGTGGAGCTGCATCAGACCAGCATTCAAGTCTTCGTCGTCTTTGCCATTCGCAGCGAGACGGTACAGCTTGACGTCCAGTAAACGCTCGTCGATCAGCTCGATCAAGAAGGCCGTCACGTTGATACCAGTCACAGCGAAGGGGTACCAGCGCGTCGGATGGTTTGACTCTTCCAAAGCTCTGCAAACACAGCCGATGCATTCCATCATCTATCAAACAATCAAATGTCCTGGGCGCATGCAAGGACCAACCACCCTTACCGTTGGGCTTCTACTTTATAGTTCTTCGTGAAGTAATTGAGCTGCACGAGTGAGAAGATGCCCATGCCTCTGAAATCCGACATCGGGTCGGTTCCTACCCTCCACCGAGAAAAGCACAATGACAGCACAGCAGCAGTATCAGCATCACCTTCTGTACTACTACGAAACGCAACATTACCAACTACAACATGAACACCACCTTGAAAGCCAATTTCTCCCCACTCTTTCGTAATGCGTCCACCTTTGCGACGCACATTCGGTTTCAGATTCCTCCACAGCTGTTCCAGCATCGCTTCATGCACTTCGTTCGACGACGTGTACCCTTCATTTTTCTCCGCACATACACGGGCGTACACCTTGTTCACATAATTGCAGCGCCGGAGACACGAGCGCACATTTGCCATCAAGCTGCGTTCAGTCAATCAGACAAGATCTTCCATCAGTAAGCCATTGAGCGAAACGAATCCCAACGTTTCTTTTTCAGCAACTCGTTCACGTACGTAACATCCTTCTCGTCCAATTGCGCCCTTGTTGCAACATCACGCAGCGTCTCGTCCATCTATACGCATCCACAGAACTTCGTCATTAAAAAACTCCAGAGCTTCAAAAAAGCTCCAATAAAACACGATGAGAATCACGCACTGGGAACGGCTTCGTAGCAAACACCACGTCGCACGTCTGCGCCATTGTGTCCGACAGTGCCAATTCGGTCCGAAAGCGCACAATGCGCTCGTCTTCATCCGCTTCCGCTGGTGATTGAAACAGACGCTGCCACTCGTTCTGTCCATAGAACACGCGCCCTGTATAGTAGTAATGACAATGATAACAACATCCACAATAATATCAATTAAATATAAACATTATTAACATTAGTAACAATAGTAACAATAATAATAAGAGACAAAACGATCCCCAGCCAAGTCGTTGGTATACAGATAGACGTGAACACCATTGACTCATAAGGTCCATCTGCTAGATCTATGGTTTGTATGTAACGTACAAACAGTGATCTTGATCCAGCGCCATACACGCACGACCACCGTCTCGCGGGCTGCCGCTGCGTGACGTACGCGCAGCCCTGTAGACATGATGGTATCCGGATACACTGTCTGGATCGGCGTATACACACCCACCTAATCGCATTGAGCTTTGCCCTGGTATCATGTGGGACACGCTACATTAGTCAAAACTGATTCGTCAACAATTCGGAAAAGAGGTTGTTCGTCAACCTGTCGGCACAGAAAAAGGAGCTGTAGCCATTTTGGGGCTCAGTCGAAAGTCGGAACGATCGATCATTGGTGGGAATCGACACAGACAGTCACTGGATCGTATTTCCACCAATCATCGTCGTTACTTTCTCCATTTTACACCGTTGTCGAGCGCACGGCCTCGCAGCATGGAGGAAACCGCAGCTCTGCTCGCCTCTTCCGGTGCGTTCTCGTGTCTATACCATCCATCTGATTCTTCTGCTCTTTACCTATCTTATGATTGCACTTTTATGCGTTAAATGTCTGTCTACAGTCTCAAAGCAGCGGTTTGCAGGAGTCTCGAAGCTCTTGGAACAGCTTCGGACACAGAAAGCGACACCTGAGACCGCAGATGCTCTAATAACGCACGTGATGCCTTGTATACGTGATCACAACTTGAAGATCGCTCTTGGTGCACTGGAAATCCTCGAGCAGCTGCTGCTGGCGCCTGTGGCGGACAGCACGTTACGCTCGACGTTCAAGTTGTTGTGGACGAGCATCGTCGAGCGGCTTGGGGACAGCAAGATAAACGTGCGGCAGAAAGCTGTGGATGTGGTTGTTGCGGTCTCTTTGGTGCTGGATGTGTCGACAGTTCTGGAGAAGCTCCAGCTCTGTATGAAGCACAAGAACTGGCGCACGCGCGAACAGGTACATAAAGCTGATGAATTAGTAGGTGATGAACGATGTATAGTCCACAATATCTATTGACGCTGTTGCTCGGTTGTCGGTGCTCTGATAGAGTCTACATGCAGTGTGGAGATGTTTGGAAAAGCACAATTTGTTTAAAGAGAAACAAAACGAGCTGCTGGATAATGTGAGTGATGATGGATTCTTGAGGTAAAAAGTGATGACTGGCTGGTAGCATATTTACCCCTATTTGTGCTCGTATGCAGGTGCTAAAACTGCTGGAAGATTCGTCAAAGGATGTGCGTGACACCGCTATGACTACGTTGGAAAAGTTTTACGCGTATATCGGTTCCTCGCTACTGGTAAGAGGAGCTTGACGTCGTTGGGTGGTTGACATCTAGTGACACGGCTTCGTTATTGCTTGCGATCGATGCTTAGAGTGACCTGCAGAACAAGAACCTTCGAGCGGGACAGCTGAAGACGCTGGAGAAACGATTCGAGAATATTCCTAAAAGTTCTGGTGCCATCGTATGTGCGACGTTGTCGGACGGTGTCGCTCCGGTACGGTTAGACTGGCATACACATAGCAGGTACATTTGATGGAGCTAATTGCCCAAATTTTGCTCGTAGGTTTACCGTGGCGCTTTCGATCGTAATGACGACCTGCCTCATGCACTGCCATCGAAGATGTCGTCTTACGATACGCAGGCTCCCTCGTCATCATCATCATCCGTGGCACGGTATTTGGAATCCGTACGGCACCGTACGTTGAACGAAGCAAAGGCAGTCGCTGTTGTAATAGACGACGAGCGGTCTGGGTCTCACGAGTCCTCGGGAAGCAGTGAGGTCGTGCAAGACGTCAGTTTGCCCGGAACGAGCAGTGACGATATTTCCGATAAGGAAATTCACAAACAGCTTGGAGTGGTGTTCGACAAGCTACAGCGTGATAACGACTGGGACAAGCGTGTGGATGGTTTGAAAATACTTCAGAAATTGGCGAACCGATGCGCCAAGCGCGGAGCTGCGATCTCATCGCTATCTCAGGGTCTCCGCCCGATTCGTGAGCGACTGTGCCAGCAAGTTATTGATCTGCGGTCTATCGTGTCGAAAGAAGCATGTGAGACCATCCAGATTCTCGCCAGAACACTGACTGATGAGTTCAATGCTCATGCGGAAATATGTCTCGGCAATCTATTAAAAGCCACATACGTGACTATCCAAGTGATCTCGACTGCAGCAGACACAACAATTCGAGCCATAATCGAAAGTACGAGTAACGGGTATACGCGCGTGATCCCAAAGTAAGTTGCCGCGATTATTGGTGTTTCTCAGTCTTCTTGCGCTGTGGCTAAGAGCGGCTCTATTTTTGCTCCAGGTTGATCGAATGTGCGAGCTCTCGAAACCATGTGCTTCGATTCAATGCGGTGTGCTACTTGACGCTGACCCTTCAGCGGTGGAGCGTCAATTTTCTTAGCAAGTACGATCACAGAGCTGCTTCGTGCCGCTTTGTAGAGTTGTCGGGTCTGACCGATATGCGTTATTGTGTCAGACACTCGGATTTGTTTGTGCCAATTGTGCCAGTCATTCTGCGAGATGCGCTTGGCGATGTGCGCGCGCAGTCAAGGAAATGTTATTGGTCGTTCCGGCATGTCTTCCCGGTACGTTTGTTCTTTTTTAGTCATGTTAGCTCCCCGGACGCCGTGACCTGGCTTTTTATAATGTAGACAGAAGCCGAGATCATCTTTTCCCGCTTAGATGGACCAACACAAAAGAATTTACGCGATGATTCCTTGAAATCTACTGCACAAGCAGCACGCTTGACGAATGATAGCTCGCTAGTTACTCCCGCGCCACCAAATGGCGCAGGCGGGCGGTCAGCTCTACGGACGACCAATACAGCTCAGCCAGCTACTAGTGCACTCCCTGCACTAAATTCGGTGACCTTTAATGTTGATGAACACGCCGTACAGCGTGATGGTAGCTCACAAGAGTCTGCTGCTGGCAAATTACCGAGACGTGTATTCGAAGGGAGCTTAGGTTTACAGGGAGTCGATGCTAATGAGGAAAGCGCGCAAACTTCGCGAGTACTATCACAGCGTCCATTACGCATCGGACATGCGGCCCTAGCGAAGCCGTCGGTCTCGAAGGACGGTTTCGCTTTAGAAAATGAGACGAAGAAGAGCAGTGTCGTGGGTCCTCTTCGCGTGCGAAATGTACCAGCGTCGCTGCAGACGGCGAGTGCTACAAATGAGAACTTGGGCGCGTTAAGACAAGAACCATTGACGACCGGGTCTCAAAGCAATTTGAATCCTGTCTCCAAAGTGCAACGAGTTCAGCGCACAGTAGAACTTCAGACGCCCGTTGTAATGGAAATCGAAGAGAGTGGTCCAAAAAGATTGCTGGTTGCATCGGTGGCGTCACCGACAGCGTCAAATGCGTCAAGCTCCAGGACAAATGTCTCATCGAGGGATGATTTGATCGACAACAAGCCAAAGCGGGCTGTGCTCACGAAATCATCAGAACGACTCAAGGCTGCTGACCTGCCACTCGCAGATTATCTCGAAGAAGCTCTTCGAAAGATCGACAGCGAATCCTGGTCTACCAGGTTGGAATCCGTCGAGTTTATTGGTAAATTACTTCGAGAGCGCGTTGACCAGATCACTGTTGGCACAGGCGAAGATCACAAAGTGGATGGACGGATCTTGATTGCGTTCATCAAGCATCTGAGCGATGCTCACTATCGCGTCTCACAGGGCGTGCTGAAAAGCTTTTTGCCGCTGCTACAGCTGTGTGGCGACAAACATGTTCCTCATCTGAAGTCAATTTTGCCGAAGCTGTTTCAAAAGTTCATCGATACGAAAGATGTAATTCGCATGATCGCTAAAGCGAATTTGGAGCACATCACATCGACAGTTGACAGCTCAACACTGGCTGCGATAATGATATCGCTGTTGGGTGATGGGAGTAACATGAAGGTTAAAGCAGCAATGTGCCATTACTTGCGCGAGTTGCTTCCCAGAGCAGAAGGGTACATGAAGAACGGTATCAACAACAGCCACATGAGGTCATTTCTGCTCAGGATTGCTTTACTTATCGATGCTGACGTCCCGGTTTCGGTTTCATCAGCTTGTGGCGAACTAGTCTCAGTTGTTGCGCAGCTTTATGCGTCAGAGATGGAGACAGCACTAGGACTGCTTCCTCCATCAAAGCGTTCGGTTGTTGCCAAAATGCTCAAGTCCAAGAAAATTGTTCTAGACTGCAGCAATCGTCAAAACCCTCTATCTTCATCAACAGATCCGCAAAAGACCCAGCCACAGAACGGGAACAGCCACAACCACGTCATGGAAAAGCTCGCACCTAAATCAGAGAGGAGCCGTAAGCGACCAGAGTCACCGAGCGTGGATTCTTCCGGCTCTGCTCAACAGAACGATCATAAACGGATCAACGTGACATCCCGGTCCGTTTTCGAAGACCTGACGAACAATCGCAGTACACGTCAAGGTAACGAAGACGTTGTCCAAGTTGTTGCACCGCTCAAAAGTATACCATCATCCGGTTCGCTGTTTTCATGCGGTGAAACTACGTTGGACAAGCACGGAACCGAACTCGAAGACATCCTTCATTTTCTCGAGGAAAAGAACATGTCGGAGGCTGAGATGATGCATGTGCTTTACAGAGTACGCCTTGCACACTTGTTACTTGACCTTGTTTGTGTTGTGTGTTAACAACAAGCGTCATGTTCTACACAGACTATGCATGCCATCAAGACGACATCATGCGAGACTTGGAACCGCTGTTTCGGTCGACTGCTTCTGCTGCTCCTCGATGCTGCTACCGAGGAAGACGCGAGAGCATTAAAAGTGCTGCAGGAACTGGTCGCCGCGCAGCCTTCTCGGGCGCAGATGTTTGTAGAGCTGCTTTTTCAACGCCTGATCGACGCAATGGTCGATCAAGACGGAGTGGTGAGTCTGATCGTCCAAAAGTACTCAACGTCACAGCTTGCCTGGGTTCCTAACACGTTGCTGTCACACCATTGTCTTGAACAGGCTCGCCACTTGATTGAACGTATCCTGGATGACTTGGTGCGCTCAGCCAGCGACCAGCAGCAGACACTAGCAATGCTGATGCCACTCGTCTCAAGCAGCAAACCGCCCGTGCTACCAATGGTGCTGCGCCTTGCCAAGTCGTGCTTTCAATATTGCGAGCACAGCTGTCGTGAGAAGGATGTGACGTTCCTGCGCAATGCCGACCTCGTCGATCGTCTCACCAAATGCCTCAGTCACATGAACTCGCACGTTCGCAAGTGTGCCGTCGACTGCCTCGTGGCACTTCACTTCGCAGTCATGGAAGACAATCGAGTCGTGCCTGCGTACCTTGCTGCCAATGTCGACGAGATGCAGCACCGACTCGTCGAGATCTTCATTGACCGTGCCAAGTTGACGCGCCATCCATCCTGTTGAAGTGTCACGTCCTTTTTGTGTCGTGCCGGGTCGTGTCGCGCGTGACCTTTTCGATTCGATTAATTCGTGCCTTTTCTATCTCTGCTGCGACCGTCGTCCTTTTTCTCGTTCGTCAAGGGGATAAGAAAAAGACCAGTGCTGTAGCCACTTCTTTTGGACTTAATTATTGTATCGCCTCTTGACGCTCGCCTGTCTCTCGTCACGAATGCAAATGAGCTCTTCAGTTTCCAAGCGGCGTCATTCATTCGCCGAGTTCCTCCCACTTTTGCCATGGTCTTGACAAGTGAGACTCGTCACGTCTATCCCTTCCACTGGGACGTCGTCACTCGCGCTTTCTGGCACAAGTACCCGAACGAACGGCTCGGCCACGTAGAGCGTGTGGACGTGCTGGACCGTCAGCTGGATCTGCAGGGACGACTGGTGACGACGCGACTGGCGAAAGTGAGACAAACGAACGTGCCCCAATGGGTCCGCTCGGCTCTCAGCGACTCCACGTACGTGTTCGAGGAGACGGTATGTGATCCGCAGCTCAAGCGACTCGTGCTTCGGTCGACGAATCTGTCGCTGCGATCAGTAGCGACTGTTGAAGAGACGTGCGTGTACTCGATGCATCCGGAGGACGACGAGAAGACACTGTACGAAGCCGAGGCCAAAGTCACCGCGTTTGTGCCATTGTTGGGTCGACAGCTCGAGAGTTTCTCGGCCAGTCGAGGGGCGGAGACAGCGGCCAGCGGTATTCGGGTCGTGGAAGACATTTGCAACGATATCTTCCAAGGCACGTTCCAACCGGCTTTTTGTGCTGCGGTTGATGCGGCAGCGGCGGCGGCGGGTGTAGCAGTCACTGACTCGCTGGCTGCAAAGGCGACACAAGAGATGGCAGTTACCGCGGCAAAGCGGGCAGACAGCAGTCGACAGTGAGCTGGACTGGTGTGGATCTGCAACGTACTTACTTTGTATTTGCAGCACTGGACTCGAGGAGTACACATATACAGACGACGGCCAGGAGATGGATGGAGGAACAAACGGCGACTTGCTGACGAGGCCATGCTTCTCTCCGTCGAAAGAGAAGGGAGTCCAACTTGGTCTTCAATTGTCGGCACCTTGCTCGACAGGATGGATGGAGACTGTTTTCTTCCATGCTCAGGTCACGATAGTGGCCACAGGTGGCGTCTTGGCTCTCGATTCACCCACAGCTTTTAGTTAACCATTAGAGTTTTTGATGCGTTCAGCAATCCCTCGAATGCATTTTTGGTAGCGGGTCTTCCGCTGCTGCTGGTGGCGTTGTTGCTGTGTCTGTACGTGGCGACCTCGATACATCCCGATTTGCTTTGGAAGACGGAGGAGGATCTTCCATTGTGATCGCAGACGACGAACTAGACGACTCGCCAATCGACGATACCTCGTCAGAACCTGCCTTCGATGTGGTGGACCCTTCCAACGACGCACGGTGCGTCATTCCTTTTCTCGACTCTAGTGGCAGAGCTACCCGTGGCGAGCCCGAAAGAGAGGCGAACGCTGCGGTTGTCGTGTCTTCAGCTGGTACAAGTGCTTCAAACACCTCACCATTTATCTCTTTCTCTTCAGGTATCATTTCTGTTACCCCCACTGGTCCGGATGAAGCCGCAGGACAACCTTCACTTTCTTCACCAGCGTCCGAGCTGGTTACTGAGGCTTGCTCAGTCTCTTTCTCTTGCACCTTCACATCCTCCTTTGTCAGTCCATTGGAACATTCTTTCACTCTTCGTGACAGAATAGCAGCAAAGGTATCAGTGTCAATGGACGGCGCAGTCGAGAGAGTTTCTCGTAGCGCGTCTGGGCATGCAGGGTGTTCTCGACACAACTGCTGATGTTCAACCGCTGTCTCGGCGAATACCAGACGGACGTTTGAGACCGGATCTAGTGCCAGCGTGAAAAACACGGCTGCCAGCTGAGACGAAAAAAAGTCTCGAGCAGCGCGAGCCAATACTGCGTCCTTTTCGCTAACCTCCGGAGGCTCTTTTGTCAGCAAGAAAGAGGCGCAGATTTTCACAAAGCACTGCCTGTCCTGATAGTGCGTCGAGCGTGCAAGCGCCACGAACTTGTCGACGATCGCTGTCAACCACGTCGCATTCGAGTTTAGCCGAGCTACTAGCAACGGGCAAGCCTGTGAATCGTGCGCACAGTAGCGTGAGCATATCAGCGAATAATGATCCCAACATTGACAACCCCACGAAAGCTAGTTTACGTACATGATAGCTCTGTTCACGCACGACGGCAACCGGGTCCGTGATGAGCTTGAATACTAGCGGGTTGATCACCGCAAATGTCGCCTCCGGTGTGAAAGTGTGGCAAAGCTGCGCTAGTTGGCCACTCAAAACTTCACGAAAGCGCCATTTGGTTGTCTTGTCGAATGAGTCAAACTCCGTCAGCACAGGGAGATAACTTTCACGAAACGATAGTGATACGTTCTCCAAAAAGTCAGCAAAGTGCAGCATCGCACCAAGTCTGACGTCCTGCACGTCATGGAGATACCCGTCGAATGCCGTAGCTAGCTGTGTTTCGGTAATACCCGTGCCTAGAATCCGTGCTAGCTCGTGCAAAGAGTACGCAAAAGACCGCCGGATCTTCCAGTACGTATCGTTGTGCAGCAGCTCAAAAGCAGCAGAGAGTTTTAACCAGTCTGCAGCGCCCAGAATACTTGCTACCGCCGGGAAATTAAACGCACAATGAAATTTGATATCTACTTCGCCACTGCCACCAAGCTGCGCTGCTGCTGTCGTTGCCATACTTGCAAAGTGACCCAGCAGTTCGTCCGTGACCTGCTCTTTTACTAATGCCGCCAAAAACGGCCCCAGACTCTGATACGCTGCCATGCGGACCCAACGTGACGAGTCATTGATAAAACTCTCAAACATCGGGATCAAGATCGGACCACGGTCCATCGGCGCCAGTGCGAGCGCAACACTGACCAAACACTCGGCACAAGCTTTCCGCACGCCCCAGATATCATCCTTGGCCAGTCGTTCAAATGCAGGGATCAACCTCTCTCGACTCAGCTCCATGCCTGCTGTCTTGCCCACGTTTGAAAAACTCAGCACCGTGGATTTACGGACTCGGAACACCGGGTCTTCCGACAACGAAATGAGCTCTGGGACGCAAAATTGCTGACACAACTCGGGTCCGAAATGTTCCGCCAGTCCATTGTACAGCGCGACGGCGGAAATGCGAAACTGTTCATTGTCATCGTCGTGTGCGAGCGGCAGCACGATCGTGAGCACATGCTGTCCCTGGTCTTCGAGCTTGACAAGTGCAGCCATGTTCACGAGACTCTCGCTCGCAGCCGAGCGCACTTCGTGCTGATCGTCCGAAACGAGCTTCATCACAAGAGGCAGAAGCTTGTCCAGCATGACGCGGTAGCCCACGTGAGGCTCCGTCTCAACGAGGAACTGGCACAGCAACGGGAACTGCAGCGCCACGTGCTGCCGCACAACGTACTCGATGTCACACACGAGCGGCTCCAGCAGCGGCAGCAGCTGGTCACACGTGGCTTGGAAGCCCACGGATCGGGCTGTTTCGTGCAGCATTTTGACGTGAATCACGCGCTGGAGCGCAATGTTGCTGCACACGTACTTGGTCACGCGCTCGAGGTCAGTGAGACTGTCGTCAATGGCCAAGTCCTCGAACGTCGGACCGTTTGCGAGCTCCGAGTCCGTGGGCGCAGCATCGTCTCGCTGGATAGAAACAGTATAGAAAAAAGTGATAGAAATGGAAGTCGGTACATAGTTAGTAATGAAATCGTGCGTTAGAAACGACACGGCTGAAATGCAAAAAAAAGCCAAGTGTCGTTCCGTAGAACGTGACGGTGTGCAATTAATTGGTGAATGAAATGACGAATTAATTGAGCTTTTGACGGTAGAAATATTGTTAGCATGGATGTGGCGTACCATTTCATAGTCCATGATGGAGCGGGGAAGGCCGTGCAAAGCAGCGATGGACGACGTGGCGGATAGAAATAGAAATAGAGCGAGTGTGTGGAGCTGCTGGGTGATGAGCACGTGGACGAGGCCACGACGGAGCGAAGCAGCGCGGGGTCCCGGTCGGTTGTTCCCCCCCTCTCTCCTCGGAGCAGAGGAGACCTGCGGTGGAATGTGACGAGAAGGTGGCACGAAATTCGAAAATAGAAATAGAGTCGGCCCCGATGCTGCAACAGTTGGGGTCCCCTTTTCTAACCGTTCTTTAGAGTGAGTGAGTGAAGAAAAAGAGCACAAGTGCTGGAATGAGTGAGTTGCAAGAGGTCGTTTTGACGACCTATTTTTTGTGGAGTGTATACAAAAAAAAGTGCCACGTTGCGCGTTTGGAGAATCGTGCACACGCGTCCTCGAGTGTATACAAAACAGAGATACCGATTGGAAAAAAGTACCGAACAGTCGTACAAATACACCATTTGTACGGATGAAGAGGGAGGCGAATCATATTAAGAAAAAATAAAAAAACACGGAGACAAATAAGCTCAATGGACATTCAAAGCGCTTCTCGCTACAATAATGCTCTAAACTGTTATCCACATTACGTGTGACAAACCTGCACCAATGTAGTCGGATCAGCGACCAATGCTCCGGAACTCGTCGCTCTTGTAACAAAAGAGATCCAGCAACCAATTGGACGACGTTCCTGTTGTTGTCTCCACTCATTTCGGCTGCAAAAGAGCACGAAAGTGCACTCACAGACGCACTTCGATCTTGTCTGCCCGCAATCGAGCCTTGACGTCGTGGATGGACACCTCCTTTCGGTGGTAGATACCAGCTGCAAGGGCAGCATCGCAATTCGTCTTCTCGAAAACCTCCGTGAAGTGCGATGGTTTACCGGCACCACTGGACGCAATCACCGGGATACGCACCGACTTCTTCACGAGCGAAATCAGATCCAAATCGTACCCAGCCTTCTGACCATCCATGTCCACGCAGTTCAGCAGTAACTCACCAGCACCGAGAGCCTCAACAGCTCGAGCCAGCTGCACTGCATCAATATTGCGAGTCTCACGCCCGCCACGCACGGTCATTTGGTACCAGCAGTACTCTTCACCATTCGGACCAGGTCGCGACAGCTTGACGACATTGTGGCCCTTGGCGTTTTCGTCATAAAACGACGCAACGTACACCCGCTTCGGGTCCATGGACACCACAACGGCCTGGTTACCGTATACGGCAGAAATAGTCTCGATGGAGCTCAATCCGTCACCTCGACCACCATTAGCATAGTACTTCTCGGCCGCGTACACCGCGTCACTTCCAATTGAAACCTTGTCCGCACCCGAGCGGAAGTACAATGCTGCCACGTCGAGTGCCGAGTGGATCTTCTGCTGGTCGTCCACGTAGTCACGAATTCCGCCACCAATAGTAAGGGGCACGAACACGCACTCGGAACTCGCCTCCAGTACCTGCACCATCGGCAAATCTCCCATCGGCTGTTCACGGAAACTGGTAATGTTGAGGAACGCCACTTCATCCGCTCCCTCGTCAAAGTACCGTTTGCACAGATCGACCGGTTTCCCCATGTTACGGACGTTGCCTTCTCTCATGATACTCGAGCTCTCTCGCACATCATACTGGTCTCCTTTCGTCACAACTAAATCTCCTTGATCATTCGCCCGGACATCCAAACACCTGCATCAAGAGACCGAAAAATCGTGACAACAACAACAACCAACAGACAACATCAACACAAGCTCACACACTCCATTTCATCATATCCAGGCAGCAAAACAAACATCAACGCACGCAATGATCCGTTTCGACAACGTCGTCCGTAGTACAGCCGCTGGTATCGGGACCACTGCATCATGATTCGGCAGATCCCGCGTCTCCAAGAACCCCTTCAGCATAGCAATGCCCACTGCTCCACTCTTCTCGGGATGAAATTGTGTAGCCATGACGTTCCCCTTTTGCACGGCACTGATGAACTCCACGTCGCCGTAGTTCGTCGTCGTGAGCACCCAGTCGGCGTTCTTGTCCGTCTTCATCGCTCGGAACGAGTGCACAAAGTACACTTTCGCCTCTGCCATTGCAACAGGCAGCGCCGAGAAGAGCGCCGAGTGTTTCCGAGCGACGAGCCCGTTCCAGCCAATGTGAGGCACGACCACGTGGTCGGACGAGAACCGGGCGACCGTACCCTTGAGCACCCCTAATCCACGCAGCTCGGGACACTCTTCAGAGCCTTCAAACAGCGTCTGCATCCCTAGACAAATGCCCAGAAACCGGCGGTTGGCAGCCACGTACGCGCGCACTTCCGAAATGTAGCCACTTGAGATCAGGAATTCCATCGCGGCTCGAAAGTTCCCGACGCCAGGGAAAATGAGCACCGCGGCGGCCCGAATGTCAGCAGCACATGTCACATCTTTTACGGAGTGACCAGCGGCGTGGATGGCGTTCTTGAGGCTGCGGACGTTGCCGGCGCCGTAGTCCAGCACCGTCACTTGGACCATGTCTTCGGACGAGCAGGCAGTCGATTGGGTGGCGGGGTGAGAGCTCGAAATGGCGGGAAAGAGCGGATACCGGTATTTGAAAAGTATACCGAGAGCGTCGTGGGTTCGCGCGGTCGGGCGTCCTAGCTTAGAATAGGGTTACTGCAGTAGGGTTTAGCTGCTGCTGCGGTTGGGGGGGGGGGTACGGGCGTGTACACTCGACTCGGTAGGGTTTTCAGCTGGTCAACAACTTATGGTGGGGTTTCCAGCTAGAACCTCGATAGAGAGATGGCATCCTAGGACAATGTGGACGGAATGCTGGCACCACCTGGTAGATTCTGTGTCATGTCGACGCATATGTGCGCTCGTATTGTATAGCGCTGTAGGACCGATGGCTGTCGAAAGAAGTTGCTTCCCGTGGCTGGTGGTCAACCGGAAAACCTTCGGCGTCAAGCGTGGGGGTGGCCTGTAAGTAACTAGGAACCCTTTCCAGCATCTGTAAACCAATGCGACGTCAATACTCTACCGCTCGAGGTCACCGGGACGCTGCAGCAGTCCATTTTCTTCATTCGCCTTCCCACCTCGAAGCACAGCATCCTCTCCATTTCACTCCGTTGGTCATCCATGAAGGTCGCCATTGTCTTCGCCTCGACACTTTTAGCCGTTGCCACATCCGTGCAAGCTGGTAATGTGCAACGTTCACCTCACGTTCCACCTTCTGTGCCGGATGAAAAGGCATCGGTTGACTCGGTCACGCCTGCACCCGCGATGTCCGCTTCGACGAGCGCAAATATTCCGACGCCAGCACCGACACAGGGGGCCACGTACACGCCGCGTCTGTTTCCTAACCGGCCGCAGCCAGAACTTCCGACCGGTACCTCAGGTGGTAAACACTCGACTGAAACCGCTGTCGGCGTGGCGTACGCTACCACGCGCTCGTCCTATGAGGCTGAAAAACATGCTGGCAACGGCAGTGCCACGGTACCCGTTCTGGTTGTTGGTTGTTGCGTTGGAGTGATCGGTGCCGTAGCCGCTGCGATGGCTATTTCCAAGCGCAAGGCAGCTGTCGCTGAGACCGAAAATGAAATGGAGCCGGAGTACTCGAATGCTATGCATACTCCCGTGGCATCCGACAAGAGGAGCTACTCCAGTCTTCTCGAATCGCCCGCCGCTGTAATACACGACGTCGACTACATTGGCGACATCGACGACATGGACTCGCATGTCGTGTGAGGTTGGCAGTGTCAATGTTCAGGACGACGAGAGGCATTTGTCGGATAGTAAAGGATCGAACTTTGCCCTAACAAACGGACAAATGCTGCACCGTTCGTCGTGGTCTCTGCTACACCGTCTGAACGTGTATGTTAACTGTCACTGAGTCTGCTTGAAGCGACTTGTTTGCGTAGTAGAGTCATAAGAGCGTTAAGATGGTTATGGGATTGCCATGTAAATCCTGCTAACAAGTTTCATCTCTGGGTGGTGTACGTTTGTTCGCTTGATGATCGCAGACGCTTTTGTGATGAGTTTTTTTACAGCTAACGTCAGGCGTGGAAGTCATGAGCGCTATTGATTATGCATAAGTACATCAACATCATCTCAGCGCTTGATCGAATCCTTTCTTACATGTTGTCGCTTCTCCGCGACATCGAATTGAGATCCATGAGGGACACTAACTGTTACGCATCATTTACATGTCCGACACGATACTACCCGATCTACTTTGCTTTGACGTCGGGTTATGCGTTGAATGGGACTGACTGGGTATTTTGTACGGCAGTCTTCAAAGTAATGGTACACGATTGATCAGATTACTGCACCTCTTCCAGTTGACGCAAGTTCGTGCTGCATACTCATGGCAGCAACGGGACTTTGACAGTGATCTAGGCGATCGCTTCGTGGTATGCAAACTAGTGAATCGTGTAGGTGACCTTCGGCAGGATATTGATAGCAGTAATGTAGTCTTGAAATTCGAGAAACTCGGGAAACAGCAGCAGCGATACACTGTGCATTTGCAAGCGCTGACGACCTGTCAACGGACGACAGATCATCATTTTAAAGTCTGGCTAAGTGTAGATTAACGTGTTGTCAAGCAGTCTCGTTAGTGATCGACGGCCTAGCAGAAGGCTTTGGTTTGCACACGTCATGTCAAATCTGCAAATTAGATACTGTTGATGTTGATGTGCGCAGGCGAAGGCAAATTGTGAAGTGAATATATTTATGGTCCTTAGTTCGCAAACTTGCTTCGCTACCTCTAAGCCACTCATTTCCTATACTTAGACAAACTATATCAGTCCCACTGATTTAGCTAGACCAATGAACACCCTTCGATCTTCTCAAGATCTTCTAGAAGGTTCACTGGTTTATCTAGACCAATCAACACCCTTCGATCTTCTCAAGATCTTCCAGAAGGTTTAAGAAGCTCTCCTTGTGACGTCACCCGATGACGTCATGCTGTGCTTCTTCTCAGCCAGTCCTTCTCGATTCTTCCAAACCTATCCATGAACATAAAAGCAGTAGACGGTGCTATGTTAACATTCCCACTCACCGCTATTGCTAAATGCCCTTGGGTCCAATGCAGCTTGCTTGTATCAAATAGTTCAGTCGCTTGGTCCCCAGAGCCTTCGTTAGCATGTCGGCCAATTGGTCCATGGTGGAGATGTACTTGACCACGATGATATCGTGGGCCACATTCTCCCGGATGAAGTGGTGACGAATGTCAACGTGCTTGGTTCTGGCATTGTAGCCGGCATTGCTGGCAAGCCCAATTGCTCCTTGATTGTCTTCCCAGACCCACGTTGCTCCCACTTGCTCGTGACCTAGATCCTTAAGCAGCGCACGAACCCATAACACTTCCTGTGTACACAGGCTTAAAGCCATGTACTCTGCCTCAGCAGAGCTTAGAGCCACCGTGCGTTGATACTTGGACTTGTAGATGGCTGGTGCGCCACCGATGATCACCATTATCCCTGACACGGAGCGTCGATCATCGATGTTGCTACCCCAGTCCGCGTCCGTATACGCTGTAGCTGTTACTTCGCTAGCGCTGCCGTCGTAGATTATCCCGTAGTCTCTTGTCGTCTTGAGATACCGAAGAACACGAATGGCTGCCTTCCAATGTTGCTGACCTGGATTCTCCAAAAACCTTGATAACTGCGTGATGACATACATCACATCTGGGCGCGTACATGTCGTGATGTATAGCAAACATCCGATCAGCGACCTGTACGGCTTTGACTGCATTTCTGCTCTATCGACATCCGTTGTTGGGGATTGCTTCTTTGACAGCTTCAGGCCGGACTCGCATGGGTTGACCACTGCCTTTGCGTCCTCTTGATTAAAACGGCTGGCCACATCATCGATGTATCGAGTCTGTCGAATCATCAGCTTACTGCAGTTGTGGTCATGATCAATCTCCACGCCAAGAATAAATTTAGCCTTGCCTAGCTCCTTCATACGAAATGAGCTCTTGAGTGCTGTCTTGATCTCTTGAATCTCCCTGCTGGTCTTGGCGGCGATGATCATGTCGTCGACGTAGAGACAAACATAGACATAGTTGTCATCTTGATGCTTGACGTAGATACACTGATCTGCTCCGCTGCTACGAAATCCGATCTGTAAGAATACAGCATGGATTGTCTTGTTCCACGCACTTGCAGCCTGCTTGAGACCGTAGATTGCCTTGTCCAACTTGCACATCATCTTCTTCGCATTAGCTATGCCATTTGGCACTTCCATGTACACCTCTTCCTTGAGATCACTGTTCAAGAACGCCGTGTCTACGTCCAGCTGCTCAGTGACGTATCCCTTTGTCACCACCACAGCTAGCACAACCCTGATCGAGTTCATGTTTGCCACGGGAGAGTACGTCTCGAAGAAGTCGACACCGAATTTCTGCTTGAACCCCTTTGCGACGAGTCGAGCTTTGTAGCGCACCACTTGTCCGTGTTCGTTTCGCTTCTTAGCGAATATCCATCTGCACCCGATTGGTCGAATGTCTTGCCGTTTTGGTACCAGTGTCCAGGACCCGTTATCGGCGTGCGCCTTGAGCTCCGCTTGCATCGCTTGAATCCACTTGCTGTTGTCTTCGCCTTTTAACGCTTGGCTGTATGTTGATGGAGCGTCGTCCGCCTCGCCAACACTTGCAGCATAGGCTAATACAGCCTCTGTAATGAGACCTTCGTCATCAATTCTTGCACGCTTTGGAGAAGGTGGTCCATCGCTACCTTCTGACGTGTCTTCACTGCTATTCCCATTCTCAAGCAGCAGCATTCTGTCTCGCGAGCGTCTTGTCCGATTTATCTCCGGCTGAAATACCAACCTGTCCTCCTGAAAAGCTTGTCTCGGAGCTTGATATCCCGTTATCTCATCGCCTCTTGGTTCTTGAGTTTCTGGATCGAGTACTTGAGGTATGATGATACCTGTTTCGAATGGAGCCGATTCTATCTCGTCCATCTCGACATCAGGAGCGCTTTCTTCGACATTTTCCATCGTCTCGTCTCCATCATACGGACGAACCACCGGAATCACTGCTTCATCAGTGTCCCTAATATACTTGACGACTGGTACTTTATCTGGTACCACCGTGTCGTATATGCCTTCAACTTCCCGCTCGTCCAGCTTTACGGAGCGCGATATGACAACCTTCGACCTTTCCAGATTGAACACCCTGTATCCCTTGGTGTTCTCCGCATATCCGAGGAACATACACCGGTAACTCTTTGGTTCGAGCTTCGTCCTCTTGGCGTCGTCAATGTGAGCATACCCTTGCGATCCAAACACACGCAAATGCTCAATACTCGGCTTCATCTTGAAACCAACCTCGAACGGTGTTACGTCCGAATTTGCAGAGTTTGTGGATCTGTTGATCAAGTACACAGCCGTACTGACCGCCTCTACCCAACACTGCATGTCGATACCCTTGTAGTACAGCATGCTCCTTGCCTTCTCCATGATAGTGCGATTCATGCGTTCCGCAACGCCGTTCTGTTGCGGACTATATGGTACTGTCCGCTGGTGCATGATACCATTACGGGCGCATATATGGGCAATCTTCTTGTTGACAAACTCCGTCCCATTATCCGACCGTATACACTTCAAGTGCTTGCCCCATTGATTCTCATAGAAAGCCTTGAACTCGCTAAGCCTTGCGGCCACCTCGCTCTTGTGCTTCATGAAGTACGCTGCCACAAATCTTGAGTAGTCGTCTACGAATGTCAATACGAATCGTGCACCACCCTTTGAGACCGTCTTCATCGGTCCCATCACGTCCGTGTGTACTAGTTCCAACACACGTGACGTCCTTGTTAGCGATTGAGACGGGAATGTATTGATCGTCAGCTTGTCCTTCATGCATCCACTGCACAGCTTCTCGATGCCCTGCTTTACCGCCGGCATACCACTCGTAGCGCGCTGTGTCTTGTCCATACCAGATCTTCCGGGGTGTCCCAAGCGAGCGTGCCAAAGCTCCCACTCACTTTCAGCCCCTGCGTATTCTATAAGCCGGGCTTCTTCTTGTTCGCAATCCAGGGAGTGCGCCTTGCCAATCTTCTTGCCGCTTGCAATCGCGCGCTTGGCACTCCAAATGATGCAGGACGAGCTTTGAAACTCCACCCTCATGCCTCGTCCTGCCAGTTTGCCAACGGACAGCAATCTTTTGTCAAGTCCTGGTATGTGCATGACATCGACCATCATGATCCGTCGACCGTCTAGACCTTTCAGCTTGACTGTTCCCACTCCAGCTACCTACAGCTTCTTGCCATCAGCGATAGAGACTTGTTGACCAGTCTTCAACTCCTTGTACTCAAATAGATCGCTCCGATGTGGTGTCATGTGCGACGTAGCCCCGCTGTTGATAAGCCATTCTTCGCATTGCAACTCACCAGCAGCAAACACAGCACCTTCTTCCTCGCCATTGCTACGCTTCAGGCAGTCCCGCTTATAGTGTCCGACTTGACCACACTTAAAGCACTTGCCTTTAATTCCGGTGTTGGTTTTCCGTAGATAGTTTCCCTTGCGGCCGTTACTTTGGCCTCCCTTGAACCGTCTACCGTTGCTGCTTACAGGAAACGCCTTCTCCGTAGTCTCCTTCCTCTGCAATCGTTCATGCTCCTTGAGCAGCTTTCCTTGACCTCGATGAGCGTAATGTCCTTGGAATTCTCCACAATTGACGAGATGAGCTCATAGTCCGTCGGAAGACTACTAAGCAGCACCACTAGCTGCCGAGAGTCATCGACTGGCTCTCCAAGTGTCTGGAGGCCGACAAAAAGCTCGTCAAAAGCATCCAAGTGCTTCGACATGATCGAACCATTCTCCATCTTGAACTCATGCAGACGACGTGTCATCTCGACACGATTGTGGAGCGTGGTGCGGTTGTAGAAGTCCCGCAAGATGACCCACGCGTGCATAGCTGTCGTCGCCGATCGTATCTTGGTCTGGTGCTGTAGCTCTATGCCTTGAGCGATGATACCCAGTGCCTTAGCGTCGTTGAACAGCCAGGCATCCGTCATCTCTTCTTCTTTCTTGATGACTTGAACGTGCACCAGCAGCCCCTTGCGCGCCAACGTCATGCGCATGTTATACTCCCAGTGGAAGTAGTTTCCACTACCCAGGAGGACTTCACACCGCTTGTTTGTCATGGTGGACGTGGTGGCTTGGCGGTTTGGAGCGCGTTGCGGCTGTTAACCTGTTGATGTTGATGTGCGCAGGCGAAGGCAAATTGTGAAGTGAATATATTTATGGTCCTTAGTTCGCAAACTTGCTTCGCTACCTCTAAGCCACTCATTTCCTATACTTAGACAAACTATATCAGTCCCACTGATTTAGCTAGACCAATGAACACCCTTCGATCTTCTCAAGATCTTCTAGAAGGTTCACTGGTTTATCTAGACCAATCAACACCCTTCGATCTTCTCAAGATCTTCCAGAAGGTTTAAGAAACTCTCCTTGTGACGTCACCCGATGACGTCATGCTGTGCTTCTTCTCAGCCAGTCCTTCTCGATTCTTTCAAACCTATCCATGAACATAAAAGCAGTAGACGGTGCTATGTTAACAGATACCTTCATGGACACAATCTTGTCAGATAGAGAGCCTGCCTCGCTGGCTGAGCAGCGCTGCATCACCATCTGCCAGTACGATAGAATCGAAGGTTAGTTTCCGCCGTATACGGCCACGTTGTCGGCGAGTCCATTGTGAAGGATACATCAACACATGACAACACACGACAGCAGCATTTGCGGTCTGTAATGGTATCATTTGCGTGCATCTACTACTACTTGTCGACTGCAGACGTCGATTGCAGCGACACGAAGCAACAAACAGCTCTTAGTATGACCTCCAGCGTCGTTTTCAAACTGGTTGTAAGGGTCATCCATTCGAATCGCATTGATCACTTCCTCGACCGGTTGTAACGGTTTTCACCAGCTACGATTCGTAGCTGCCACCTCAGGAAGGCATCTCAATCGTCAGCTCTTTTGCCAGTAAACACACTTGCATACGACCTGAGGTTGTTGACGTCCTCTTTCAGCAAGATGAGTAGACAATTTCCTACCTAGTCAGTTTAGTTACGTCTACTTCCACCGCCATTGTAGCAACTCTCAGCTTCCACTCGTACAGATACTGTAACGGGGTGAATCGTTACATAACAATTTATAAGAAATTGTTAATAGAATATAACTATAAGAGTTATATTCTCAGAATATTGTCATAAGGACAAATATTATGTTGCACTTACAAGTAGTTCCTAATTGGTTGATATAGGCCATTATATCAACCAACGAAGACGCGCCACGACAGACGCACGCAATGAGTGGTGAGCAGATAGTTGATTTACACATTTGTATTTAGACATAGTTAGATGAAGATAAATAGTGATTTATTGCAGACATTAACTATTATAAATACAGTTCTACTTTTTACTCTAACCAAGTACTCGCTTCTTCTTACCGTCTTCCTCTGCACGTACCAGTGTACGTGAAGTTACGAGGCACCGCCTTATTCTGTCATCAGAATAAGTAGCTTGTACTGTCACCAGTACAAGCTTCAGGGTGCCCCGTTACACCTGGTAGCACTTCGTAGTCCGTCCAAGGACCGCGTTCACATCCAACATGAATATGTTGGATGATGAAGATGACCAAAGCTTTCACGCTACGCGTGACGGCTACTCCCATTTGAGCGATGTCGAATGGGATGCGGTTGAACGAATGGGTTCAACCATGGGCATCCATGCTGTTAGCGTCATGCTAGAGGCTCTCAATAGAGATGCCCAACATGCTACTATCGCCAAGTTCATTCAAAATAAACTTGACGCTGAACGCGAGAAAGTAGCCTTGCTTCACCAACAAGGTTCTCAACAAGCAGAGTTGTTGAGAGAACAAGGTGCTCAACAGTTTGAACTGTTGAGACAGCAGCAGGCTGCTGCTGGCGGGTCGATGCACTCGCGTCGACCCGAGACTTTGAAGATTGACATCTCAAAGTATAGGGGGTCGAAGAAGACTCCCTCTTGAGATGGTTCGTCGAAGTGGATGACGCCATAAGGGCGCGTCGCATCGACGACGGGGATATGCAAGTTGCATTTGCCCAGTCAAATCTGGCAGGACGTGCCAAGACTTGGGCACTGGGGCTCAAGTTGCACGACCCATATGCGTTTGGGTCGTTGGAAGTCTTCTAGTCGCGGCTCAGACAAACGTTTGAACCGCCTAGAGCTGAGTTCAGGGCTCGAACCGAACTCTTGAAGCTCAAACAGGGTAAGCGTGATGTGCACGCTTACGCCCAACATATACGACATCTTACGAGTTGTATAAGTTCCAATCCGGTGGATGAACACACGTTGGTTTCGGTGTTCATGCAGGGTCTTGCGGATGGTCCCGTCAAGACTCACCTGTTCCGGCTTGAACTAGATTCACTAGAACAAGCCTTTTCCATTGCGGAGCAGGAAGACTTCAGTCTGAGATAGGCTCGCGCCAGCTCGACATCATATCGTCAACCGAGACGATATGACAACGGAGGTCCAGAGCCGATGGAACTCTGTTATGTAGAGAGTGAGAAGGCTCGCTCTACAGGCTACAAGAAGTTGCAGAGATGCAACAGATGTCAAAAGACAGGACACTACGCTTACGAGTGTAGTGCCCCTCGTCCAGTGTCTCGCGACACTGGGCGTAGTGACCGTCCACCCATGAGAAAGGGGCAGGGACGAGGGTCCGCAGTTGGTGCAAAGACGCAACAACGGGATGGACCGTCAAAAAACGGACAGGATCAGTAGGTGCGGAGCACCCTACTGGTCTAGCAACGTCAAGATAATTTGTAGGCCTCTTGATGAAGGTTGCTCCCAACACACAAACGTTGTGCGTTGCTGCTCTAGGTAATGAGGTCTCACTCATTACCTTGAAACTCGAAGTGACGAATAAGTTGTCCCTTCGAGCTCTAGTCGATTGTGGGGCGTCCAACAATTTTGTGCGACGCCAATCGCTAGAAGATGGTCACTTTAAGTTCAGTGAATGTGACACACCTCCTACGAGGATGACGGGACGTCTTGCGACAGGCGCATCTGTAACCGTCATGAAGCGTATAGTGAAGATCCACTATACGCTAGAAGATACCCAATATGACGATGACTTCATCGTATTGGATTTGGATGACAAATTTGATGTCATCCTTGGAATACCGTGGCTCAGAAGGTACGAACCACGGGTAAACTGGCAACATCGAACAGTAACGATGCCTGCCGCTTGTTCATCAGATGGCCATCTGATGAACGTTTTGGAGCGTCCACAAGCGTGTGGATGTACTACGAGTGAGTGCGATGGCCTCACTTGTGGTACGGTCGTTAGTACGACTGCACAAAACCTTAGTGTACCAAACGGTTACACTTCGGAGCAAAGTTCCGGTGGCTGTGAGGAAACACAGGCTGCGCCGAAGGTCCACCACTCGAATAAGTCGGGTGGACTGAGACAAACATGTATCCCTAGCGGGGAACATCTAGAAGAGAAACAATCGATCGCTCAGGTTAAGCGAAACGACAATCCTAGATCGACTGGAGAGTCTTTCGTAGAGGATCTCGCTGTGGTTGCGCAACCCCAGCTAGAGGAAGTAAAGGGAATAAGTCCCAAGATCACAAATACGGCGGAAATAAGTTCCCCGAAACCCGCGGGAATCAGTCCCCAGGAAGCCGAAGGAATAATTCCTTCGAAGCCTGAGGGAATAAGTCCCCAGGAAATGACAGAGACATTGAATGTCATAGTCAATAACGGATCAAGTGTAGGCGCTTATACACTTGATCTGATTGCGCCTCCGAAGTTAACTTCGGAGATCACTCAGTTGCCAACGCTCGAACATAAAAGGTTCTTGCGTGATCTGCGTAGTGTCAAGCAGATCTGCGTACTCGTCTCTGACGACGATTGTGTAGCCGACATAAGGTCAGCAACAGTGTTTACTGAGAACGAGAGAGTTCTCAGTAGTTCATCTATGGATGAGAGTGTCCTAGATGAAAAGACACGAATTGAGCGATATGACTCCCAATCGTGGGAATCGCTCAAGACAAATCCTCTCTATGAAGATATGGTTGAATTAAAGGATGTATTCCCTGAAACTGTTCCGTGCGAATTACCGAAGGATAAAGGTATTCGACACGAGGTCGAGCTTAAACCAGGCTCGAAGTACTGTGTCATGAAGCAGTGGCCACTGCCTCGTGAACAAGTACTTGCGATCGACAAGTTCTTTGCCGATCGTTTAGCTGCGGGCCATGTGAGGGAATCAACTTCCCCACATAGCTCTCCGACCTTCTGTGTGCGAAAAGCAACAGGAGGGTGGCGGATAGTGCATGCATTCAACAAGTTGAATGCTGCAACGGTACCGGCTCAGACGCCGATACCGAGGAAGGACGTAATCATAGATGGTATGTCAAAGAGTACCATCTTTTCGTCCATGGATTTGATGGATGGCTTCTATCAAATCCTTATGCGGGAACGGGGTATACCCTATATCGCAGGTAGCACGCCTAGCGGCATGCTTTGGGATTGGCTAGTTATGCCACAAGGGCTCAGTAATGCCCCTGCCACGTTCAACAGATGTGTATCACATCTGTTGAGACCGGTACGAGAATTCGCGCCGAGTTATTTCGATGACGTATTCATCCATAGTCGGGCTATGGATGGAAAGTCGGACGTTGAGGTTCACAGGTACCACGTCCGACAAGTTCTTACAATCATGCGAAAGCATCAATTGTATGCTAACCTCAAGAAGTGTATATTCGCAGCAAGCGAAATACCACTTCTTGGGTGCATCGTTGGTAAGAACGGTGTACGTCCTGATCCCGAAAAGATCAAGGCGATCACCGACTGGCCTGTGCCGGTCGATGTCAAAGGTCTTCGAAAATTCCTTGGGCTAGCGGCGTATTTGCATAAGTATTCACGCAATTACGCCGAGATGACTGTGCACCTCTCTCGTTTGTTGAAAAAGAACGAGAGGTGGTTATGGAACGCTGAATGTCAACGCTCCTTTGATGGTATCAAGCAGAGCTTGATACAATCCCCAGTCCTAGCAATAGCCGATCAAGACAGGCCATTTCATGTGGTCTGTGATGCCAGCGATTTCGCAATCGGCTGTGCATTAATGCAGTACGATCTTGAAGGCGTTGAACGCGTCGTCTGCTATCAGTCGCGTCAGCTGCAACCAGCTGAGCGGAACTATTCAGTGCATGACAAGGAACTCCTTGCCATGAAGTATGCACTCGCGAAGTTCAGAGTCTATCTATTAGGAGATAGACCCTTCATTGTTTACACTGACCATGCGTCATTACGCACGGTAGTGAACAGCCCGCACCTTTCACAACGAATGGCGCGTTGGTTGTCATTCTTTGCGGAATACAACTTTACGGTCGAGTACAAACCAGGACGACTTAATGTCGTCGCTGATGCACTCTCACGTCGTCCCGACTTTGAAACAGTCGCGAAACCCAACAGTGAGACAGTCACTGTTGCGGTTATGACGTCCTCAGTCCCATCTACAACGTTGTATGATGATGTGAGGCGGGCATACGCCCAAGATGGTGAGATTGTGAAGTTGTTGACACATCTCTCCCAACCATCCCGAGAATCGTTGAAACGATTGTCGCCTGCGTATTGATCTGCATCAGATCGATACACTACTCGTAACGGTTTACTGTATTATACAGCCGTTTCTGGTGACACACCACGTGTTGTCATTCCAGATGAAACTGATCTGCGTTTGCGGATCATGTTCGAGTATCACGATGCTCCTATAGGAGGACATCGTGGCCGAGAGAAAACATATCTCACGGTAAGTCGAGACTTTTACTGGCCCCGCCAGTATCAGTTTGTGCGAAAGTATGTTCGCGCATGCGAAGTCTGCCAACGAGTGAAGTCAAGTCCTTCACTGCGTGCACCTTTACAGCCTCTACCGGTTCCGGCTGAGTGCTGGGAATCCATCTCAATGGATTTTGTCTTCGGGTTACCCAAAGACGCACGCGGGAATACGGGTATTCTCGTATTTGTTGACAGATTCAGCAAAATGGTACACCTTGTGGCTGTACCAGAGACAATCACGGCAAGTGGCTGTGCTTGTGTCTTTATTGACACCATCTTCCGACTTCATGGGTTGCCCCGTGAACTCGTATCAGACAGAGATCCACGATTCACTGCTGATTTCTGGCGTTCCGTGTTCAAATCACTCGGAACGCGCTTGAAGATGTCAACATCTGATCATCCAGAGTCAGATGGTCAGACGGAACGTGCCAATCGTGTCCTTGAAGAGATACTTCGAGGATACGTACACTCCTTTAAGAGTTGGAGTGAGTTTATGCCAATGATAAAGTTTGCCATTAACAACTCGGTGCATGCGTCCACGACACATACACCGTTTTACGTGAATGGCTTACGACATCCGCGTGTACCCACCTTACTAGAGTGTAACTCTGGTTTAAGGGGGGGGAGGGACTCGCGCGAGCAAAAACCGATTTGGTTCACGCTCATCACGCTCTGACGAAGAAGTCATTGCGTTTGATGCCGATATCGATAACATCGATATCGAAGAATATGATGCCAGTGAGAGTGCGGAAGCCCTCACTGAAGAAAAGGTTGATGTTGCTGCAGTGCGCTCACAGCACACTGAAGCTAACGAGTCATCAGATGAGTTCATACTGGCTCGTGAAACGGTAGTCCGTTTTGTGCAAGACTCCATCGCCGAAGCGGTGGATAAGCAAAAGCAAAACGCTGACAAGAATGGAAGGGCAAACACTCTTTTATTTAATAAAGGTGACTTAGTCCTACTGTCTACGGTTAATCTACCAAAGCATGTAGTGACTAACTTGGGTGGCAGTAAACTACTACCCAGGTACATCGGCCCTTTTCGTGTATTGCACCGCCTAGGCAATGCATACACGATCGAATTACCACGTAAGATGCGAACGCATCCCACGTTTTACGTTGGTCGGCTTAAGCCGTACCATCAGTACGCTGCTTCTTCCGATGAAGAACGCCCTTGCGCTCAAGCATCTCGCAGAGAGCCTTGTGCTCCCGATGGTGGGCATCAACAAGGGTCTGAAGAGCAGTTATCTCAGCCCTAGACCGATCAACAATCCCACGAGCTACCTTTAGCTCGTCACGAAGAGATGTCAGAGATCTCTCGTTCTCGAGCTGAGCAAAGCCAAACTCAGCTCGATGCTTCGAGACAGTGTCCGCCATTTGGAGACGCCTATTCCGCTCATGTTCGAGATCGTCGCGTAACCCTTGCGTTACGCGATCAAAGAAGCTCTCGGGAACACACCGATCCACATGATCGTGTGGAGAGCGTCTTTCCTCCTCCTCCACCTCCATTAGAGGACTCTCGCGGTGGCCAGCGCTATCTAGTTGAGCAGCTGTTGAACCACCGCGACGTGAACGGGCGTCGGACGAGTTATCTCGTCCGGTGGCGCGGCTATCCCCCGTCCTGGGATTCTTGGGAGCCCCGCTCCCAACTGATGATCGACGTACTGGGTCTGGTTGAGCAGTACGACGCGGCACATCCTGTGCCGCAGAAGGACCGCCGGAGAAAGTCTTCCCGGCACGGTCGTAAAGGGATTTCAGGTTGTCAATCCTTTCGTACATCTCAGTAGAGACACGTACGCGCCACCACGGGCTGGTAAGGAGGTAAGCCTCCTTAGGTGCTCGTGCAGAGTTGTTCACACAACATGGGCACGAGTCTCCCCAAGAGAGGCAGGGTAATCCCTTCTCCCTTGACAGACGATGCAGATTGTAGCGTGCACCTGTCGGGGTTCACTTTTCAAACTTATCACGAGCTTTGATAAGTTTGTCGTTCCAAGCGTCACGACCTACATCCTCGAGGTTATGGATGTAGGCGTTCCACGCCTGAAGTAGTGAGGGACCATCACGTTTGTGATTCCCACTGTACCATCGATGTCTAAAGAAAGCATCGATGAAGAATTCATGTTCAGCGCGATAGTTTTTCGCGCTGGGGTCAAGGTGATGGATCCTTGACGAATCGAACAATCGTGTTCGATAACGATCACTCGTCGTCGCCGACAAGTGATCCATGACTGATTTAGGAGGCATCCATGCCTTCTTCTCAGGAGCGAGACGCAACACATTGCGGTCCCGCTCTTCCTGCGACGTGCCGACAGAAGTACTGGCACCTCGCTGTGAAGTGGTGTCCATAGGAGAACCGACACCACTATTAGCGCCCGAGTCTCGCGACCTCGAGCGCCTTCGCTTCGGCGATGGTTCATCTGATTCATCAGATGAACCAAAGATGCTGCTACGCAAAGCATCGTCCACGCCACGCTTGGCTGGCGGCTTAGATTCAATCGCCGTCGATACGGATCCGTCATCCGTATCAGGAGAGTACGAGACACCGAGCTCGTACTCTGTGAAGACACGAGTGTCTTCATGACCAGCGCCTGCATCACCAAGTGACACAGGCTGGGTCGCTTCAGCAACCGATGGGAAATCAGTTGCTGTTGTTTCTGCTTCGGCGTCCGCACAGAGACGTGCAGACGCGCTCTCGGCGGCCTTGCTCGCGCATCGCATGGGCTTGTTAACCATGCGATGAGATGTTGGAAAGTGGACGCGGACCAACAAGTGCAAACCCTGTCCCAAATGATTTGGGACGAGTATCCATTTAGTCAATCAGTCACTAAAGTGACTGATGGTTAAGGGGGGTGATGTAACGGGGTGAATCGTTACATAACAATTTATAAGAAATTGTTATTAGAATATAACTATAAGAGTTATATTCTCAGAATATTGTCATAAGGACAAATATTATGTTGCACTTACAAGTAGTTCCTAATTGGTTGATATAGGCCATTATATCAACCAACGAAGACGCGCCACGACAGACGCACGCAATGAGTGGTGAGCAGATAGTTGATTTACACATTTGTATTTAGACATAGTTAGATGAAGATAAATAGTGATTTATTGCAGACATTAACTATTATAAATACAGTTCTACTTTTTACTCTAACCAAGTACTCGCTTCTTCTTACCGTCTTCCTCTGCACGTACCAGTGTACGTAAAGTTACGAGGCACCGCCTTATTCTGTCATCAGAATAAGTAGCTTGTACTGTCACCAGTACAAGCTTCAGGGTGCCCCGTTACAGATACGTAGCAGGCAGGACCTCAGTGTGACAGTCACATCATGTCTTGTTCTCTCCTGGTCCCTCCTTTGAGCTGTTGGTACTTTCCTAGCTTGACGCGTCGGTTGTCACGCATCGAGTCACTCTCTATTGTTACGCTCAGATGTGCTAGTGCCGAGTAAGTAAAAGCAAAGAGCCGTCAGTCTCAATCTCGAGTTGAGAGTGCGGACATCGATCACTTGCTTGCACAGAGATACTACTACGAGGCTCAACGCTTCGAATGCGTGGTGACTTACTGCCTTGCTGTCCATGCTCTTCCCTATCATCCGCCTACTTTGGGAGTTAAAGCTACAAATGTGGTTACTGGATGTTGTGCCACGCACGTATAGTCGACAACAACACAGCGCACACCTTCACGGTCCAACAGATACAGCTGCGCGGTTCAGTCATACACCAAAGTGCCGTAAGTCCACTAGTTGCTGAACACTTTCTCAGCTCAAATGAACAGCCATCTCTACAGCTTGACGAACAAATGTCGTGTTCTCGACCAACTACTGCGCAAAGTATCGGCACGACACGTAAACGAGTGATGGCACGTCTTTTGCGATTGTCACGCACGACGACACCACATATGCCTATGATATGCAAGCGGATGTCGTTGTACTACCAATGATTGATCGAGCAAAATTGAGCAAACGTACCTTGTTCTGCATCGATCCTCTCTTCACTCACCTGTTTCGTTTGATATCCTCCTCGTGTTCAGCTCATCGACCCGTTATCCGGATAAAAAGACGCCGCGAGTGTGAAGCAGCTGCAATGAACGAACGGGCGAGCAGACCACGTGTGTGGGCCTAACGTAGGTGAAACAGTCGGTATCCCATCGATCCTTCACTGAATCGATGTCAACTCTTGAACCCTCACGACCGACCGTTGGCAGGCTTCAGTAATGATCCACCCGGGAATCTGCTACTGGCTGATCAAGACACTGCGCGTACCTTGGTAGATACCGGTCGTGCCAACCTCTTCATTGCCACGAATCCTTTCCCGATGAAACATACACAGATTGGCACTGCAGATCACGAGACTCTCGCAGTGTCGAGCACGATATTCAACGCGATGGGATGTAGAGGTCGCCGGTTTTCAATCGCACACGATGCAGCAATTTTTTGTAAGCCTCTCGTGATGCCCGACGCGTCGAGCGTTGTTAGGATACAAGTTGCGATATCGTAGACGTTGTCATGCACGTCTCTATGAAGTGCTCCACCTCCCCCCCCCCCCGCATGAACATGCATAATCATTCATATCCGTCAGGACTTTAACGATCGGAGGCAGTCATCAGATGACGCGGCTACCACAGTCTGGGCGATAAAGCCCAGTTCTTCCTCGTCCCGTAACGTAATCCAGATCGTCCGCTGGCACTATGGATAGCCGACGTGTTGGAGCTAGACATTCAGCGAACCAGATCGAGAGCCAGCCAGCTAGCTGCTACCCACCCATCAGCCAGCCAAATGCTAATGGATGGAGAAAGGTAGGAATTGAATAGACAGAGAAGAGCGAGCCCGTCCGTCCGCGTCCAAAATCGCTACACAGGCGACTGTTTTACCAGTGTGAAGAGCAAAAGAGGGACACCGAAGGATTAGACGGGCAGAACGGTCCCCGGCCTTGCTCCACCTTTGCTTCGCTTCTCTCTTCCCTGGACACTCCTCCTATCTCTATCTGGTCCAAGCCCATTTATGTCGCGCAAATGCCACCGAGACGAGCCCCGGTCACATCCTCCACTCGTCCTCGTCTCCCCCTCGTAATCCGCTAAACTTTCCAGCGTGTCGCACGTGCTATTCTTGTGATCGGCATTTCTCGTCCACGAAGTCTCCATAGCAGCTGCTTCCCGTCCTTGCAATTGAGCTATTCGCTCCAGTTTTATACGTCGTTCCTCACTCACGCACTCACTCGCCTGCTCTTTCAGCCCGTTCGATACCAATAATGCCAAGTGCGTTGAATCCCCCGCAAGAAAAACCTACAGCCAAGCCATCTCCCCTGGTGATACCCCCCGCCCACGAGTCCAGCCAACCTGGTGGTGACCATCACGAGGTCAACCTCGGAACCAGCAGTACCAGTCAATCCGTGTGGCTCACCTCGCCAACCACTTTACCAGCTCCAGCTTCGAGGTTCTCGAGCAGCAAACGTCGAGCTTCGTCCCTCAGTGACTTGTTCCCCCGCACTAGAACCGCTGCATCCTCACCAGCAAAAGCGCTCGTTAGTGCATTCCATACAGTCTCCAGTCGCACTCACCAGAGATTCGCCACGTTGCGGTCGCAATCGAACGGGTTGATGCTCAAAAAGACGAGTGTCGAGGAGACTGCCGAGTCAAAGACAACCACTTTTAACCGTAGCGGTGGGTGGATGCTCAAGGTGAACAACTCGATCCGACGCGCGACGCCCGTGTCCAGTAGCCACCGGTTTCAATGGGGGGGGCAACATGCTCTGCAACATGCTCAAGGGACGTTTGAGTATCACGGAGAAGACGCTGGCGCCGTATCGAGCTATTTCCACATTGTTGCAGACGGCGTGTCGTCTCCCTTTGGTCGTCAGTCGCTGGTGCAATACGACGGCGTGCTCGTGTCGTCAGCTGTGCTCTCTCTGGAAGTTGTCAAGTGTGTGCGGGTGGTGCTGGAAGAGATGACGAACCACAACCGGGAACAACTGGACCAAGCAGCTTTTGAAGGAGCGATTGTAGATGCCGTTCGGACAGCACGGATCAACTGTTTCCATCACCGGAAATCCAGAGTCGCGACGACGTTGGCCGTGTCGTATTTCAATCGATGGACTGGTAAGCTGTTGACGTTTTCGCTGGGGGATTCCAAGTGTTTAGTTGTGCGACGCGGAGCTGTTGTCTATGAGACAATGGCCGTGCTGCGCGAATTCAACGTGCCGACAGTCGTCAATCTGCGGGAACAAGTGGTGCCGAACGACTATGTCGTGCAGAGCTTTGTCTTGCAAGAGGGAGACGTCTGTCTTACGTTCTCGGACGGAGTGGGGGACAACTTGTACAAGGATGACGTGACTGCTACTCTTGCTGCCCCGGAGCTCTGGGACTCGGAAGCGTCGGGACTGCAAAGCGTGTGCGACCAACTGGTTGATATGGCCAAGATGGACGAAGAGAGTGGAGCGCGTATCAAAGACCTTGGCGACAAGGAGCGTGTGCTGTACCCGTTTGCAACAGCTGCGGTTCTCGAGTACCGTAAGCGTACGCTGGAGGAGTCGAAACTGGCTGCTGGTGGGCCGCTAGATGCCAGTGGCGTCGACCACATGGCAGTGTCGCTCGAGTTGATGAAGAAACACGATGGCAAGCAGATTTTCGACCGGCATGTGCTGTTGCGGAGACCTTCGCGGAAGCATCACTACTCGCTTATGCAACTCCGTCTCATGGCACGGATGCAAACAAAGAAGCCGGACGATATCACGCTCTTCATGACACGTTTCGTGTAAGCGGAAGGCCTGAGGCAAGTGATTGACGACTCGAGTGGTCATTCTCTTTCCTCTCTGTTACGGCGAGTGGCCTTTTCCTCCTGTTCCCGAGTTACATGTCGGTGATTGGGTTCGCGTGCATGGTAACGGACTTGATCACGATCTCTTTGAGCGGACGATTCTTGGCGTCTACAGGAGCTTTTTCCATGGCGTCCAGCGTATCCATCCCGTCGATGACCCTGTCGATTATCACCGTGGCGTCGTTAGTATTTATTAGTCGGAGGGTCTCAAGCGGTAGATGACTAGAAGACACATCCACACTTCGCAATAAAAGCAGCTCAGACCGCGCTTTTTACATATTATCCACGTACTTGCCAAAGATGGAGTAGACATTGTTGAGATGGGCCTGCTTAGCGTACGTGATGAAGAACTGCTGTTTGTTCGTATTGGGCCCGCTGTTGGCCATTGAGACAATGCCTCGACAGTTGTGCTGCTCATGTAAACGAAGACACACAACCAGACGGTTAGCTGCCGAATTAAAAAAAAGTGGACTATCTCTGTGTTGGGGACGATTTCGTACTCGGTTTTGCGGGTGAAATTCATCATCCAAAGCCCCACCCCAAATGCTTTGGCCGCCTTTGCCTGTCCCAGTTGGGTCTCCTCCTTGTATCATAAAGCCCTTCATATTACTATATGGAGGAGCACAAACATCGCATCAATATCGACGTATATCGTTGTTTTCGTCAACATTGAGAATGATAATGTCAAAATGTGTTGCACCGGTGAAATGTCGTGCCATCGTACGCTCCGCTTGCACAGAGAGCCAAGAAATTCTATAGAAACCATTTAGAAACGAACAGAAACACCGACGATCATTTCGACGACGTCCGAGGCGTTTGTCAAAAACGCATTCTTTTCGACAAAAACGTCGTACTTCGGCTGTACGAGGGGCAGTGTCGCAGCAAACTTCGATCTTGAGGTCGCCGAGCGTCGTGTGTAGTGTCACCGACTAGAAGCAACATGGAATGAGAGAGGGACAATTGTCTGCAGATAGATGACGTTAGTGTCATTCATTGACAGCAAGAGATGTACCATTGTTGATGACCGCGATATCAAGAATGATATCGACCAATCAACTCGAAACAGCTCGTAAATTGGTAAAGCTCGTGACACGCCCAGCCATTCTTGACAATGATGGCGGTACTGATCAGTCCAGCCTAAAAACACAGGATAACCGTAATTTCCGTCATTAACCAGAGTTCTTCAATATCAGAAAGAAGACATCTCTTTGTAGCTTTCTCATGTGCGAACGACAAAAAGCGATCGGCTCTGCTGTCAGTGAAGTGCTGACGAAGTTTATGCATCAGTGGCCTTCAATTTCACGTCAAGCCAGTAGACCACCAGCTTCTTTTCGCTTCAACATCCACGTTTAAATGAGCGACACAATTGTGAGGTTCATCTAGTGCTCGTACGCGTCAGGCAACTCGCGTGCTGGTGGGTTCGTACGAATGATAGAAGCTGGGACATGTTTGTGGCCTGAACGTGAAATGTCATGCATCAACTGCAAGGATGACGATCGATGGCCGTTCACCTACATGGCTTTCTAGCTATGGACCATAAGCCTTGACTTCGTACTGTTCGTAGTGAAGGCTCGGAGGCTGCAAAAGTAGACCTTACGCATACTGGAGCGCACGTGGGGAATACCAAGTGTTCCTCGAGTCTCATGTATCAGCGTTCACTATTTCTCACAATCTACAGATACACGCGCGGAGTAAATGTGCGAATGTTTCAATACTTTCGGAGCCGGGTTACCGATGAAACAGCGTCGAGGTTCTCCCCGTACGAGAGCTCGGATGGTGTTTTTGCGGAAATCGCCTATTCAATTACGGCCATATTGATTCGTAAATCACTTCACCTATTCAGGCGCTGCACCGTGCATCCAGTATGCAATGCCAGACTGAGTGTGGGATATGCTCACACATTCAGCGGTCTCCGGAGTAGCTTGTTATAAGAGCACGCGGTACACAATGAGCAAACGATCTCGTCCACGTCGAGTATATGCATGCATCATTTTCTACGCTTATCCTTCTTCGTTGCTCACTTCATTGGCGAAAGATTGCGGGAGTGTGGGGGATTTTGCCGGGATTGCTATCACATTTTCTAGTGTTGTCTTTTGAGGTGCCAGCACTTTTCGTCTGTTTTTTTTCACTCTCTTGTGCAAAATCGCTTGAATTCAGTTGCGGCAAATTCCATGTTCATCTCGCAATCCGTCAGAGCAATAGTATTGCAAAAGACTCGCAAAATTCTGACAGTACTTCATTGCAAAGCGTATTTTGCGTTTAGGAGTACACGGCAAGTACTTCCGCAATCTCTAAGCGGCAAATTGGGCACTTGGTCACTTCTTGGCGGTAGGCGCACGTCTCGCACAAGCATAAATGACGGCAAGGTAGACACAGAATCCTCTTCTCATTGGCGAGACAGATCACGCAAAGCTTGAGCTCATTCTGCTCTTCGACCTGGCGGTCAAGCTTCTTCTGCAGTTCTAGCGCCCTTTCCTCTTTACTACAGCGCACTTGACTCAACGTGTTCTCCAGCTTTTGCTCCCACTCTTTCAGCTCCTGAAATTCGCAATTTGCAAGAGAGACCGAGGATACGTGGGAAAGCGCTGCTTGTATGCTATCGGCGGAACTCAAGGCTGCATCCAAAGAATTGACACCGGTAGCAAAATGTTCACATTTCGGGCTTCGTGCAACAAAGGACTGTTCTTGCTCGGCTACGTATTTCCGCAATGACACCAACTCCTTCATCATAGAGTCATAACGCCGCTTCTGGTCTTCGTACCCGCAAAGTTGCGTCTGCAGTAAGTCGTTTTCGTAAAGTAAACCATCACGATCTCGCTCCACACGGTCAGCTAGCAAGTGCAGCTTTTGGTTGTTGCGGCTCAGCTGGACGATGCGAATGCGCGCCAGAGCAAGTTGCTCTTGCATTTCACGATTACAGACGATCAAGTCTTTGCAGAATCTCCGCCATGGCTTTTCGGTGCCACCATCGCTATCGTAGATACCTTCGGAATTCTCAATAATATAATCAGCATGAGCTTCATGTTCGATGGCGGACACCGTTGATGTCCGATGCGATGGAGCATCCAGCTCTTCGTCGGACGACAATGAAACTCGAGTTTGCGAGCAAATCGAGCTATTGCAGTGACTGCCGTCAAAACGTAATTGGCCCATCAGCTTTCCTTCATCTAGACCTTGGAATTCAAACACGCCGTCATTGTCGACAACTTCGCCGATTTCATCGTTGTCCTCCACTTGACTCCGCTGCTGCATCGTGCATCCAACATCCATCATTCTGTCGTTCCAGCCAAGCTGCTCCGTATAATCGTGCTCAATAGGTATATGTTGCGCTTCGATATCAACGCTGCCTGAAGATGGATCCAGCAATGGGGACGGGTCAAACCGTGCATACCCTGAAGGACGGCAAACAACGTACTCGCCCGTGTCAGAGCTATCGTCATCGCTGTCACAGAGCAAATGCTGCCGGATAGAATCACGACTGGGCAAAAATTGCTGATGCAGACGCGGTGATGCAGGAGCAGTATTCCTGACGGACCTCGACTTGGGAATACCTGAAAGCAAACGAGGAGGCGATGCCTCGTCTTCATCCAATCTAGGTGTTCGCCTACGCTTTGCAGTAGAGAATTTCGATTGATATCGTCGAAACAAGTTCCCCCTGATTCTGCCAGATGGTCCTTTCCCCCATGTCAGCCCATCCACTGCCACTGCGCATCTCTGTGCGATAGTTGGATCATCGAATTCTACAAAAGCATGTCCTTTCGTACGCCCCGTGGAACGTGCCGATGGAATGGCCACTTGAATAGGGTCATCAATCATGCAAAACAGATTGTAAGACAACAATTCCATCAATTCCTCCGTGCGGTCCATTGACACTTTTGGTAGGTTTGTCAACACGCAGACGCTGTTAAAGCACGTCCCCGGGCGCGCATTTCCGAACTCGAATTGTGCCATGTCAAAAACAGGCCACTCGAACGGAAGAAACGCGTGCTGCTCAGAGGTGAAAGTTCCTGTTCCGTCCGCCACGTCAACTTGTTCATAACCTGCAGAACCTCGCACCCACTGTTGTCTGTCCTCCTTGCGATCATTCAGGACATCGACATGCGCGTCACACACTAATTTCACCAGCGACATGAAGATGTCGGCGTCTTCCAACTCGCAGTCAGCGTCATAGTGATCAATCTCATAAACACCTGCCTCTAGCGCTACCCGCGTGGCCTCCTCATGAAACCCTAATTGCACCAGGTGTCCAACTACAGCATTTTGTACGACACAAGCTTTCGAAGCGTTCAGCGCTCGAATCGACGCCCCAACAACTCCGTCTTGCTCCAGCATCAATCCACTCCTTTCACTCATTTGTTCACCACCTGTCTCCCCATCACTCACGCTCGCGCACCTACGACCGACGCTCCTTAGGTCACCATCCCCTTCTCCTTGATCCTCTCGTTCAATCAATGGAAAAGAAGGGAAGAAACTGCTGCTGCTGCCAATAGACGTGAACGACTGTCCAAACGCTCCAGTACCGTTAGAGTGCCCTCTCCCACCTCGTACCGCGTCACAGAGCCCCATTTCATCACTCTGTGTCTGTATACCGTCCTCGTCTCCGTCAACCTCATCGTCATCGCTGCTTAAAGTGCTCCTGCCGGACAAAGCAGGAGCTGGACCACCTCGAAATAAAGGCTGAAAAGGTCCAGAAGCAACAACGTCCTGTCCCGACTCCACTCGAGACCACAGCTGCGCCGTTCGAGCAATCAACAGTCGAATCTCGTTCGCTTCACTCTCGATTTCCTCGACGAAATCGTCATCTGGACCACCAACAAACGTCTCAGGCGCTTCTGCGACCCTTTCCAGCGCTCGTGGGACGGTCCTACGTCCATCTCCAGCTGCTGTAGCACGGAAACAAGCACAACAAAGACAGACCATCACGAAAACAAGAATGTGGTCGGTTACGCCTTGCGGCACTGATTGGTGTACACTTACGTCAAATACACACTTTGTTGCACTCACTGTTAGAAGCCACCGCTTGGTCCTGTGGGTGCGGTCGACCCGAGCTTTGTGTTGAAGTTGCTGTTTCTTCGTGGTGCTGATTGGTGGAGCAGCCACGAGTGCGCACTTCACAGAAGATTGGCATGCTTTTGCACTGTTATAATGAGGTGCGCGTTGCCTTTTGTCCCGCCAGTGCGGAATGGACGATGCGCGCGCGCGGTGGCAAAAGGAAACGAACGAGCTCGGGTTTGTCAAAGAGTGTGGGTCATCGGTTTTGACGGGGTACGTGCGCCACACGATTCGTGCAAACGGATACGAACGGCAGCCCATCCACTCGACAGTCGACGCGTGATTTCAGCCAATTGGTAGCACCTTGAACTGTGGTTTTGACCAATGGTAACACTTCAAGTCAAGATTTTGACTCACTGGAGTCAGTCAAAATACAAAACAAAGCGTAGGCAACGAACGAAGCTTCGGTGCGTCCGCCCCCTCCCTCACTACCCCCTCTACGTACCCTTCTCGACCGATCCTCTAACGTGACTTGCATGCTCTATCAACTTGTATGCAGTCTCTTTCTGTGGTTGAAACAGCGACGTCAGGTCTTTGCCAGGAAAGAAATAGCGTCGATCGAGTGAAAAAGGTGCGAGAAATCGATGCAATATGTGCTTAATCCGGATCAGATACGACACTGTAGCTGGTATACGTCACTGTGTAGCTGCTGTATACCATTGGTGCATTGTAGCAGTTTTTATGTGGCGGCGCTGTCACTACTGGCTTTTGATTGGTGGAAATTGAGTATTTTTGACGCTTACGTTGATCTGGACTGTTGTTTTTAGGTGTACAAAAGGGTGAAGAAAGTCAATTCGAAGCTAGAATGGAAGCTGTGGGTCAGAAACTGCTGGATTTCTCGCAACCGTTCGACGTGGCGGCGCTGGACCAAGTGGTGCAGTGTATGAACGATCCCAAGAGCCCGCACCAGCGAGTGGCCAATCAGATCATGGTGGCGCTGCAGGAGCATCAGGATTCGTGGACGCGTGCTTCGGATATCTTGGAGAAGTCGACCAGTATCCAGACCAAGTTCTTTGGGCTGCAGGTGCGGCTTGTTTTTGTGACAATATGTGGCACAGAATACGGACACTCACTGTTCATTATGTCAGATCTTGGAAGATGCTATCCATTACCGCTGGAAGATTCTGCCTACTGACCAACGTGAAGGCATTAAGAGCTACATTGTCGGCAAGCTACTGTCGGTGTGTAGCTGTCCGAGTGTTGATCTTCGTTGTTGCTGTAGATGACTGATTGACATCTTGTTGTATCTCAGATGTCGTCAGACGAGTCTACACTGCATAGCCAGCGCATGTTTGTGAACAAGATGGACCTTGTGTTGGTGCAGGTGTTGAAACACGAGTGGCCGCAGAATTGGCCGTCGTTCATTACTGATATTGTCAACTCGAGCAAGACGTCAGAAGTCTTGTGTGAAAACAACATGACTATCTTGAAGCTGCTGAGTGAGGAAGTGTTTGACTTTTCTAAGGACCAGCTGACGGAACAAAAGACCAAGACGCTGAAGGAAAGCCTCAATCATGAGTTCACTCAGATTTTCCAGGTACGATAGACAACGGCTTGGTTTTCAACCATTGGTGCTTGCGTCCTCGTGAACTAATCCGTAACGGTTGTGTTTAACACGCGTGTCTTCTGTTTCTGCCATCGTAGCTGTGCGAATTTGTGCTGAACAAATCGACACACGTGCCACTTCTCCAGATTACGTTGCAGACACTGCTTCGATTCTTGAGTTGGATTCCTCTTGGGTTCATCTTTGAGACGGACCTCATAAAAATTCTCGTTACAAAATTCCTATCGACGAATGCGTTTCGCAACGATACCATTAGCTGTTTGAGCGAGATTGCTCAACTGCGCGATGTTCCCGAGCAGTACAACAACGTGTACATTCAGCTGTATATGGGCGTGCTGAATGAGGTAGGCAAGATTTTGCCGCCTGGTAGTTCGTTCACGCCGTTCTGGGAACAGGACGAGGTGTTTGTGCAGCGTTTGAGTATATTTCTCACGGGGTTTTTCCGGTTTCACATCCAAGTGATTGAGCAACCGATCACTGCTCCAGGCGACGAGGCTCATCAGGCACTACTCGCAGGCTTCACATATCTTGTATGCATTGCCGAGGTAGACGACGACAGCATTTTCAAGATCTGCCTGGACTATTGGCACTTTTTCACGCGGGACTTGTACACGGTCGACCAAAACCAGATGAATCCACTTGCAGGCTTTCAGAACCAGACTCGCAGCCGGCGCGACCTTGTGTCACCTGTCATGAATCGTGTGCGCCACGTCATGATCTCAAAGATGGTGAAGCCGTCCGAGGTATTGATCGTGGAAGACGAAAATGGTGAGATTGTGCGAGAGACGACCAAGGACACGGAAGCGTTGTCGCAGTACAAGACGATGCACGAGACGCTCGTGTATTTGACACACTTAAACTATGACGACACGGAGACGATCATGCTAGAAAAGCTTACAGCTCAGGTTGAGGGTACGGAATGGTCATGGAACAATTTGAATACGTTGTGCTGGGCTATCGGATCGATCTCTGGTGCCATGAGTGAAGAGAATGAGAAGCGTTTCTTGGTCACTGTGATTAAAGATCTGCTGGGGTTGTGCGAGATGAAGCGTGGCAAGGATAACAAGGCTGTGGTCGCTTCGAACATTATGTACGTCGTGGGTCAGTACCCGCGCTTTTTGCGTGCACACTGGAAGTTTCTTCGCACTGTCGTGAACAAGTTGTTCGAATTCATGCACGAGCTCCACCCTGGTGTACAAGACATGGCATGTGACACATTTTTGAAAATCTCGCAGAAGTGCCGGCGTAAGTTTGTTGTTTTGCAGAGTGGTGAAACGCGTCCGTTTGTGGAAGAGCTGCTTGAAGAGTTGCCTCGCATTGTATCAGATTTGGAAACGCACCAAGTGCACACGTTTTACGAGGCCGTGGCGTCAATGCTCGCTGCTGATAACGATGCCAACCGAAAGGAGTTGCTCCTCAGTCGCTTGATGAGCCTTCCGAACGAAGCCTGGAAGTCCATTATGACACAAGCAGCGCAAGACGTGAGTATTTTGTACGATAGCCGAGGCATCAAGGAGATTGTAAAGATTATTCGGACAAACGTAAAAGTATGCAAGGCGATTGGATCGAACGGCTTCAACTCGCAAATGGGCTACATTTTTCAGGACATGTTGAATGTCTACGTGGCGTACACGCAGCGCATAGCCGTGATGGTCGAACAGGGAGGAGAAATTGCAGTCAAAACGTCGGAGGTGCGCTCGCTGCGCAGTGCTAAAAAAGAGAGCTTGCGCTTGATGGATGCGTTTGTAGAGCACACTGCAGGCGATGACGCAGCACGGCAGTTCGTGGCTACTCACTTTTTGCCCAAGCTTTTGGAGACGATCCTCTCGGACTACCAGACCACAACACCTACGGCAAAAGAAGCGGAGGTGCTTACTTTGCTAGCCACTAGCATCAACAAGCTGAAGAACATCATCGCGCCCACAGTGCCCTTGATCCTCGAGTCTGTCTTCGAGTGCACGCTCCAGATGATCACGAAGAATTTTGAGGATTTCCCGGAACACCGCGTAAACTTTTTCAAGCTACTTCAGGCTGTAAATGACTTCTGCTTCGAAGCGCTGTTCAGCATTCCGCAGGAGCACCAGAAGCTAGTCGTGGACTCGATCATTTGGGCTTTCAAGCACACAGAGCGCAACGTTGCTGACACGGTATGTTTTCCGTGCTTGTGTGATGCGGGTCACCTTGGACCTTGACTGACTATATTGTATGTCATGTTGCACTTGTGTAGGGTCTCGCTACGCTGTTTGCTCTGCTACTGAACATTCAAGAGAATCCCCAGATCGCCGCCGGCTTCTACCGCTCCTTTTACCTGTTGCTGCTGCAAGATATCTTGGCTGTGCTGACCGACCGCCTTCACAAGTTCGGTTTCAAGCTGCACGCAGCTGTTTTGCGTCACATGTTTGCCATTGTGGAAAACAATCACGTGACTGTACCTCTGTGGGAGGGGGTGCCGAACGTGGCCGCCATGCCTCCTGGGCAAACGAACTCGGTACGTACACGGACTTCGCACTTGCTGCAGCATATAGGAGTTTGTTCTGATGTTGTTTTCGGGCTTGCGGTACCCATTCTCAGGCTTTTCTCAAGGACTACGTGGCGAATTTGATTGGCTCGTCGTTCCCAAACTTGTCGCGTGCACAGGTGGTGCAGTTCGTGGTTGGGTGTTTTGACATGTCAAAAGACTTGCCGACGTTCAAGAAGCACTTGCGTGACTTTCTCGTGAACATCAAGGAATTTGCCGGCGAGGACAATGCCGAACTCTTTTTGGAGGAAAACCTTGCCCGGACGCAGCTACAGGAGAAGCAGGACTTGGCTGCCAAGCTGGCTGTGCCGGGTCTAGTCAATCCGAACGAACGTCCTGATGAGATGGCCGACTTGTAGGTCCTTTCTTTCGTCACGCCGAAAGTAGCAACAGGACAGCGACTCTTTTTTTACCACCATAATCCCGCCACCGAGGAGACACTGCGAATAAAAAAGGGTTCGACTTGAACACTCACTCGCTTTTGGTAATTTGTGCGTAAAACGTCGTTGATTTAGTCGATTCGCTACAACTCCACCGCCGCCCGTCACCGGTGACCATCATTCTGGTTTAATTTCCAGCAGACAACTGTCAGCCATGGCGACCACGAAGGACGTCCGGCCGCAATGGCAACTGGCGCGCAGGTCCGGGCCCATCTCTTCCAGCGGCGTCGTCCTGCGTCGACTGTTGCGCCATCGACTGGCGAAAGAGAGCGCCACAGACGACGACGCCGACGACGACGACGCCGACGACGAAGACGAGGAGCAAGACGAGACGAGACGCCCGGCAGAGTGCGGAAACCCCTTTTGCCGGCAAGTTTTAGCCAATCGGTACGCGAGTTTCTGCGAGGACAAGCGCATGTGCCAGCGCTACCGTGCGCTGAAGCTACAGTGTCTGGCGAACGCCCAGGCCGAGGAAGACGAGGAGGACACGAGGCCCTTGTCGCTTATGGTCAGTAAACAACGGAAGCAAAAAAACCAAAGCAGCAGCGCCAAGGAGACGTCACTGGAAGTGGAAGCGAGTCCGCGTGCTACTGCTACCTCCCAACGTAGTGACAAGAGGCTCAAGGTGTCAGCAGCAGCTGCTGCTGCTGTTGCACTGGGGAGCGAAGAGAAGCGACGGAGTGGCGTGAAAAGTCTACGAAAAAGTGAGAAAGAGACGACGCCACGCAAGAAAAAGAGGAAGAAAGTGGAGAAAATTGTGGAAAGTGAGGACGAGGAGAGAGAGGACGGGGAAGAAGAGGACGATGATGACGAGGAGAAGAAGAGACGAGGGAAGAGAGTGAAAAGAGTGCGAGAGAGTCAGCGGACGAGCGTTCTAGTCGACCGTCTTCGGTTGAGTGTACCGACACCGTCGGGAGCGGACGAGTCGGGAGTTCGGGCAGATAAACCTAAGAAGAAGATGTTGTCACGCGTGCAGCTGTCGACAAAGACGAGTGGTGACGGAAAAATGGAACTTGGGAGCAGCAGTGTACAGATAAAACGACGTCGACTGGATAGCCGTTTGAGTACAGATACTGTGGCGTCGCCTCGCTTTGTGGCCTCGTCACCAAAACAAGCTGCTGCGTCTCCTTCTGCAGCGTCAGCACCTGATGCGAATTGGAAAATTCCCAGGTCTACATCAAGTCAGGAACGGACTTCTCTGCAGCAGATCAGAAGGAGTATGGACGTGGATCTTGTGCCGCTGGGTGTTGGTAAATCAACAAAATCTGCCGGTGGAGGACGATACGTCCAGAATGGAATTCGAGCAGTGTCTCAAGTATCGAGGCCAGCAAACCCGCGATCAAGACCTCTGAATATATCAAAGCCGCCGGTACAGCCAGCAGTAACACCTTCTTCAGCATTGCCGGTCAAAGCGTCACCTACGTTTGCATCGACAGCACGACAGCAGCTATCACCACAGCCTAAACCGCCATTGCCATTGCTACCACCTCAGACTTCAGTTTCGGCCTCAATGCCGGTACCTCAGCCGCCTGCTAAGGCTGTCAACCCCTCACCATCGTCATTAGCACCACCTGCGGTACCGGCGGCTATAGATCCATCCGCCACAACAGCAACCGGGCCATTCGAGGTAACGCGGATTTCTACCTTGGCTTATCTGAAGAGCAAGAAAGGTGGTTGCGAATGGCAACCAGCAGAACAGCAGACGAATTTCCCACCATCGCGGTTGTCTTCGCTGGAACGTTTTAGTAACGTGAGTGAAGATCGTGCTTTGGGAATTTCGATGGCTCCTGCGTGTCCTACAGGCTTGCCTAGATATCGCAATGATGGTGCCCCCTTGACATCGTTTACAGAATCTCGATTTGGTGCGGATCAACGTAGGCATTACCTTGAAGTCGAAGCAAAGCATCAACGATTGCCTACTGAAAATGAGGAGAACGCGGTACACTACCGAGAGAGGCCGAACATTGGCTGTGATTTTGAAAGGTCAGCGTCCGAGAATTGGAAAGCCCGCAACTTCCCGTCACCACGTGAGCGCTATTCGCTCCGGCAACAGGAAGCTTTTGTGGACAGTATTCGATGTAATGGTTTTGAGTACTCGATGGATTCACACGCAAGGTCAGCACCGTCCCCGGTCGAACAACCTGGTCGAGGCCCGCAGAAAGAGCTTTCACCACCTCAGCATGCGTCGCCTTCTTGTCGGGGTGAACAGCGTGTCAATAACGAACGGAGGAATAGTAGACACGACGGCGACGAGGACGATGCGCCAATGTTTTCGCATCGCGAGGCATTTTTACCACATTTGCTGTCAATTTTCATTCATCAGTTACCCCATGCGCTGGAAGCAGTGTATAACGTTACGAAGAAGCCAAGAAAAATGGTTTGGTATATACAAAATATCGAGCGAATTGAGCGCATTTGCAAAGCATCCAACTTGAAGGTAAAGATCGACGGCTCAACAGCAGTGGTGACTGTGCGAGGCCGTGAATGGCTAACGTTGCAGGGTACGTCTACGGTGGCGCTGCATTTGAATGTCATGAAAAGCTTGTGGAGCGAGGCGACGGCATGGCAATTTTTGTATGAGGAGGTGGAGTCTACTCTTGCTTACTACAAAAGTGTATATGGCAGTAAAGCAAACGAAAGCTATTCCTTTCTTCGTGCGTGGAACAATCTGAAGATCACAGGGAAGCATATACCACTATCGAGAGAAACCAATTACTTCTGCGGTGCACGGCTTCATCACTGGAATTTTGTTGTTGGAAAGGTGGAAATCGGGAGTGGCAGCCATGAAGAAAAACGAGAGGCTTTTCGTTTAGCCTCCATCAGCGCATTCGAGTTTGTATTGAAAATCGGTCGAGTTATGCGACATCCTACAGTCAAGCGCAGACGAGTATTAGAGGATTATGATGAAGATGAAGACTGTTATCGGAGCTCAAGCCGTGTGCCGTCATCCAACAATAGAGCGCGTTCACCAGATGCTGAAATCGAAAACAGTATAATTGCCGGTTCGTCGCCTTCGATCGGACCTTCGTCCCCAGTTGAGTTGAGTGCAGCGGCAGCACAGCCGTCGAGAGAGCAACTGTTGATGATGCGTGATGATGCTGAAAGTCCTTCTGCAGAGGCACCTTTGACGGATAGACAGCCGTCATCCGGTGAGCCGTCGACGGAGCAATTGCCGACGACACGTGATGGCGCTGACAGGCCTCTGACTAATGAATCGACGGGTGGACAGGCACCGACCGAGCAACTGCCAGTTACCCTTGATGACGCTGGTAGGCCTCCGGCCGATGCATCTTCGATTATCCAGCGACCAGCGGACGATGGGTCACAGCTTTTTGCTGAAGTACGTACATATACCGATCCCGAGTTTTCTTGCAGCCATGAATCGGCAGAAGCTGTGGACCAACGTGGCCCGAGTGAGGAAATGGACATACGTGGTGGTAAGTGCTTGTTTTGTTGCAACGCATGGACTATTGATTTACAGACGCTGTTTTATGCTATCGACTAATCACTTCGGATGATGTACAGATGCCAGTGATATGAGCGTATCACCTTCCGCCGAGTCGCCGCGGATATCGATAACGTCAGCGACGTCTACAGATGCGCAAGAGTCTACTGTCACATCGGCAGCGGAACCCACGCCAGCCGCGGCAGTATCCTCTGCGCCGACAGCAGTGATTTCTGCTTCAACGATCACTATGAACCCTATCTATCCGACCATTTCGATTCAAAGTGAACCGCTTGCTTTTATTCCCGCGCCTACAATGGCGCCGTATGGCGCGTCTCCCGCTCGTGTTGGAACTATGGGATATGCTGTACAGAGGGGCTTTCCAGCGTTACAGGCGAAGACAACAACACCTTCACGACGGTGTATGATGTGCGAGATGATTCGCATGCGGAAGCCGGATGGAGAGCGATGCCTGCGCTGTCAGCAGAGGGATATGCCAGTCAACGCAGCATTCAGCGCCTTGCTCTGGCCTTGATCCAAGCGCCGACGCGAATCAGTCAGCAGGGTCGGGATGCATCCGTCCCTCCAGTCGTGACATACACACACCATCCTGTCATTGGTGGGCACATTCTGAGCAACGGTTGACACAGGACGGGTAGATATATGGTTGTATGTACCAGGACGTTATTTAATTCATGTACGTCAAAGCACTCGAGTCCAGAAGCAGGAACCGGCTGGTTGGCATTGCCGTATCAACAACCTATTTCCTGGTTTTCAACTGCTTTTCCTTGTCATGATTTCTGAAAACAAGTAACACAACTCGACCAGAGTCGACAGCTGATTGATACGATTAAGGTCATAAACTAGCAGAGCAACAAAGACGGTTTCTGGAGAGCTGGGCATACGTGGATCATATGCGTGCTTTCGATGTGAGCGCAATGACTGACCCGACGAGGAGTTTCATGTGCGAGAAAGAGGCATTTGACGAAAGAGGTCATAGTGAGTCGCCACTGCAACGGTGCGTTTGTAGTCTACCATATCTTGATCAAGTGCAAGGACGAGAAAAGCTTTCGTTTAAGGACTATAGACCTCCAGTTTACACACTGTTAAAAGATGCGAGTACACGAATGTGCAACATCTTTCAGGACCGTCGTGGAACCAAAGCTGAGGCAAAAGACCGTAAGGAGAGAGCGAGTGAATGACATTCAGTAGCAGAAAAAAACTGACGTATTCAGGTGCATCACAAGGCTTCCAAAGCGTATAATGCGCAGAAGTTTTGTGCACATGGAACTTAGTGGGGACACCACACTTGCCTGAACGAAGGCAATCGGCTATAACTACTAACACGCTACTGTATAATGGATTTACCAACCGGTGCGACACACAGCACTTTACGCGTCAAGGTAGTACAGGCGGGGACATGTTTATTTTCCACCTGAGAAAGATAAAACGTAATAACAACGACAATGGATTCAAGCTGACTCATAACTAGCTAATGATGTAATCGCTACAATAAAATGAGGGGATTTTTACAGAAACTGAAGGAGATTAACGGCTCCCTTATTCTTTTACGAGTGGGTCGTGTTTATTAGATACTAAACGACAACGATACAAAAGCAGGGACAAGCATATTGACAAGGTTCATGCATCGACGTCGCCACAAAATGAATATATTAGGGACCTCTGCGATGCTCGAGGCTGTAAACTTTATCTTGCCACTGTCCTGGTCAATAATTACGAGTCAGTTATTCCTCGGATAAGCTGAAATAGTTGCATACTAGATCAGAGCACCCGACCTGGTAAGTATTGGGAAAGAAGTCTGTAGCCAAGAGATGTTTTTTACCGGTCAGCACTCTCCGTCAAGTTTAAGTTTTCTATCCGCGAGCTCGAACGACTAATTGTCGCTGTTGCGGGGTCGCAATGATTTCTTGAACTTCTTGCGGAGACTACGTTTACGACTGAATACATTCTGCAGCGTGGACTGCCCAGCTTCTTGAATTTTGGCAAGCACGAGACTGTTCTCGGACGATGTGATACTCGTGACATTACCGGTTGTACCTGCACGACCTGTACGGCCGATGCGATGCAGATAGCTCACAATATCACTAGCGAACTCAAACTGGACGACATGGCCCACTTTGGTGGTATCCAGGCCTCGTGCTGCGATATCAGTGCAAATAACGACCAGGTCCTGATCGGCATCGGCTGCACTGTCAAGTCTCTTGATAAGTTGCTGACGTTGTGCTCGGTCGACGTCCTTGTGGAATAAAGCGCAGTTCGTCAAGTTCTTGTCGTTTTGCAAGAACTCGAAGAGCGCGTCGGCACTAGCAATGGATTTGGTGAACACAAGCGTCTTCTTGCATGTTGTCTCTGGTACACCATCTCGATTGCGCTTCGAGGCAGCCAAGATGTCGTACAGGAGTTCACAGCGCGCGTGCTGCTCGTTTATAAAGTCACCACTCGCCGCAAATTGTTGCAGGTCATGAGACCGCAAGGTCAGGTTTGGCAACACCCGATGAAATCCCTGCAAACCAGTACCAACATGTTTACAAAAGGAATGAAGCACGAGCGATACCTCATGTGAACATACCTCGGTAATAGCAAACACGGCCGACGGAAACTTGTAGTCGATATAGTGACGCACAGATCGTTTGCCGTAGTCCGGGATCGTTGCGTATACAATCAAAGCAGTAACACAAACACCAAACATTTCTCAAGAAGTTAAGGAAAAACGCGTGATAAACCGACCAGAGTACGCGTTAGCAGTAAGACCCATTCAAAAAAATATTGTGAAGAGGATATTGCACTGAAAACAGTCTGCGTGGATCCCGTTGCAACATCCTGGTCTTGGACTTGTCGATCCCGTGGATCTGCATCCTCCCAACGATTCAGCTCCGATTTCAATAGCGGCTGATTGCGAATCGTTGCAAGAATCTGCTTCGTCTCCTTCTCGAATCCACCACTGAGCAGCATGTCGGCCTCATCCACAATCACCAGTTGCGTAAACGCAAAGTCTCGTGGTTTACTGGCACGGAGCAGTGCACCAGGCGTCGCGACCACAAGCGGACACGCACGTCCGCCCTGTTGTCCTAATGTCTGCCGTGAAGATGACAAGCTTATCGCATGTCGCGCAAGTTCCGGATCCATTTGATGCAGTACAGCAGCTACTTGTCGCACAAGTTCCTGTGACGTGGTGAGCACTAAAGCCGCTGGAAAGCGCATGGCACTTGCTGGTCGCGCCTTGCGACGAAAGTGCTCGATCATTGGCAACAAGAATGCCAGTGTCTTGCCGCCACCTGTTTCAGCAGCTATTACCGCGTCATGGCCCATTAGAATAGACGGAATGGCCTTGCATTGGACAGACGTTGGGGTCCTTAATCCTGATTGAGACAATCGATCGATGAGTGTGGTACTGAGGCCTAGAGACTGGAAAAAGCGAGCGGTTTTTGGCAGCATTTGCAGCTTTGGATATGGTGGGAACACCATGGAAGTAGAACGGATTGATGAAGCGGCGCGTGGGTTGTAAATGCGAGGCCATCGCAATAGCATGGTGGACTTGAAGTGGTTAAAGGAAGGTCTCCTTTATCGAATGGAGCTCTTTGCGAGTGGCATTTCTACCACTAGAATAGTGAGAAGAGCATATGTGACGAGGCGAGATGAAACGCTAATGCAATAATTGCTCTGTAGTGCCGAATTGTAGCCCTGCAAATGTGAAGTTTGTACCGCGTGGGTGTTGGGTGCCCGGCCAAATGAGCAATTTTTTTCCAGCTACGGTGCTGACGACTGCTGCCAAAGTACGATGAGGCACTGATAGCAATCAAGTGCTTGTGTGTTGAGTGAGGTGTTGTCAAAAACAAGCGAACAGAGGCTTTACTGTGCTTCCCCAGAGAGAGAGACACACAGTACAGTTAGTAGATGTGTTCACGATGCAGTTATCCCTGCATTCGTGCGTACGCCTGATTAAACAATCAAAAGGTACTCGGTTGTTACCTACCACCGAGCACTAGTGAACGTGCTTTTGTTTACTCTAAGTGAGGACGTTGGTTTCGTTCGTCAGTCGACAATGTGCTTACCTCTATTCCGCTGTTAACACGTCAGGACGCCACTTTGTCTATGAGTGAGGAGTGCAGAAAGGATCAGATGCGCGGGTTTGAAGTTACTGTGGCTTCATGTAAAGCACCTACGCGCATTGCGTCACGTTACCCATTTACCGCGTAAGCTTGTTCTTTGTATTCGTGTCCAAGTGATCTTTGTCGAGACACAATGCTGAGCGAACAATACAAAAGGGCCTGTGTGCAACATACAGCGGCATCAGCTTTGAGGGACGATATTGACTTACGCATAGATCGTGGCACCGCATCAGTGGCTTGTTCAAGCCACCTTTCCATTCAAAAGGCTTGTAGCTAGTGCAGCCACCATGAATCTCCTCTCCCTTCAAGTACGACCAAGCGTTTGCGCACTGTGCTCGCCGTGCGAGTTTCACCAAAAGTCCGGAGTAAAACCAATCTACGTGCCAAAAGCCAAGGCAAGAAGGCGCAATGTTCTACAACACGCCACATCCCGATTGCGTCGAGTGTCACGGAGGCCTCTCCCACTCCTGAAGCTTGTCTCAGACCTGAGAGTTTGCAACATACTTCATGCTCGCATGGCAGGTGCTCCAAGCGCACTTCGACTTGTTGACTGCTATTTTTCCACAAAAACGCAGCCTTGACCTGTACACAGGAAGGACCAAAATTGTCCTTCCTCCTCCTCCTACCCTTATCAAAAAACAATCGCGTCTATACCTCGAACATGGTTCACAATTCTCTCTCACCTCGTGCCAATCGAATAAGCTTCCGAACGTACTGACAACATAAGAATTACCTTGCAGTATGACGATTGTGGTCGTCTCGTGTGCAGACCTAAAAAATTACCAAGTGAGACCGCTTGTGTCAAATTGTGACCTCTCTAGTCAAATTGTGACCTCTCTAGTCAAATTGTGACCTCTCTAGTCAAATTGTGACCTCTCTAGTCAAATTGTGACCTCTCTAGTCAAATTGTGACCTCTCTAGTCAAATTGTGACCTCTTTTGTCAAATTTGTATCTGATTGGTCGCGACATTCCACGATTTCGCTTTCGTGATTCAGTGGCCAAGAAGCAAAAGCGATGGCAAGTCAAAAGTTGTGGAAGGCGGCGCCTACGCAGGTGCTGAAGGTGGTCAAGCCCATCGTGCACTGGGGATTCGTGCCTCTCATCGTGTACATTGCTCTGAAGCAGGAGCCCAGTCTCACGTGCGTCTTGCATCTATCTCCTCATTTTCATTTGTCCAGCAAGAATTGTAAATCGTTGGTCTAATACTCTGTATGGTTAATGTTTTGCAGTCTGATGCAGATTATCAATCCGTTTGCGGCTCCTGCTGAGCAAGCTTAAGTGGTATCTGTGGACCGTCAAGACTGATGTCGACTTCCTGATCAGTTGATTAGAGTGCTCTTGCCTTTCACTGTGAAATGCAAGCTCTTGCCCGACAAAATGGAATCTAAGATCTGAATAGATGCGGCTGAGAAGGGCACAACTGACCGTCGTGCTCCCCTCTTTTTCTCTGTGTGTGTCTACACTTCCGTCACTCACTTTCGTGGTCGGTCATTTGGTCTCTAGCCTCATGTCGCTGGATTATTGACGTGTCTACTATAGCTGTTCACGATGCAAGGAAATAAATGCTGGAACATGAAGACGCGTGGTGTACGTTGAGGCGCATTGGTGAGAAACCAAGTAGGGGTAGACCAAAAAAACAACCGAAGCAATAACGATTGAGACAGCGTGACCCTTGGGCATCTGCAGGCATCGTCGTCCTGACTTCCTAGAGCCCACCTTGTCGTTGGTGGCGTTGACAGTATTTGAGTTGTCCGATAATATATTTTTCCGGCTCTGGCTTTGTCGTAAAGTCGGTGGCATTACATGATCTTGCCCGCAGACGCTGGATGCCTTGATGCATAGGCTGCAACGGGGTCACACTAGCCATTGGCTAAATTGGTCAAAGACCTCCCCTTACCCAAGCAGTCCCTATTCTTTCCCCCCTTCGCACATTGTGCTCTACGGGTTCCTTAGAACTGCCGTAGCTTAAAGAGTCCTTAGACTCCTATCCTCCTGCACATTGTTCTTGTGGTACTCTAGAACTATACAGTAGTTGAGCTGTTAGCTCGTAGAGTCCATCCGAGTTCCGTAGAACTGGGTGACTCTTTAACTCGATATACTAGTTACGTAGAACTAATAGGCTGTCAACCGTAAGCCGTTGGCTTGTTAAATAAGTCTTCCTCTGACTTAAAGAGCTGTATAGCTACACTTGGTAGCACTTGTAGTCAATTCTACACCTGATTCGTTTCGACTGATCCTCTGTGAGAGATGGAGGGTCTGGACTACCTCTCTGAGGCTCAACGTATCGCGCTTGATAAGCTCACATCGATGATAGGGGTCGAGCAGGTCGACCACATTGTGGCCTAAGGCCCAGAAGTGCTTAATGCACGTCTCGATGCATTTATGCAGTTTGAGGCCACGCTGATAGGGCAGGTCCACGACCATTTAGCCTCAGCCATATCTACACAGTACTTTCCAGCACCTGACAGTGAGTCAAAGACTCGTACGCTCACTCTTATCGTTAAGATTTTCGAGGGGAAAGAGGGGGGAAGTCTTCTCCTGTGGATTCGAGAAATCGATATGACCATTGAATCCGCCTTGCTTCATTCGTAGCGACGTAAAGTTGGCCTAGCCATTTCTAACTCGGTGGTAGAGCCAAAGAATGGGCTCTTACCTGTGATACGTCGGTTAGCGCTGCGTATCCCATATGGGATTCGCTAATACGAAAGATGTCTCGATTGTTCGCGCCGCCTAATCAAGCGTATCGTGTTCGCTCTCGATTCCTAGCCGCCAGGCAGGGAAAGAGAGAATTATCGGACATATTCGAAGGGTTGCAAACTCTCATAGCTGCTATGCAGATGGACCCTCTTCCAGAGCACGTCCGTGTCACCATTTTTATGGAGGTCCTTCATACAAGGATCGCAAGGACGGAAGTCTTCCACGTCCACCCCTCAACGTTTGAAGGGGTCGTAGACATGGCGTTGAATACTGAGTTCAACTTCAGAGCCGCTCGCTATGGCACTCATGGGCATGCCCAAAGATCATTTGACGGAGCTGAGCCCACGGACCTCAGCCATGCTTACGTCCGTAGGTGTTACATGTGCGGGAGCACCAAGCACTTGCGCTTTCAGTGCCCACTGCGGAAGCCGCGTCAGCGTCGGCCAAGCCGCAATCCGCCTCCTAACCCGAAAGTGGGTACGGAGCGAGAAAACAGCATATCCCAGTAGGCGTGGGGAGGCCTTCTGGGGAGGAACTAGGTTCTGCCGAATATTTAGGTGGTAAAGATAGACAGGGCTTAGCCCCAGACGGTCTTGTAGAAGTTTCTACGAGACGTGAGTATAAGCCAGGCTGGCTAGTGGCCTCGGGTACAATTAAGGGATTCGAAGATCCGTGGTCAATATTAATTGAATCTGGAGCGTTAGGCAACTATGCTCGACGCCGGTCCCTAAAGGGATATAAATCAGTGCAGAGATAAATCAGGTAGCTTTAATTAATTTCACAAATAGATTCACTTCCAAATATTCCTTCTCCTACACAAGTCGTTTTCACTTCGCAGTGTAGACTTCTTTCAAGCTCTTCGAAGCTCCGTTCTCTCGCCCAGTGCTCGACAAATCGTTACGCCTTCGAACCCTACTTAACTTGGTCACTAATAGCGACGAAGCACCCGACTACCTGCTCAAGTACACGACGTAGCTTTCCTTATACACGAAGGCAGGCCTTCTTTTATGCAATTTTATGTCTTTGGCCTTGCGAAGGCTGTGGACAGCCTATCGCATTTGGAAATCAGTCGATGTCTTGCGCCTTCCACCTACTTTCAAATTTAAGCTATGTTGCAGCAATAAACTGAGGCGCTGAAAGCGCATATAGGTGAAGTTATCACTGTTCGCTTAGCGACAGGTACTCGTGTCACCGTACCTAAAATCCCGTTGAACTTAGGTGTGATACTTTTAGATTTTGATAGTATCGAACGTTGTCTTGTCCTTGATTTGAACTCGAGATATGATCTTATCCTTGGTATAGCTGGGCTTGAACGCCATGAGCCATGGGTTAATTGGAGGTGAAGACCTTGGGCGCAAAGCGCGACGTTCCTAGTGAATCTTTGGAGAGTCATGAACCCACCTTTGCTAGGCAACAAAAGCGCTATTTGCGCGCGCCACTGACAGAGTCGGTCAGTGTGCTTGACATTGGAGTGTCTGAGCTAGTTAACTCTGATGTCATTGACAATAGTGAAATGGCACGTAATCCGTTGAGTGACACTGGTACTGAAAGTGACTCACTGAATGCTGGAAGCATTGATGGCTTAAAGCCGAGTCATCCTGGTTGTGATCCCTGTGATGCGCGTGGAGTGACACGTAAACATCCACAGAGCGAGTTCGACCGCGATGGCACCCCAAAAATGTCGATAATGACATTATTTGCGATTCGCCTAGGCATCAAGAGCTATGCTCAACATATGCGAGTGTAGTGGCACGTATAAATATACAGAGTGAGGTCGGCCGTGAGGGCACCACACCTAATGTCGGTAATTACATTGGCACTCAGTGAGAGCAGGTCGAGGTTGAAGATGATTTTCACCTCGTGGAACCGGTTGTTTCAAATACGTTAAAGTGTTCAGTTCTGTACAGAGACGACAGCGACGCCAGTTGACGGCTATGAGAGGAAAGGCTTTTTTCATGACCCAGAAGGACACTAGTGAACAGTTGCAAACTTTAGTTAATGGGGTGTCGGGTGCGATTAATGTAGAAGCTTTCCTCGAGGCCCTCCCATCGGTTTACGCTCTGCTAGAGCTAGACGAAATGTCTGTAGACGAATTTCATCAAGATTTAAGGCTGGTGCTTTGTCCGATATGGTGTTCCTTAGACCTGATCATGAGTTGAGCTCGTCAACCCTTGTAGACGAGACAGTCCTTGAGGACATTAAAGTTGCACTCAGTGCTCGCAGTGGATCTGCCATTTTGAAGGATCCTTCGGGTCCCTTCTATCCTTTGGTACATAAATATCAGGACGTGGTGTTTCATGATCCACCATCCACTCTACCTTCCGACAGAAGTGTGCGTCATGAAATTGACCTGGTCCCTGGAACCAAATACTGTGTCACACGGCAATGACTATTGCCTAGGGAACAGTGTGACGTCATTGACTAGTTCTTTCCTGCAAAACACGCGGCAGGCATGGTGCGGGAGAGCAAGTCTCCACATTCGACACCGACATTTTGTGTCATAAATCCCATTGGTAAATGGCGTATTGTGCACGCTTACAATAAGCTCAATGCGGCCACTATACCTGCGCAGACACCTATTCCTAGAAAGGATGTTCTCCAGAACGCTATGGTAGGTTGCACCATGATTAGCGCACTCAACTTAGTCGATGGTCATTACCAACTCCTTGTGCGAGTGAGTGATATCCCGCTCACAGCGGTCAGCACGCCGAGTTGCATGCTTTGGTTGTGGCTTGTTGTGCCTCAGGGACTTTCTAATGCCCATGCAACCTTTAAACGTCTCGTGACACAGTTGTTCTGCCCTCATAGAGGATATGCACAAAGCTATTTTGATGACATTTTTGTTAATAGCCGTTCAAAACAAGGAAGATCAGATGTGAACAATCATATTGATCATTACTGAGCAGTGCTCAGGTGTATGCGCACAAACAAGTTGTATTAAAATGCATCTAAATGCATTTTTGGTGCTAAAAAACCTTTTTTGAGGGTGCTTATTGGAAAGTGCGGCCTACGGGCAGATCCCTCTAAGATAAAATCCATTGTGGACTGGCCAATTCCGTCAAAATTTAAAGACTTGCGTATATAACTTGGTTAAACCAATTAATTACATAAGTATAGTGCAAATTATGTTTAAATGGCAAGGCCATTAACCAACCTCCTTAAAAAAGGACGTGGTTTGGTGTTGGGACTCGGTTCAGGCACAAGATTTTCAAGCCTTTAAGAAGAGTCTCCTTCATGCTCCAATTTTGACTTTGCCTGACTCGGAGCGACCTTTCACTGTCGTCTGTGACACATCTGATTATGCCATTGGCAGTGCATTGTTGCAAACCGATGTCGATGGACATTCACGCATCATTGCGTATGAGTCTCGTCAGCTAAAAGCTGCTGTAAAGAACTATCTAGTTCATGACAAAGAGTTACTTGCGATAAAGTATGCTCTTGTCAAATTTAGAGAAAAACTACTTGGCTCCAATACGTTTGTAATCTACACGGATCATGGGTCGTTGCGCACTGCGACCCAATCGCCTCATCTCTCGCAACGAATCGCCCGTTGGCTATCATTCTTCGCTGAGTATAACTTCGAGGTGAAGTATAAACCAGGGGAGCAAAATGCTTTGGCCGATGCGCTATTACAAAGGCCGGATTAAAAGCTTGCTCAAGCTAAGACTATGTCTTCTTTGATCCCTGATTTAATCAGTGCGGCTCATGCCAAGGATGATCAGTGTGTCGCGTTGCTACGCGCGCTCGATTGTGATGAATTTAAAGACTAGGCCATTAAATTGTCGGCATGCTCGCGTGCAGGGCTACATTGAAACTCCTTCGATCATGGCCTCTTGTGCTATAGCACGTATGCGGCGGATACTCCGCGCATCGTCGTACCTCATGATGAGGAATAAATGTGTAGTACCTCGTTGAGGCGCATGATACAGCTTTGATCGGGCTTTTCGGTCGACAGAAGACCTATGGCTCGGTCAGCCAACACTATTGGTGGCCTAAATTAAATAAATGGGTGAGCACATATGTGCGTACGTGTTGAACGTGTCAACGGGTCAAACCATCCCCCCATGCGGCTAAGCCTTTGGTGAGTTTGCCTTACCTACGGGTTGTCAGGAATCCATCAGTATGGACTTTGTGTTTGGTTTGCCAACATATTTGGACGGCAACACTGGTACTGTGGTCTTTGTTGACCGTTTGGGTAAGATGACTCATTAAGCGGCTGTGCCGGCCTAAATTGATGGTGAACGTACAGCACAGCTGTTTATCGATCGCGTCTTAAGTCAACACGGTTTGCCTTTGGCAATTGTTTCAGATTGTGATCCTCGCTTTACGGGGAAGTTTTGGAAGTCCATCTGTAAGGTGCTCGGCACCCGATTGAACATGTCCACCGCGGATCATCCGCAAAACGATGGTCAAACTGAACGAGTTAATCGTGTCATTGGTGACATTTTGCGCAGCGTTTGCGCAGATAGTCCTAGGCGTTGGAGTTTCATGCTTCTGGTGGTCGAATTGGCCATGAACAATTATAGTCATGCCTCGACTGGCTACACATCGTTCTATGTGAACGGCCTCACCCATCCGCGCGTCCCTTTGACGCTACCAATCCGTGGTTCGGGGCTTGGTGGGGGAGGGATTGCCGACCGGGTTGCTGATGTCAGCCCTGCTACTGTTCAGAAACAGGTTGGTGAGCTCCTTGCAAGAAGGTTGAATGTCTTAAGACATGTGTGAAATGCAATGGCTGATAGCCAAGATACCAAAAAGTAACAAGCAGATGCCAAAGGCAGAAATTGCATTGAAAGTTATGAGGTCGGAGAACAAGTCTTGCTAAACGCTAAAAATCTATCTATAAATGTATTGTCAGCTGTTTTTAAAACGAAGTTGCGTCCGCGCTATATTGGACCTTTTACGGTCGTGGCCAAGAAGGGCCATGCGTATGCGCTTGACTTGCCGCGCAAATTGAATGCGACGCATGTCTTTTGTGTCGGCCTGCTTAAGCCATACCGTGAATGGTCCCATGTAGACTTGAAGGCTCTTGCGCCGCGTACATTGGCTTTGCCACAGGATGTTGCATCCGGATCAAGAGGTCAGGTTGCGCCTCGACACGAGTCTACCGTGACTCCATCATCGGAAGACGGGCGCGATCGCCTTACAACGTCGCCAGACGAGGTCGGGCTTCACCCAGGGCGTTCAGAGTCTTTCCAAAGTCTCGCGGAGATCCTGTACTTTCTACATCAACTCAGCATGGCTTTCAGCAGATACTGCGACCGCCACCGACTTTGCTTGATGAGCAAGGGAACTTACAGTTCCATGTGGAGCGGGTACTTCAACGACGTCGTTGTCTTGGTCACTACCACTATATGATGAAGTGGCTTGGTACCTTGAGTCTGAAAACTCATGGGAGTATGAGATTCCCCTTCGGCAAGATTGCTCATACGCTGTTGACGTTAATGAGCGCCACGGCCTAGCTCGTCTCGACGAGCGTAACGCTTCCTACTCGTCGCAGTGATAGCGGGCGAGTTCAAGTCAAGATTAACGTGAACTCGCGGCTGCAGAGGCAGCCGAAGCATAGCAAGAAGCGTGGTGCTCCCCGCAGACGGCCTCTGGCCTTTAACTTTGCGAAGTTTTTGCGAAGCTTAAGCTCTAGAAGAACGTCTATCACACTGGCACTTTCGCGTAGCGCGTGCATTTAGATGAGGCGTCGGATGCCATGCACCCAGCGGATGAACGTATTGTCCTCTGCAGTTTAGTCCCCATCTTCGGAAATAATGATGGGTATACCCTTAATTTGTGGAACTCGCGTTTTTTGGGCCTGCTTTTGCAGCCGTTCTCTGTATTGACTCAAAGTCATCACAGTAGGTTCCAAGTACCTCTCTCAAAGAGCCTTGCGGCATTCGATTTCAGTGGGAGTTTTCGCCTCGGGGCCGGTGGCCCATGTTGCCAAAGTATGGCGTGACGCTTAACGAATTAGTTCTTCCACGCCAGGTAAAGTGAACGTATATTCATAGTGTCGTTGCAACTTTGTCTGAACTTCTGACTTGCGCCGTGTGCTTGCCGCTTGATCGAGCATGCGATGTTGCTCCTCATCAAGCGGGTTGGTAATAATGGATGTATCCATGGGGGACATTGCTCCCAGAGATGTTAGCGCAGTCGCGGCACTACGTTCGGGGAATGGATTAGGTGCCGGATTAGGAATTTACCCACGTACAGGTGTGCTGGGTTTGGATTGCTCCTCCCCTCGACTTTGTTGGTGTCACTACCACTGTCAAAGTCCACGTCCTCGACACCAAGGAATTTGCTAGAGCCTTATCTTCCAGGAGGTGTCCAGGTCGGTCCATCCAATTGTTTTTTTGTAATAAGTCTCAATGGGAGAATGAATCTATTGACGTTTGTGGTAACGTCAGTATGGTGGGGGAGGGTGTAACGGGGTTACACTAGCCTTTGGCTAAACTGGTCAAATACCCCCCCCTAATGATATGGATGAATGTGTGTGACCTTAGATTTATATCAGCAAGAGAATATCGATTGATCGATATTCCCAGGTTTACGGCACCCACCGTGTACGTACTTCGTGCCGTCATCATTTGATGAATGAGTGATGTGCCAAGCATCCATTTAGTTCGAATACTAGTTTTTGTATCAGTTCTATTTTAGTGTAATATAGGGTACTTAACGTAGGGTTTTCCTTGAAATAAAATCTAAATAAAGTTCAGTTCTCATTTTGAGCAGCAGTCCCTAGACCCCCCCCTTCGCACATTGTGTCGTGCAGTTCCTTAGAACTGCCGTAGCTTAGAGAGTCCTTCGACTCCTATCCCCTTGCACATTGTTCTTGTGGTTCTTTAGAACTACACTAGCCAAGCTGTTAGCTCCCAGATCCAACCGAGTTCCGTAGAAATGGGTGACCTTTTAACTTGCTATATTAGCTCCGCAAAACTAAAAGGCTGTCAGCCGTAAGCCGTTGGCTTGTTAAATAAGTCCCCCTCTGACTTAGAGTGCTGTGTAGTTCCTCTTCTCTATTGCTGCTTCGTACAAGCATAGTTGTAGCCATGTCCACTTGTCTTCACATGCTCTGCTAGATCGTCGGCTTCCATCTTATCCAATCAGAGTGTTTGAAGCGGTTCACGCACCAACCCACGACGCGCTAAAAGCCGGAGCATGAGCACAGCGGTTGAAACGCGCAGCAACAGGAAGCTCCTGTCCTTCAAGCGACCACCAGCACGTTTATCAGCGTTTACTTTTATTGTAGGTACGCTGTGTACAGGTGGAGCATGTGGCCTTCACAGGATCAGATCCGGTTCACAATCTAAGAGGACGATTTGTATTGGTTGGCGACGACAAAGGTGTCTGTCCGTCATCCTCTGTCTTGCGCAAAGGGTTCGTGTTTATAGGAGAGTTCGGAGCAGGAGCAGCACGTGACGATGTTGGAGTAAATCGCAAATCCGGCACCTACCCAATGCAAACATTGTAAAAAACCACCAGTCGCATAAGCAGTCCCACGTCGTGACGGAGTTGATGTTTGCCACGCTACTTTAAGGGTGACTGATTATTGCAAGACCGTAGGTGCTAAAAGTAGTATTGACATGAAATAAAGACTGTTGATGCATTGTTAAAGTCCGGCGAAAAGGCAGCGATCACCATGGGCGCGGAGCATGCGCCGCTGAACTGATTTCGTCCATGACAACGAAAAGATCGCTGCGAGAAATTGTAACTGGTGATGTGTATGATCCGTTGATGGTGTTGCCATTTGTTACAACTGCAATCGCTGCTGCAGGACTGCATCAAACAAGCGGTGGTCCTGCAGCAGCGATTGTCGATTGGCTATAATCACTCGCTGCCGTCGGGCACCGCTGCTTCCTACTATCAGTCAGTCATATCCTAGCAACAGTTTAACTGGTCAAAATCCAACCAGCCCACCTACCCGCCGTTGGCCAGCTGTCCACTCGTCGTAGTGACATCTAGTGACTCGGGCCAAGTCTCCATGTGGCATCCGAGCCGAAGCGACCTTTGGCCCAGGAGCTCCTTCCCTCTTTCTGTCATGATCTTCGTGTCTCTTCACCTGCTCCGGCCGTGATGATCGAATCTACCCAGGGCGACTGCTATGCAGCGCTCATCTCGCTCTCGCTCGCGTCTCATTTCGTGCTCGTCCCCGTGGCTCTCCAGCTCATCACGTCGGCCTCTACCATCGTTTACATTGGCTCGACGCTCTCGCTGAGGCTTCAGCACGCGCGTGTCGCCAGTGGCGAGAAGAACGAGAAGCGTGAAGGCTGAGGACGCCTACAAGTTCCTGCTCATGGGCTCGGGCGTGGTGCTGGGGCTCTGTATCCTCTTCAAGGTGTTCGACAAGGACCTTGTGAACCTCCTGCTGACGTTGTACTTTGCGCTCATCGACGCCTATGTCCTCATTGATGCGTTCATTCCATCCACTGGTGCTCTCGCTACTGTTCAAAGGCAGCTGCAGGACGTACACGCGCAACTTGAACGTGCCGTCCTACGGTCCGTACAAGCTCGTGCTGTCGCTAGCTTGGATGCTCACGTTCGTGCTGGCTTCCATCTTTGCAGCGGCCTGGTTAAGACCAAATACTACTTGCTGAACAACATTTACAGTGTCTCTCTGTCGATGAACGACATTGAATCGCTCTCGCTGGGTACATTTTAATGTGGGCGCGATTTTGCTTTGTGGACTCTTTTGCTTTGACATATTCCAGGTCTTTGGCACGGACATGGTCACGGTTGCCACGTCGGTCGATGCGCTGATCAAACTGATCTTCCCACGTGAGTTTGCTACTGATACGGAGAAGCAGAAGAACTCGATCTTGGGCCTCGGAGACATTGTGATTCCCGGTATCTTTGTGGTAATGCTGCTGCGATACGACGCCCATCGCGCGAACGTAACCAGTAGCAACCAGTCGTCTCCCAAGCATTTTTTCACGTGAACATGCTGTGCTATGTGCTGGGTCTAGTGGCTACAGTTGCGGTCATGTACTTCTTGGATGCGGCGCAACCAGTACTGCTGTAGCTTGTGCCGGCGTTTTTGGGCTCAGCGCTGATTACTGCGTTCGTTCGTGGCGAGTCGAAGGAGCTGCTTGAGTATTCGGAGGAGGAAGAAGAGGAGGAGAAGAGCGACAGTGTGAAGGACAAGGACGATGACGACCAAGAGGAGACTAAAAAGTCCAAGTAGGCAACAAGTGGGAGAGCCGTGCTAGTCAATTGTTTGCTTGACAAGCAGACTATTGTGCTCATGACAGGTTTGTCAAAGACGGATCGAAAGATATTATTGTACTGAGGATCAATGGTAATTGACGAACGCTGTGTGTAGCATGACCAGTAAGTAGTTTGAACAATGGCGTTCACCACTTGCTACGAAAATGGCTGATCATGTATGAGTCGTGATCGGCGATATGATCAGGATTTGCTATTGTAGATTATGCTAATCGTTTTTGCCCCAGGAACCGTTGATCTCCCCTCAGTTTGTTAAAACGCTACATGATTGTCTAATTTATAGACACGGCTTGAGGGCAAAATATCACTATAACCAGTTTTTCAACATCTGTTTGACCTACTTTGATATGTACGATTCGTAAGCTCGGTTTTCAACCTTGCACACAGTCACTGATGGCGTCACCTTCGGGCTCGCAACAAAATATTGAGCACAAATAATGACTTATTGCTGCTTGTGTAACGTGAGTCGAGGTATATGGCTGTGACCGGCTTTGGCTTCAGTATTAATTAGATCAGATGGCTTTGGTGTTTGCAGCAGACAAGGAGCGAGAAAAGCGCCAAAGTTGAGGGAATCTATCCAGATAATCCAACTCTTGTTGTTTGCTGAGCGATTGCACATCTGAGTACGAGGTATGATGGTATAGCCGCGAATGAGACATAACCTACTGCTGAGCCAAGCACGTTTACGGTCTAGACCGATGACCTAAGCGAAGACCGTGGCGTGAATGTTGTCAATACGACGGGACTGGTACACAAATCAACACGGTTTTCGACAGGCTTGGCGGCTCGAGAGGTGTGAAGAAAGTGGATGCAAGCTATTTGCCCTGAGATTACGTTTACTTGATATGGTCAATGCACTTTGTGCACCTCTGCTCCTTACTCTGTCAGGATAGAATTGCGGACATGACCTCTTTCAGCATAAGTGATGAGGTCCATGCAGTCATCGACAGCGCTTTTTCTCGCTCTGACAAAGAAGTAGCGCAGTCGCTCTTATCTCTTGTTCTCGTCAGCTTCGTGTCGAAATGAACGTTAACGTCAAGTCGTGCGCCTTCATAACCTTGTTCACTCACAAGGTGCTTGATGTCGCAAATGTGAGAGACAGTGCTGCCGTGCTAGGAATGAGGAACGAGGAGACTACGAAATTACGGGCGCACGAAGTAGCAGCTGACGATTCGTGCAATAATCTTCACGACACTAAACTGCTGACCAAGCGCTCGCACAATTGTAATGTCAAACTCGATCGTTAACGGTGAATCGTGAGGCTTGACGATTACCTCAGGCATACACAGTGATTTTTTGCGTCTGGGCGGCAGGCGGGATTGCAGAGTCGTGACTCAAACGCACTGTCTAAGTGCACTCGTGTACTGCTGGGGGATGCGACAGTAGTCTACCAAAGGAGGATTGCTTTACCTGTTCCGTGTTAGTCCGTATCGAATTATTAATGATCGTCCCATTTTGTGTGGTTTTTGTACAACGCTTACGTAGAGTGGAGAAAAATTAGGGCGCGGAATGTAAATAGCTCATCATTATTGGAGCCTTCATCTCAGACTTCTCGTCCGTGAGGTAGCAGCAGCACATAAAGTCTGGAAAGTGGTTGAAGGCTTTAATGCGCTTGTCATCCTCCATGTGCGTGGATCGCTTTGCCTTGCCAAAGTGTAGCATTTGAATTTCTGCAGGGATGCTGAGACACAGATCGCAAGACGATTCACTTCCCCATTGGCAGCCAGCTGCATTATGAGGCCAGTCCCGCGTAGAGAACTCCCTCAAGACCGTGACGACCCCGTTGAGATCCAGTGCCGGTTGTTTATTTACAGTAGCACCAAACCAGATACTCTTTGTCCAGTGGTGCGTCTGGGCACATTAGAGCACGTTGTGAGCCCGAGCCGACCTGAAGAGCAAGCAGTCGTCTACGAGGTGATGGCCAGGGATCACGTCAAGATGGCTCGCTGAGACTACCGCAGTGGTAGCAGGACTCCTAGTCAAACGCCCTCCGTCCCCTGAATCAAATTGCTCCGAGCGCGAGAGCAGCCCCGCCATCCGGTAGAGTGCACACACGAATCGAACCCCGGACTTGGTCAACGGACGGTTTCTCAGGCCCTTTTGGGAGTGCCCCATCGTGACGCCCGACGTCCTAAGTTGGTAAAATGAGAAAGCTAGGAGTAGTACGACTGAGCCGAGGTAAATGGCACGAGGTAGTTACCACAAAACCAGACATCTTACCAGTGATAAGCAGCTATAAAAGACAGTCTGAGCCTCCAGATCGCGAGACGATATCCTGCGGAAATCAAGTTTGTGTCGTAAGACCAAAAGGTACGGAAGATTAGCCCCGTAGTATCTGTCGCAGATATTGCTGTGTCCGCGGCTTTCATCTACAAGCATGTTTCAGCGAGAATTATCTGTTCCTCAGCGGACTTCATGAGTACGGGGCATAACATACAGATCAACAGCCTCTTCGCCGGACCAGCCACAACTGGAAGCACCAGCACTTCGCCCAGGCAGCAAGGGTGTGGCTACGGCCTGAGCTGATGCATACGAAGCAGAGGAGGTGACAAGAGTGTGGCGCTATTCCCGATCGGCATAAAATACGAAATGCGGTTGATTGGCAGCAGTAGCCACGATCAGAGGACGCAATTTTACAAAGGTTCTTTCGTCCCTGGTAAACGTTGTAAACTCAAGTTTGGCATCCGGACTGCATGCCCCATTCTCCCAGTACCCGCTTAGGGGCGTGTCTGATGCACCAAGCAGCAAATGGTGATTCGCAGATCATGACCCAAAGATCTAAACGATGTGCGAGTATGCAACGAGAGGTACACGAGAGTCCGTTCAGGCATTTGCAAAGACTGCTAATACCGTCCAAGACAACAAAAGGACACGAAATCATTGAAAACGCGACATTGGGAAACTTTGTTGACTTGTGGCAATTAAGCTAAACTCGTCGCTTGAAACTGTCCATGGGTGATGCCGCGCGCGCGAAGGTTAATGACTGCAAACAGATTGCTCTTGTCCGCACCGTTTACAATGACCGCACAAAGTCCAACCCAATTTATAGTGGTGGGCATGGCCTAAAGATGCAACACTGGGAACAGCAGCGTTTAAAATCGCCGCCCTTGCTCGCATAGGCGTTACACGCGGTCGAAAACCGCTGATGGACAAAATCGTCCACGCAGCGACAATTGAATTCGACTGCCTGAAGAGAGACAAATGCCATGCCAACTGCAGTGATGGAGACGAAGAGGAAGCTGGGGAAGCGCATGCTGGCGCAAACTTAGAAACAAACTGTTGGCTTCGAAGCAAAATGCAGAATGACAACTGAGAAGGCAACGCTCGAGAATCTAAAGCGCCTTGTGCGCAGTTAGTATTCAGTCACAGGCAGGGGGCGCCATAAAAATTATACCAGAGATGACGCAGTTCCCGCTGCCTGTTTATGCCGGTGCATAAATAGGTATTGGGTTCAGAGGGATCATTTGAAATCAGACGGCTCTGCTTGCGAATGGATTCCCATCAGCTGCCAATGGTAGTCTCTATAACTTGATATCGCTCTGCATCGATCGTGGTGGTGGTGTCACTACGGTCAGCTGCAATTCCATACAGCTACAAGTACGTTTCGATCCTTCTCTCTAGACCTTTCAGTTTTATTTAAATGCTCAGCCCCTCCTCTCCCATACTTCACCCTACTGTAGTTGGAGATGATCCGTTGATACCAACTGCAATCAAAGCGAGATGCTTTCAGCGAGTTTCTTGAGCGCTCGTTTTCACGTATTGGATCTCATCCAATGGACACATCGTCGATCCAGCTAAATAACTTTTCAATCTTCAGCGCTCATCATACGAAGACGAAAGCGAGAGTAACATACAAAGATTACAGCTGATCAACCGGTTCGACTATTTTGTTCTAAGGTAACCCCCCCCCCCCCCCCCCCCCCCCCCCCCCCCCCCCCCCCCCCCCCCCGCCCCCGGGGGGGGGGGAGGGAGATTGGCCACCCCCCCCCCCCCCCCCCCCCCCCCCTCTCCTTAGACAAACAAACCAACCCCCCCCCCCCGAGACCCCGACCACCGACACCCCCCTCCCCTCCCCGAGTCTGGAGGTGGGGAGCCCCCCTGCTACCCCCCCCCGCGACGCCCCGGCGGGCCTCTTCCCCCCCCCCCCCCCCCCGATTCCCCCAACCCTACCCATGAACAAAAACGGGGGGTTAGGCAAAACGACTTCTTGTCCGAAAAAATTGCGGAATGCAATCATTCTGCCAACGAAGTGAAAAATCTACAACAGGGCGCGGACATCCATGGAAAAGCGAACAGCAAGTTAGGAGTCGTCCACGGATCTCCAGTAGCAAAAAAAACGTTGGTACAACGAGCCACCGACAGCTGCAGCAGGAGATGTACTGCATGGAAAAGGACCGTCGGTCTCCTATTACGCCAAAGGTCACAAACGAGGCGATGCCTGCGGTTAATATCCGACGATGGTAGCATGAATTCAAGGAAGGTTCCTACATTAAATGAATCGGGAAAGAGAGCTGTCGCAGGGCTCAGTGAACAAGTTCGGACTTGCGCGGCTGCAGGCTGTCGCAGGGCTCAGTGAACAAGGTCAGACGTGCGCGGATGCAGGCTGTAGTCAGCTGGCAGAGCGAGCTGTAGAAGTCGCGTCATGCTGAATGATTGCAACCCATGTACAGTACTTCCTGAACCCAAAACAAAGGAGTTTCAAAGGTCAACATTAGCTGTGCACATGGTGGAAACAAGTTGGTGGACTCCAACCACTACGCTTCAGGGGGGGGCAAGCACACAAGAGGTCTAGGAGCCAGGACGCGTAAATGTTTTTCGTTTATTTTACCAAAAAGGCACACTGTCAACTTCGAAAATGTCTCGTCGAGCCTTTCAGCTTCTACAAGCTGTTGGTGCTGTAAAAGGGGGTTGCTTTGCCTGGACACCCCGGAGGAGGAAGCACAAACTACGGTGGAATTCAAGCGAACCGAGGCCTCGTTCAGCGACAAATCATCGCTAGTCGCCACGACAGTATCAGGCAGTAGCATCCGGGACAAGTCCAGACGTTGCGGTCATCATCATTTGGTCCGCACTGAATTTTTAGGGGGCACGACTAGAGTTGTTGGATAAAAAGTCCCTGTTCACAGCCTTTTACTTTGCACCAGCATTAAAAACGTTAAAATCAAGGCCCCATTTACAAACAGACTTTTTACCAGTAATTACTTGTTATCGGTCAAGGGGTATGAACGGAAGGTTGCGCAGCAACCACCCGCCCATTTCGTCGCCCACCCATTACCGCCTCGCCTGAAAAAAAGGAGACTTGGCACCGGTAGGAACCCTGGCCTGCCATCTACGCATCATCTTTGAGGCCCACTGTTCCCCCGGTGGGCTTGAAACTTGCTTTCTTTGATATGCTATATCTTCTATCACCTTCTTTGCGATTTGCAGATCAATTTTGCTCACAATTGGACGTCTTCATCTTCTGGTGTGGGCGTTCTTTGAGATGACGAAATGGCCAAAGGAAATCAAGCCAAGTGCAAGCACCGTTTACTTGGTTTGCATCCACAATAATTCTGCATGGAGGTCCTCATTCCACAGGTATTCCGCATTGTCCTGCTACCCGTTAGGGGTCTCATTGCTGGTAAATAACATCTCAAAGTCATGCACAGATGCTCCTATTGAGGCAGAGTGTAAGGCTGAAAACCTTTATAAGAACCGGCTGGACAAAAAAGGTTTGGTTCGTGCATTGTGTATGCAGATCTCTTTCCTTCTACAGAGTGACTCGACAATTTCGTCCGGCACGGTTTTTTATCGCATTTTGATATTTTCATCCGGCCCGACCACTCTACATAGAGAGAAATTGCTTCGTATTGCTCTAATAATACATGTAAAACTGTAAAAGGCCAAGTGAAACTATATAAACTGGTAAAGACTGAAAGCTGCTAAAAAGAGGTAGTAAGTGGTAGCTAGCCGTGATAACGTTAACGAATTGATAGAAGATGCCCATAAATGCTAAAAGTCACGAAAGTTTACCAAACAACTTTAGGTACGACATAGTCGAGTGCGGAAAGCAGTAGAATAGATTGGCTTTTCATTAAATGGGTTGTAATTTCTACGATGCTACGTAAATATTTTATGGCTTGACGACACGTCAATGACAGCTACAGTGAGTAACGACGTAGGCCTAGCGACATCATCGCGCTTCAACCGGTCTTTTGTCACAAGTCATGCGTGCTTCGAAATCCACAACCATCTTTTGAAGATGAGCAGAATCACAAATCTTTGGATGGAGTGTAACGAGCGCTCGCTGCGCGACGATGGGAATGAAGCTTACAAATTTCGACCTTGGATCAACGTAGGGATTGCATCCGCCACAGTGGATGGTGGACGAAGCCGCTTGGTAGACGCTACGTGTAACGGGGTGAATCGTTACATAACAATTTATAAGAAATTGTTAATAGAATATAAATATAAGAGTTATATTCTCAGAATATTGTCATAAGGACAAATATTCTGCAGCACTTACGAGTAGTTCCTAATTGGTTGACATAGGCCATTATATCAACCAACGAAGACGCGCCACGACAGACGCACGCAATGAGTGGTGAGCAGATAGTTGATGTGCACATTTGTATTCAGACATAGTTAGATGAGGATAAATAGTGATTTATTAACAGACATTAACTATTATAAATACAGTTCTACTTTTTACTTTAACCAAGTACTCGATTCTTCTTACCGTCTTCCTCTGCACGTACGAGTGTACGTGAAGTTACGAGGCACCGCCTTATTATGTCATCAGAATAAGTAGCTTGTACTGTCACCAGTACAAGCTTCAGGTTGCCCCGTTACACTACGAGTGCGAGCGGTAAGGGTCCGCATAAGCCTAGAAAAGCGACGAGGCGTGGATCCTGCTTGCGCTAACGCCAGTGAAGCGTCAATCTCTTTCTGTAGCGGCTGATGATTCACTGGAAGTAGGATCGCATTTTGGCAAATCGCTAGCAACGACGGACAGGTTCAGACTTTATGACCGATACCTTTGATACGTCTAAAACACGGCTATACTTTTTGAAGGATAGAAAAAAAGAATAGCACTTTCTCATACATGCACAGACACAGTACTTTTGCTGCTTCGTACGAGCATAGTTGTAGCCATGTCCACATGTCTTCACATGCTCTGCTAGACCGTCGGCTTCCGTCATATTCAATCAGAGTATTTGAAGCGGATTACGCACCGACCCACGACGCTCTAAAAGCCGGAGCATGAGCACAGCGGTCGAATCGCGCAGCAACAGGAAGCTCCAGTCCTACAAGCGACGACCACCACTTGTATCAGCGTTTAACTGTGTTGTAGGTACGCTGTGTACAGGTGGAGCATGTGGCCTCCACAGGATCGGATCCGGTTCACGATCGAAGAAGGCGATTTGTGTTGGATGGCGACGACAAAGGTGTCTGTCCGTCATCCTCTGTCTTGCGCAAAGGGTTCGTGTTTAAAGGAGAGTTCGGAGTAGGAGCAGCACGTGACGATGTTGGAGTAAATCGCAAATCCGGCACCTACCCAATGCAAACATTGCGAAAAACCCACCAGTCGCATAAGCAGTCCCACGTCGTGACGGAATTGATGTATGCCACGCTTTTCTATGAGTGACTGATTATTGCACGTCCGTTAGGTGCTAAAAGTAGTATTGACATGAAATAAAGACTATTGGTGCATTGTGATGTCCGGCAAAAAGACAGCGATCATCTTGGGCGCGGTTCATGCGCCGCTGAACTGATTTTGTCAATCACAACGAAAAGATCGCTGCGAGAAATTGTAACTGGTGATGTGTATGATCCGTTGATGGCGTTGCCTTTTGTTACAACTGCAATCGCTGCTGCAGGACTGCATCAAACAAGCGGTGGTCCTGCAGCAACGATTGTCGATTGTCTATAATCACTCGCTGCCGTCGGGCACCACTGCTTCCTACTATCAGTCAGTCATACCCTAGCAACAGTTTAACTGGTCAAAATCTGACCAGCCCGCCTACCCGCCGTTGGCCAGCTGTCCACTCGTCGTAGTGACATCTAGTGACTCTGGCCAAGTCTCCACGCGGCGTCCGGCCTGCCTTAATTGCTCAATCGTAGTTGCACTTAAAAAAGCTCGACTTGGTCGATGACCACCACATTTTTCGACGGCAATACTGGCGGCCACGTCTTTAGCGGTATCACCCGCCGCTTCTCCCGACGCAGATGGATGTATCAAGGTCACGCAGTGCGCCTAGCCGAAACGACCTTGGCCCAGGAGCTCCTTCCCTCTTTCTGTCATTTTTGTCGTGTCCCTTCACCGGATACGGCCGTGATGATCGAATCTACTCAGGACAGCTGCTATGCAGCGCCCATCTCGCTTGTGCTCGCGACTAAATTCGTGCTCGTCCCCGTGCCTCTTGAGCTCATCACGTCGGCCTCTGACAACGTTTACATTGGCTTGACGCTCTCGCTGAGGCTTCAGCACGCGCATGTCGCCGTTTGCGAGAAAAACGAGGAAGTTATGAATGTAATGGGAGACCCCTTTGTTTCAATGCCACACTATTTCACTTACATTAGTCTGTGCAGAAAAGGATTAATTCACAGAAACAACTAATTGAAGTGAAGGTGAAAAGAGAACTGTATTGAACATTTTTATCCTATTAGTATAACTCAGTATTTTTATTTTTAAATTTAGGTAAATTGTCGTATGATGGCAACCTGCATACCACCTATTGCGCGCGTCTGGCAGCGATTGGTGATAAAGTATGGTTGATGTGTCTTTATTAACCAATCTTCGAGCAGCACGTGAATATTATTAAAGGAGGATAATATTCGTTCAGCATTAAATATCTCGAATAGTATTGGCAGAACATTGTCACGCTAGACAATTTCCATATTGAGACCGTTTGGTGTCAAACTCATGTAACGGACGACACCATTATATTACCCCCCCCGTTTATTGTTAATCATAGTTAAATAAATTGAACTGATAGGGGACAGGGTAACCACAGTTGGATCACTCTGGGAAAGGGCTGCACTTGGTGGTCAAATTGTGATTAATTTGCCTATTTAATGCATGGTGCCAAAGTCCATGCGGTGCGCTGTTAAAGCGTCCAGAAAGGCGTTTCCACGCAGGCGTGCAGCCGAGGAGAGTACTGCTCAAGACTCAGCAGCGGGTATTCGCTCGCCTGCTGTTGCAAGTGAGCAACAGGCAGTGCCTGTTGCGACTAGTCCACGTGGTTGGTCACCACGTGCGACAAATGCATCCGTTGCTTCTGCAGCAGGTGCTTCAACTCGCAATAAAAGTGAGTCTGAAATAGAGATCATCGATTCGGGCGAGTACGATGATGCAACCGACGCGGAAGCGGAGCCTCCTGCCTCTGGATTACTTGGGGCTAAAACTGCCAGAGTCAGATTGAGTGGGTCTGGTAATTGTGGTCCCACTATGTCCGATATCTTCAGACCTAGCGATTCGTCAG